GGGATCAAATATGGCCGCCCTTTTCCAGAACTAACTATTGATCCGACTTTGATTCGAGATCAGTTGATACGACTTTGATCCGCATACGAGCAACTGGGCCTAAATGAAATAGTTCTAGTACAGCCACTCTGGGTCGTAGAACTTAGGTGGGGACCTGTGCAGGACTATTTTCAAGCATAGATTTAATCAACAACCTGCCCCATGGGATGCCCGATGCAACAATAAGTACTCCAAACACACACTCCGAAAATGACAATGGCACTGATGAATTTGTAAGTGAAATAGTTCTACTACAGCCACTCTGGGGTCGTAGGACTTGGGTGGGGACCTGTGCAGGACCATTTTCAAGTATAGATTTGATCATCAACCTGCCCTATGAGATACCCGATAAAACATTACATTCCGAAGATAGAAGAGAAGAAAAGTGGACCGATGAAACTTGTATATCAACTTGTATATCAAAATTGTTAAAGTAGTATTAAAATAAACATATTTACACAAATGAAATGTTTGAATTCTTTTCCTTACAGGTACAACAAGTTTAGCATGATAGTTGAATTAAACGTAAGTCATATCATATCTAATAACTGATAAGTGTAAAGTTGGAAAAGAAAAAATACAATACTAAATTTGTATGCCAATGATGAATATGAAAAATATACCTAATAGTGCACGCTGTGATAAATTTTGATTTCATTCTAGTCTTCAATCAATCTTCGAATATTGTTTTACAAAATAATTAATAAATGCATGATATCCAAATATAATAACGTATCTTCATAATTAATTATTGTTTGTATATTGCAATTTCAATTGCAACTACAAAGTAATAACTCGATAAAGTATAATATAACAAATGTAAATATGGTAACGTAAATATAACCTCCTAAAAATCAATTTGACATCTTGTCTTATGTCATGTCTATTACGTCAAATACTCTATTTTGTTGGCAGCAATGACACTTACAATAAATTTTCACTTGAATTTCCTCAATTCTCCTAAATTTGTTTATTATAATAAAAACAGTGTGCTTTGTGAAGTGCACATATATCGTATATTCATAAATAACCCTTATTTTATCTTCCTAAAGCTCATATCTCGTTGAGCGTATGCAACCCACATTACCAAAATATCATTTTCGGTATCCCCTAGCGGCAAATCGATGAAGTTTTTTCCAAAATCCAGACTTTTCGGTGTACAAATCTCAAAAAATATAAAGAATATCGTTTCCAAATTTTCACAATACATTTCTATTACCCATCGCTAGGTCATAAAGGATTTTGGTTACCGTCCGTTAGAAAAAAAAACTGAAAAATGTCTACCTTCAAACGCTTGTAATTTCGTTATTTTTGCATAGATCTGTAAAAAAAACCTTTATGACCTACACGAAGGTTCACTCTATCAGCTGCGATTCATATTATATCTCAAAATTAAGTAAAAATTGAGATTTGTACACCGAAAAATCGGGCTTATTTTCATTGCTGCCAACTGAAATTGGGTTACCAAATCTCAACGCCCCTCTTAACAAAACAAAATACATAGAACATGAACATAGTCACGAAGACAGAATTATCTTGTCTTCTTCCCATCACCGTTTGGCCTCGTACGTACGGATACAACAGTGGCTTAAATAGGCATTTATTATTCGCATTGTCTCAGTTTTTTTCGTTCTAAAAACAGATATGGTACAACTATTGTAAGAATTACAATTTATTTTAATATAGATATAAAAATTTTAGTGAAAATTGTATATAATTCAACTAAGCAAATTATCGTATATGCTGAAGCCCAAAAAAGAGAAGAAGAATAGGTCTAAACATAACCTCGATACCTCGATATTTAAAAAAAGGGGGAAACCGTTCCTTGAATCTTAAATTTAAATCCTTTTTCAATCGACAATCATGGCGAACGTACATAGAGCCCCAACTGAGCTTGTGAACCCCGTTGAAATAATGGATCCCCCGGCAATACGGCAGGAACGAGTACGTCTGTTGGACCTGCCTCAAGGGGATCCGTTAGTTGTCATGCAGTGGCTGGCTAGAAGGCGCCTTCTGAGTAATTCTCGGCAGTGCGAAGTTTGTCACGTAAGTTTCGTTAACTTATTATTCTGCACTCAGAATACATTTCTGCACAATTTTATAATTGTAAATTGCAGATCCCCATGTCGCGAAGAAAAAGAGACGGGCGTGACGGCTTCGTATGGAAATGCAGGACCTGCGACGTGCAAATCGCCATCAGGAAGGACAGCTTTTTCGCCTTCAGCAAATTAAAGCTGTCCCAAACGTTGGTGTTATTGTACGGATGGAGCAGCGACCTGCCTCAGAAGGCCATCGCCGAAATAGCAGGGGTCAACCAAACACGAACGATAGTCGATTGGTGTAACCTTTGCAGGAACATTTGCATTCGTCATTTTGACCACCACGAGTCGATCATTGGTGGTTTCAATGACGACGGGTCCTCAAAAGTTGTCGAAATTGACGAATCGTGCTTCTGTAAAGGGAAGTCCAGCCGGGGGGTGGCGCGCCCCGGTCGTTGGGTGTTTGGTGGGATCGAAAGAGGTTCCGGAAGATGCTTCCTGGTAGAAATGGCTGACAGAAATCAGGAAACTGTATCGGCATTGATTGTGAAGTAAGTCTTTGATATTCTTCGAATGATCTCCAACGCATTATAATATCAGTTTTGTTTGTTTTTAATTATTGTTCTCTTTTCTAGGAACATTCTACCAGGAACCATGATAATATCTAATAGTTCACTGGCTTACAACAACATTGGTACACTGGGCAATGGCGTGTATGATCATCGGGTAATTGATGAGAAAAATCATGATCCCGATGTTCATACACAACGTATCCAGAATATATGGATGCGAGTCAAACGGAAACTGCAGCGACAATTTGGCACTTCCGAAGAGCAATTTCCGTCCTATTTGTCAGAATTTCAGTGGCGTAGTAAATTCCAGGGCGGAAATACCTTTTTGGAATTGCTAATTACCATCGCAGAACAGTATCCGGTTTGAACGTATATATGTACTTGTTTGTACCGATGTTGCTGTGATGGCTTACAACTTGAGGATATTAATTCAGGAGCCTCTTTCTCTCCTGCAATTGTCACCAGCCACTAGCCACGGGGTTCCTTACTACAATTATTTTTTTTTAATTAATTGATAAAGACCAGCAGGTCGTAACACAGTCCAGTAGAATCATAGAAAAAACCGTAGCTACAAAAGGTAATTGTTTACATTATTAATCCATAGATTTTTTTGATTTTTTTTCTATGACATAACATTCAATCAATTCTATAACTTCAATCGATACAATTTACTGGCAAATTTTTAAATAAATTCCGAATTCTATAGATTTTTGTTAGCACTTAGATGCTAACGTTCAATATATTACTTTAATATTTCTCTTATTTATCTTTCCTTAGCATACCTCGAAATTAAATATAAAAGTAAGCGATATGTTGAAATATTTTGCATATATTTGTTCATGTGATGTATGATTTGTATTGATTTGTTGATTGATTTTGTGTAAACAATTGTAATAGAGTACTCGCACAATGTTAACATCTGTAATTAGTATGGATTGTCAAATTTTCATTTTGTTTATTGTTACTTGTAACGTTGTTTTGGTGATGGTTATTTGTAACATTGTTTTGAATGTTAATTGTATTCGGTTTGTTAGTCTGTAGCATTGTTAAATAATTTGGTAAAGGGCTTAAATTTATCATTGCATATGCATATTTCGCTCATGCATATTTCGTTTAACCATATTTCGTTACTAATGCACAAACATAGCTAGGTACATTGCATGATGTATTAATTCAGCTTCGCTGGGTGTGCATTCTATACATTTGCTAGTTCACGCGCTTTTTAAAGCACATATATTTTTTTTGAACAGCATCGTTGATCAAGGCATTGCTACAAATTCAGGTTTTTGTTGCAAAAGTACTTTCTTTGTACATAATATTTGCATATTAACGAGCACTTTTCTCCACAGCATATCTTTAATTTCAGATTTTTGCTGTACAAAATATGCGTGGGACGTATTTCAGTAGACTGTGCCTAAATACATGTAACTGAAAAATATGGTATGATTCGTAATTGCATTGTGAAGTCTACACACGTTCAACAATTGGACAACAAATCGAACACTTTACAAATTCTATGTTTGATGAATATAAACGATATTAATTTTTTATTTTAGTTTTCCTTCTCCTTCCTTAATATTCCTTATATTTTGAATATGGAAACAAAGTAACAGCTACACAATTTCCAGAAATATCAGCTACAAAAAGTGTTTATATTTAACGATTATCTAATAAATTTTATTATTACTATTACTATTTTTTTACATTTGTGGATTTTGCAATACTAGACTTATTTCTTATTAAGTATTCTACTATTAACTATTTGTGATTTGGTAATTATATTTTTCTAATACAAATATATCTGTATATTTACTGAAATTAAAACACGTTGGCAACGATGCACAGGTTTTGACGTTGTCACAATAACTGTAAAAAAGAGACAAACTGAATGGATTAACGGGAAAGAGAGAGATGAGGTAAGAGAACCGGCAGCAAAAAACCTGTAAAGAATAACTTCTTTATTCAAATTCATATTATTTTTTACAAATACAATATAAAGCGCCTACAATATACTGTATTTTGTTGTAGAAATAAAACAAATATTTTTTATAGTCGAACCAGAAAGCGTTTCATTGGTCAAAATTTAAAATCAAACGTTCCGATTGGTTGAATTTCATCCAATCGCAGAAACGTCAACGTCAAATCCTAGTTGCGTTTCGTGCCGTTCGCAATTTTTACAGTTTACTTTACAAGTGTTTTATTGTTTTTTTGTAGCAGTCGTAGTAGCGTTATTAAAATGGTAAACAACAAAATGCCGATGTTTGTTTCTATTATAGTGAAAGAATAATCGCAAAGTGCCGCTGGTAAAGTTCGAAAAACGCCACCCAATCCCGCGTTGGTTCATATTACAATGAACAGCGTCAAAACAGACGAAGAGTTAACCTCAACAATGGGCAATGTCCTGTCAACGTCCAAAGAGGAAAAAAATGACTCTAGCGATGCTACCCCTACGTCTTCGACTGATGCAAATACCAATCTTAAGGCTGCTCAAACTGGTGAATATGATATAGTTTTTTATGTTGCCCATGCCAACTGCGGCGTTGGTAACTTGTTTCATAACCCTTATTACTGATTTGGAACAATTAATTTTCGCATTAATCAGTACACCTATTGCTATGGTAGCTACAGGCCTTGTTGTAGGGTAATGATTAATTGCTCGAAAATGAAGTTTTTTATCATGTAGAAATATTACTTATTTAACTTGTGCAAAGCTATATTTGTAGTAATGCCTGCATAATAGGGTAATTATTATTTGAATACCCATTTTAACTTGTAAACATACATAATACTACAAAAAATAATTTACTAAGCATTTATGCATATGTAACACTTTGAGGTGCAAACTTATGAGGAAATCTAATAGACCATAAATTATTTCCTTTTATATCTTATTTTTATTTTAATTTACAAGCTACTATAAGAGTATTTACAAGAGTTAATTCAAAGGTTTTTGGTAAATTTATGTGAAAAAAATATAATCAAGAAAACCAGTTTTTCCAGTATTCTTAACAAAGTTCAATTATCACTATTTATCACATTGTATTCACTTTGTATTTCAGTCTCCGAAGATCCCGTTGATCCCATCAGTAGTACTTCTTCAGATATTTTCGATCAATCGAAACCTCCAGACGCCAAGTCTTCGATCGACGAGTCTGACAGGTTGCAGGCCGACGAGCACGAAAACGATCTACTGGGAATACCGGTTTCAAATGAAAAAATTACTGCAGACGTTGAAGATCTAGTTCACGACTTGGAGAGTCTACTGGGAGAGACGAGCGAGCCCTACAAACTACCCTATCAAAGTAGATCCAACAGCAAGGCGCACACTTCGTCGGCTGTTCCAGAAGTTGTCGATAAAGAAGATGTTGTTAAAGGTGTTTAATCGATTTTAATTCCTTAATATGGTAAACTATTTAGGCTGTATCACTTCAGGCAGTTGAATTATACTTGTATAGTTCAGTAAAGCTTCAATTTATAAACTGAAACACTTGGATTTACGTACATAACATCACCATTACATACATTATCTCACCCTCACAACATTCAATTCTCCATATTAAAATAAAGTACTGATTTTTTTCAGATGAAATCGAGCCCCCAAAAAATGCAGTCGATAAAAAGGCTGAGAAACAACCAACAGACGACATCCAGGAAACACCAGAACCCACACCAGAACCGACTCCAGAATGTACATCACCATCAATTGATAATGCAATTGACAAATCCGAGGCCGAAATTCCCTCGGTGGATAATAATTTCGAGCAACCATCGACAAGCAAAGTTGAAGAATTCGTTTCGGCGGATCAAAGCGTTCCCGAGCAGGTTTCCCCGCCAGAAAAAAGCGATGTTCGCGATGACGTCGACGGTGGTAGCATGGAGAGCTGGGAAATCGTGGATGCTGATACAGTTAATTCCATTCCCGGGCCGTCTGGTGACTCCATCCCAATCCAGGAATGTAAAGTTACTGCAGAAGACATTACGTCAAGCGGCGATAAACCTGAAACTAGTGATAATAGAGAAGAAAGCGAGGACAACAGGGAAGCCGAAAGCACGCAATTAGAAGTAATTAATGCACCGGAACAAGATGAATTAGTCGCCGATGCTGCAGACGTTGAAAAACACAGTAACGAAAATGAAGCAACTGAAGCCGTACCAGTACAAACTGATGAATTGGCTGAAGAAGTTGCCACTTCTTCTCAATTAGAATCAGAAGTTGATAATTCCATTAAAGAGCCATTAAATGTTGCATCGCCAACGGAAATAACATCCAGTGAAACTTGTGTTACAGCTGGAACTGAAGAATTGGATAACAAAGAGGAATTAATTGAACCAATGCAAAGCAACGACGTAGAAAATATAGAAGAGAGTACTTCCACAAATGATGAAAAGCCCCTCATTCCATCAGAAACGGAGCAAGTAGCTAACCCAACTCCAATTGAAGATTCTTCTCATGTTGAAGAACAACAAACGCTTGTAAGAGAAACTGAAGTTGCAAAAGAGAATGTGGAAGAAGTATTAGAGCATTCAGAAGTGTCTAAATTAGATGAACATAGAGAAGAAGCGGGAAAATTAGAAAGTGAACCAGAGGTACAGCAAATTCCTACTGAAATAGAAGCTGCAAGTACATCAGTCGAAGAAATTGAATCTCATTCAGCCCAAATAGAACCTGAATCTACAGAAATATCTGCTTCGGTGAATAAAAATGATGACAATAACTGTGTAAAAGAGCCTGAAACAGTCACTTTAGAACTGCCCTTAGAAAAATGCGATGAAAAAGTGGATACTCTAACTAAAAGTAAGGATGATGATGATGAGTCAGTTGAAACTGTGTCTGAAAAACTTCCAGAAGTAGTACAAAATGAGGAAAACAAAAGTGCACAAGAACCATCCATTAGTGAAACTAGCACACAAATGGAGTCAGAAATAGTGGAACCCAAACTTGGTGAAACTAGTAAACAATTAGCGGAACCCAAACTTGGTGAAACTAGCAAACAATTAGTGGAACCCAAACTTGGTGAAACTAGCAAACAATTAGTGGAAACCAAACTTGGTGAAACTAGCAAACAAATCGTGGAAACCAAACTTCTCAACCAGAACTTAGAAGTAAGCGATCTTAATTCAATTATTACAGAAGATAACGACATTAAAGTGGCTGAAATAGAAGACGTTCCAATAGCCGATACTACAAAAAAGAGCGAAGAAGTAGAAACACAAATCAAAAACGACAAAGTTGTCCTCAATGATTTTGCAAAGGAACAACCACAAGACCCAACTGAATCTCTAGCAGACGAAAGACAAACAGAAAAACATATTTCGCATCTTCAGTTTGCACCGCTGCAATTATCCGAGGAGGATTCCGACGATTCTGAAGTAGTACCGAGACTGGCTTTAGAACCAGACGATTCGAACAGTCCTGCAATTCCAGACACCAACGAATTACCTTCAGAAGAAATTCTACCCCAAGTCGAAATGGAAAATAAACCGATGTACATAGAAACTGCCGTGCGCCCCGTTATAGATACAACAGACAACATAGAGACTATGCTTGCAGTGGCGAGTTTACAGAACATCGATATTCCAAAGCAAGATGAATCGCAGCATGTTGTAAGCGAAAAAGAACGAAGAGAAATGGAAGCTCTAGCCAGAGCGGTGCAGAGTATCACGGATAATTCCAGTTCATATGTCGAGTACATAGAACCCAACGTTCCTCAAGTAAGCGTAGAGGCCATACAGGAAGAACCTACTGTTCAAATTATGGACACAATGGAGGTTTTATGTTCAGCGAAAAATGCTGAAATAACAACATCTCAAGCAGTACCCGATGAAGGAGCTGGACTTCAGCTTGACGTATCTAAAGAGGATCAGGTGGAAGTAACTGAGCGTATAGAACCATCAGTACAATCTGCTGGTGAAATTGTATTACCAGAAGAAAAAGTAGTTCAAGAATCTATTCAACAGACAGTTGCTCCAGAAGAAGTTGTTGCAGAGAAAGTTCTAAACGAAGTAGCTGCATCAAACAATGAAAATGTGGATGCTAAGGAAATAGAGACTGTAAGAAATTTACCTGTAGAGGAGAGTAAACCGTTAGAAGTTGTGCCTAAAGAAATCGAAGAGAACCTCATCGAAGGTGTATCGAAGAAGCATAATACAGAAGAAAGGCACAAAGTTTGCGAAACGTTCGAAGAAAAATCTAAAGAACATGCCCACAACAGCGAAAACTCCCAGGATTCCGTCAATTCCATCAGCGAGGTATCGACCAAAGAGAGCAGAAAAGGCAGGTCAACGGACAAACCGAAAAAGCACAAGAGAGTCGATAAATACGAAGAGCTCTCCATCAACGTGGACGTACCGGAGAGAGAGGCCGTTTACAGTCCGAAAATAACGATCAAACCTATTAAAGTACCCGACGAAGAGGTCAGTACGACTACTTACGGCGACAGTGAGGCGTCCAAGGGCAGCTTGAAGATGACTATTACGAAACAATCCGATAACACGCATTCTATATTGAAAATCAGCGATCAGGACTATTCGGATTGTTTGCCCGAGCCAGAGGAACCCATCCCCAAGTTAATTATAAAACCAAAGATGCAACAGGTAATTAATTATTAATAATAATTTGATGTTGTTCGCTCTGTAGTCTTTATTGTGGTGGGAGTTCGCAGGATTATTGCATTATTAGATCATTCGCAGGATTGTTTTATTGCCTGTCCACCACAATTAATCATGTTTGTAGTAACTCGAAGGTTTATATAATAATAATAATATTTTCTAGGTGGAGAGTCAACACAGCCCGAAAATGTCGACAAGAAGTTCGAAACAATCGCCCACGGGCTCTTCGCAGAGATCCAGTAGCCCGAGGATAACGATAAAGCCTGTGATTAAGCCTGACAAGCAGGAGCCGGTCAGTCCTATTAAAATTAAAATCAACACTAAAGCGAACGCTAAGCAATGCGGCGATGACGACGAAGGTAGCAGAAAATCGGTGAAACCGATCAAATTGAACGACGATATCGAACAGGTTCAAAGCCCTAGAATTACTATTAAACCCATACCTAAACCGGATTCCGAAAAGGAAATTGTCAATCCAAGGTAAGTGAATTTTTAGTGATATACAGATTGCTCCATTGTTCATTGGTTCAACATAGGCTGTGGGTGCAACAAAGACATAACTTCAATTAGACACTAATCTAGGAGGCAGAATATCTAACACTGTCTTAGCCCATTAAATCATAATACTACGAATTTTTGAATCTGTCCTACTTGCATTTTTCAGATTGACAATAAAACCCATTAAAAAACTGGAAGAAGACGCCGAAAACGAAGAACGAGAAAGGTCTAGTCCCAAAATCATAATAAAACCTCTGATCAAGCCCCAGGAATTGGACAGCCCGCACGGCGACGAAGAGGAAGAAGTCAAAGAACGGATCGTATTGAAAATAAACAAAGGCCACCTTCCTAGTCCGGCTAAAGAAAGTAAAAAGAGGGAGCATCCCGTCGATGACGAAAAGTCGGAAAAGCTAGTTAAAATAACGGTTAAATTCCCCAAAGAAGGAGGCCATCCTCATATCGTTCAACAACCGGGCGATGATAATTCTCCAAAGAGATCGCACGATGAAAATTCCGGTTCCGAGAAAAATAAGAAGCAAAAAGTTGAAAGTGACTCTGTCATATCGACCAGGTCGAGTTCCAGGCATAAGGAGCAACAAGAAGGTAATTATACCGGATCATAAAAACCTTTAAATTTAAAATTTTTAGTAATAGTAAAGGTTCTATCTCATGTTAAGTAAACGGATGCGGTGTTGCCAAGATTTATTAGGATTACTTTAAATGCTATTGAGATATTCGATATCTTAATATCACATTAAGAAATATTCATTTATCAATAAAATCATGTTTATTCAAAATTTCATTCAACGGCCGAGAGGCGAGAGCGGAATAACAAAACGTTATTCGAACGACATTTATAAAATACCGGCCGATTTAAATGCCTTCGTAAAATAGTGAGTCAATTTATAGCAGAAAATGTTTATCATTTTAGTTGGGTATATAATGATTAATTCATTGTCTCTAATGGTTTTTCTTTTCGTTTTTCTAGCATCAAGCGATAAATCTACCGCGGGCGCCGAAGTGAAACTGAAACACAAGGACCACAGTCACGAATCTCCCGTAGAAACCAAAAGGGCTCGAAAGGACAACCTCAGCGATAAAACTAAATTGTTGAAAGACGAGAATTTCGAAGAGCTGCTTTTCATCGATGCTAAACTCACATCTCCGGTTACTATTAGCGAGGATTCCAGATCTCAGGTATTTAATACGCAGTACTCGATTGTACGAATTATAACAAAACAATGTTGCTTCAGGATAACAGCAGTATAATCGTTTTGGACGACAGTAAAGATGGCTCCGATAGAGTAAGGAGTTCCGAAGGCATCCAAAAGCCTCTATTACCGGAATTAAATTGTTCAACTTCTATACCTCCTATGGTGAAAAGAGGAAGAGGAAGGCCTCGGGGCAGGCCCAGGAAGGTAAATACTGTTCATTACATAATTATGGTGCAATATAAATGATATATACCCATGAAGTATTTTTTCAATCTAATTATTTGGCTCCGTTCCAGACGCCGTTAGAGGTGAGAGTAGAGCCGATACTCGATGAGACTCAGAAGCCCAAGGAGTCTGCGATGGTGTTGGATCAACAGCCGCAGGTGCACGATTCTGGGAGGCCGAAGCGCAGCTGTCGCGGTCAATCCGTTTGTGATACTCTCGGCATAAAGCCGAGGAAACCCCGGGGGCCCGGTAGGGGGCGAGGCGGCAAAAGGGGAATGGGAAACAGAGCGGTCGTGGAAAGGGTGAGTTTTTGATGTTATTTTTTTTTTTGGAGAGTTTGGTACTTGGATAGTTGTTTGTACGCGAATGGATACAGAGTAGATTACAGAGTGTTTGTTATCATTAATTAGTTGATTTATACATGGTGTCCAGAAAATAGATACCATTTATTCGGGATTGTGTAGAGTAGATGACATCAAAATAAGGATATAACTTCATAAAAATTTTGTTCATACGAGTTAATTTTATCGACTTCAAACAAGAGGACATTTTTGTTAGTTTATCGATTAAAAATGTATTTACGATATGTTTCCGTTATACAGAGTGTCCCCATAAAAGTTACGAATTGTTAATCATTGGTTACACGCCGCCACTGTCTTCCAAGGAGTAGTGAATTCGTTAGCAAGATTTTCGTAGGAATCATTTTATCGCCAAATTGGCACACGGGCGTAGGTAATAAACCACAAAAATTTTATATTGTTCTCATGTGTAATTTGGAAATAAAACATAAAAATAAGTTTTAAATTCTCAACCTTAAAGGTCTCTAACTCAAAAATGGGGGCTCAAATGAACAAAATTTATATGAAGTTATACCCTTATTTTGATTTCATCTATACGCTCCCGAATTATTGATATTTATTTTCTGAACACCCTGTATTTCGTTGCTGAATGGTCATTTTTGTTTTTATCTTTCTAGTTGGAATGAAAGTCATCACTGGCGATTGTAATATAATAGAGCAAATAGAGTACAGGTCAATGAGGATCTCATTTTTTATTAACTTGCTTTCAAAGATATTTTTTAATTTTAAAGGAGTGATTTTGTTTATATTTTTCGGTTTGAAATTTTTAATGTTTTTTTTTTTCAAAAAAAATTGTAAATTTCCCTGTGCTTTAAATTATTTATGTACATAATTATGAAAGATTATTATTAAAATAAGTCTGAATATTAGAGAAATAAAAATATATATGTATTAATATGTTTCAAATTGTTGTGAAAAGTATATGAATATAATTAGAACACTCATTATGAATTAAAAAATATATAATAAGATTTTACCTTAAACCATCAGTAATACAAATTCCTCGCATTATATTTCGAATATTTTTGTTTATAAATTAATTATTTCAAATGATTGTGTATTAACTTTATTTTTTTTAGTTTTATAACGATTAGACTATAATGAGTGTGTCTTACATTTCATGTTAAAGTAAATTAAGCATCGTAATGAGGCAGGTTTTAACTGATATAAAATATACAAATGGTGATAAATTTTGTGCATAATCGATTCGGTAAATAATCACAACACTTTGGAACTGAGAATTGTTGATTAAAAATATTTCCAATGGGATAGTGCTATAAATTAAAAAATATGTAATAGTGAAATGGGACGTTACTAGGAAAATGCATAATTGATTTTGATCTGTAAAACAGATTGCTTTTGTAACGTATTGTAATTTTCAGTTTGTGTATTTTAACAATTTTATAAATTGTACTAGAGTTTCATTTGAGTATACACTATATCGACTATAAAATTCCTATTTTTCTACTTATAGATGGCATTATCGCGTTTTATAGCTCATAATATATCCTGTCATGTATATGAACGTGTTTCGTTTTCATTTTACTTATCAATATTTATCGTTTTTTAAAAGTGTTTATTTCCAATTACACTGGTAGTTGAATGGATAAAGTGTGTTACAATTTCGAAATGATCTCAATAAATAGGGATTGCGGTTTGTACCTATGTTGAAACAAGGTATTATTTTAAATTCGCTCTTAGTGGTAGATAAAAAATGATAATTGTCAGGTTTATGAGAGAGCTGCTTGAACCTTCTTTTGAGGTTTCCTGATACTTAGGGATGGTACCCAGTCAAAATTGCCCGACGCAAAATAGCCCAAAGACAAAATTGTCCGAGATACAACTGTCCCGACATAATAGCTTAGGAGAAAAACATATCATAGTGCAAGAATTACCACAAATCATAAATTTCTCGAGCTATTTTTAGGACAATCAGTCATTATTTTGTTTATTATTTTGTTTAACAAAATGAAATGTCTTAGAAACTCTAGACATCTAATAAATAATGCTTGCTTTTAATTTTACTGGAACTGTTTTATCTTAGACTATTTTGGGTTTGGACCATTTGTCTTGGGCTGTTTTGCCTTGGGTTGTTTGGGGTTAATTTCAATAGAGCTCGAAGATGGACGAATTAAATTCCCTATGAAAATTAGTCCGCGCTGTACGAATTACAGAAAAACTAATCTCCCGTCTATTTAGTAAGTGCGCGCATTTAAATATATAACAAACTTTGCGCCATACTAAAAATAGCCGGCCGATCACCTGCCGTTCTCGCATCTACTACAATTTTGGATTTATTTTTACGGACGAATCCGCCGCGTTTACTCATTTCCCTCAATTTCACCCGATATTATTATTAAACGGCGAACGTTCGAGAGGTCAATTGTCTAGTTGCACGTTCGACACTTGTTAAAATTTGTGAGTTAAATAGTTGCAAAGCCACGGATCGTCCAACGCACGTATACTTGAAATTCAACGATCACTCGTAGTGTCGGTTCGATTTATCGTCGATAAGTAACCAGTGATAGCGAATCGAGACCGTAATCTCCTAGTGCACTTACTTCCTTCGGTAGTTTTCCCATTTTTTTTTCAATTAATTTTCGATTTATTTAGCTGCTTTATCGCGCCGAAAGTAAAGGTTACGTGTGCGAGACTGCGTGCAACAATTTATTTATACGTTCGTATGTCGTTTTCGAAATTTCCATTCAACTGGCTGAGCGAAATTCCGGCTAGTTTTATCAGTAATTAACGTATTGAATGTCGTTAAGGAAATGTTGGCGTGGGATCGGCAGAGGCGTAGGCGTTTGTTTTCGAAAATCGGGTTACACCTATTTAAATAATTATCTCCGTAAAGATGTAGTAAAGTATGTCGATCGTAGTCGAGCAAATTTGACTCGAAATTTGTTTGATAATGGATTTAAACGGACTTCTCTTCTCGTAGATTCAAGTGTAATTTAAATATTTATCTGTTGATAAGTTACACAATGCATTTTAAACGAGATTAGTGCGTATTGATAATACGAGCGGTGTTTTTGTATGTTTCGAGGATTACATTTTATCATTATTATCAGCCGAAAAATAGTAACTTTTTAATTCTAATTAACAATTTTACAACAGATTTAAAGTGAAATTTTGTGTATGGTGCATTGATAGGTAATCTGCGATTTCTGTTTAATTTAATCGAAGGCGATTAAATTTTAATAGTTCAATTTATTACCGTACTAAAGTTTACTTTTAATTCCCTATGAATACCGTCGACAGGTCAACGTTTATCATAACCTTTTTTACATTGACTAAAAGCGAGTATTTAAAATACTCAGTTAATTTGTTGCATTGCGGATGTTTGTCTAATACAATTATGTGCTAATAATACACATGTTTCAAGAAATCCTATAAACTACAAATGTTAATAAAAGTTTTTATAAGTTTTCTTCTAATCGATTATATTGACAAGTGATACAAAGTAAATAATAGTCGCTTACTTCCTCTTAAATTTTAAATACTCAATCTGACTGTGTCATTATTTATGTATGTTCTATAAAGTAGACATATCTACCAAATTATTATATTCTGAAGTCCATAAATAAAAATATAGTCCATTTGAGTCCATAAATAAGAAACGAATAGACAAAGTATTGTTTTTCATACAAATTGACATTTGGAAATAATAAAAGTATATGAAAATTACTCCCATTTACAAAATTTGTGGTTTGCCTCCATAGACCACAAAATTAGAGTAATAAAATAATTTATTTTATTTATTTTAATATTATTAAAATTCGATGAACGATCGAAATTACCTAATGCTTTAGCTTTAGTTTACCTACGAATTGTGCAATTCGTAAATAGGATAATTTCGGTATAAAGAGACAAGGCTCTTCTCTTAACATCTCCGATCACTCCTGCGCCGGAATTTTGGATAAATAGGATAAATAACGTAGCGTAATGTATAAAACAAAATTCAGTTAATGACAAAATTATTAAGAGTTCTACACAAATGTATTCCCGGGGACTTGAACTCGCAGCTCGTGTATGCTTCAAAACCGTAACGCCGTAATTTTAAGTGTCCCTTACACTATATTTGTGTTTGCGCTCTTAATAGACTAATGTATTTACGTTTTCAGGATCCTCTGGCGATCAACCCCGCCGACTTGAAACGCGAAGACTTCCCCAAAGCCGTCGAAATCGACAGAAAAGACGAAGTGATCATTATCGAGGAGGAAATCAAGCAGAAGGGCGCCGGCAAATCGATCGCCAGGAAGTCCTGCGAGAAGGACCCGAAAGCCGATGTAGCCTCCGCCGTAATAGAAATCGATTCGGGGGATTCCGTGCACTCTGAGGGCGATCGAAACGCCAACGCGAGCCTAGAGAAACGGAACGATGGCGGCGTCGAGTGCATGGAAATCGATGATAACGACGCCGAAGTCGAGGTCATCACCAAGACGCCCAAGCGGCATTTGTTGACCGTTTCGAGCAGGAAATCCCACCAACAAGAGGCGGACAAGAAGGCGGACAAACCGCCTGTGGTAATTATACGGAAAGTTAAAGACGTCGATGCCAAGAGGTTAGCAGCTGATGAAGTAGTTCCGGTACCTTTCGCTAGTTTAGCGCCGCCTTCGACGTCTAGGGACTTCTCTGCCTTGGGTATGTCCCTCATAATTTTGAACCATCATCAATGCTCTATTAGTATTTAACCTAAACAGTACAAAATATATACTTGTTTGTTACAGAAACCTCTACAAAACCTGACATATCATCAGTAAGCAGCACTACCATTCCGGCAGAAATTATGATCGTCGATGAAGAGACCAGAATGAGCGCAGAAACCAACAGCAGAGCGCAAACTCCCGCTAAACAGGTACATACCCCATACCCCTCATTACTCCACTTCTGAATTACCTATCTCATTCACTTTAGGTAATCGCCTCGTCCGAAATGGTGGAAGAATCTCAAAGCTCCGTGCACAGCACTACCACAACCGAAAGCGGCAAAACTCAGTCTAGACCAAGCAAGACGCCTCGCTTGGAAGTACAAGAAACCGAAAGTCAAATAATAACGGCCGATCTTCTAACGGAATACTATTGGAACGGCAACGGCCCGTTTATGTTGCAAGAACAGGTTGCTCAGTTTTTGGGCATCAAATCGTTCAAACGGAAATATCCTGGCATAATGAGGAGGATGCTAGACATTCACGAGAGAGATTTCATTAGAGAAAAAGGTAGTTACTGTACCCAAGAAGTTTGTTTTGACTTCTTGAAAAGCCTATGTAGTTTCTCGAGAAGGCTACTATTCACTCAAAATGCCTACTTTATCTTTCGAGAAGCCTACTTGGCCATTCGAGAAACCTACTTAGTCGTTCAAGAAGCCTATCTTAAGCTCTAGAAGCAATTTTAACTAACTGTGTTGTGCTTGTAGGTCTAGCTTCGGAGCACATGTGCGATTTGGGTTTGACAGCAGTTAATAGTGCAGATATTTTGGACATCATGTATTCGGACTTTCAAGATAAATACGAAGACTACTGCAAGCATCAGCGAGACAGGCAAGCTAAGGACATGTTCAATAAGCAGAAGGCTCTAAGTTTAGCAACTAGCCAAGAGAAAAATAAGGCTGATATTACGGAACAGGCGGTCCAGTCGGCCGCCCAATGGAACGCTCGATTCAATAAGGTAAATTTAATTTAGTGGTAGATTTCGATTGTTAATTTTTAATGTTTTCATTGGTTTATAGGAGAGGAGAGAACAACGAAAAGCCTGCATGGACTTGCAAAACTTCACAGTGCATTATCCGAAAGGGAAGAAATCCCCTCACGCAATCAACACGAACCCCGGTATTTACCCGGTAGCTTTAGTGCCTGGTCAATTCGCAGAATTCTATAAGGTAGTAACAATAATTAGTTATAAATGTCCCGTAACTCGGTGTACATAGCTTATGAGGACGCCTTGGTTCTGGAGCGTTCTAAATGATTCTAGACAGTTGTAAATGATTCTGAAGCGTTCTAAATGGGTTCAGACAGTTCTAAATGATTCTGGAGCATTTTAAATCGTTTTAGACTGTTCTAAATGATTGTGGAGCGTTCTAAATGACTATACAGTTTTAAATGATTCCATCCCGTTCTTCTAATATTCTAAGTAATTTAATTAATATCTTAAAATATTAAAAAAAATAATTTTTATCTGGTTGTTTCTGATTTTTTTCATCGAGCATAAACGCATACATAAGTGCATATTTTGAAGGTTTTTAGTGCATATTTTCCAAGCTCTATTCATGTCTTTAAGCTCCCTTTAAGTGCAATTTAGGACAAAAGTCCATGAGGCAGTTTCGACTTAAATTTGACCAGGGAATACCCTCCTAAGCTATGTCCTTCGTGTGTCCGGACACCATGTGTAAGAACTATCGATTTAATTGAAATCTTGCAGGAATTTTCGCCGACCGAGCTGAACAATCTTCCCATAAACACCATGTGCTACGACGAAATTCGTTTCATTCCGCGCGACGATTCCGAGGAATCCGGATCGGAGTCCGAGTCCGATTCGTCGACTTCGTCCGGCTCTTCGACGTGTTCCAGTTCGGATAGCGACTCCTCTTCGGGCATCGATGATTGCAAATTGTGCAAGCACCCGACGAAAAAGGCCGCTATCTCGTCACAGCCGGTGTCTCCCGCTGCGACTGCGACGAAGTGAACGATGGACGGTTTTGTAACGGTAGTCGCCCGATAGAGTGTATGAAAAGTGAAGGATTTTTAACTGTAAGCTTAGTAATTTTAGGAGAAATATGAGTAAAAGTTTGATATTTATCCTGTTATTTGAAAAACATTGAGAAAATTCATGTATTAAGTGGTTAAATTTAGTTTGAGACTAATCAGGGTGTGATTACATGTGAGTTATGAGGGAGTGTCGTCTGGAGGATTTTACACTTTCCTTGGGATTGGAGGATCTATGATAAATTGATTATATTTATACCAATTTTCTTGAAGAATTGATTTTTTTTCAATATGTAATAGTTTTAAAACTTTATTTGTCCAATTTTGTTGGTGAACATGACGAACTTCGAGTTAGTAAAACTAACGGCAAACGGCAATCTAGTAAAATTAAAATTGTAAGGGTTCAAAAATTCTTATTTATATTTTTTCATCCCTCTCTCAATGCTTCAGCACTATTGCAAAAAATTTGGAATTTATATTATGTACCATTTTTTTTGAATTTTCTAAATATAATCCTTTATACTGATTTGAGTAAAAATCAATATTGTACATATTTTTTTATTTTATTTCAACAGCAACAGTTGTATCACTTTATTAATAAAAGAAATAATAGAGATTTTGCGTTTCAAATTATGTATGTAAAAAAAGCAAAAATTACAGGTCCCACCGAGATTCGAACTCGGATCGCTGGATTCAAAGTCCAGAGTGCTAACCATTACACCATGGAACCTTGAATGTAACGAATTAAAAATAACGTAAAAAACTTACACCCAAACTATTATTAGCGATGACGTTCTTAAATAATTATGATATTCCAATAAGCATATTACATGTATAAACATTGTTGATTTCGTTAGAAAAAGTTTTTATACCTAAAATCAACTATTCAAATAATAAAAAAGAAGAAAAATTATGTAACTGAACTACTGTAAAGGTCAAGTATCTCATCTCAGTCACTTGTCAAATTAGGCATATGTCAAATGTCAATTTTTGTTTATTTTTACAAAATATTTTCGAACTTTTAATTACATATTACATTTAAGAATACATTCGTTATAGTAGTTTAAAACTTAAAACTAATGAAATAAACAGAATGAATAATCAAAATGCAACTGAAAAAAACAACACCGCTGATGGAGTTAGCGAAGTTGAATATACCCGTGAACAAAAAATAGTGGCTGCTGTTTGGATGCACGAAAGAAAGTACAATTTTCAAACGTACGACGATATTAGAAAGAACTTCCAAATACGATTTCAGTTACCTGCACCGGATCCCAAGGAGATAAACAACTGGGAAAAGCAATTGTTCTCCGTCGGCGAAATTGACAATAACACTTCCAAAGAAGGACTTGGTGGTATACTTGGCATTGATGATGAATTCTCTGATGTAGGCTTTAGTGATGAGGAATCTGATTAGGCATTTTTAATTTGTACTATTTATAATAATTTAGTATTTCCTAAATGACGAATGGTTTGAAAAGATTTTTTTTGTTAGTTGAGTTTCGAGATCTGTTCGATTATAATAATCTAGGTATTAAAATACAGGGTGTTCCTTTGACTTATAAACATAGGTCAGCAAACGATTCATTACCGATCTACAGGGAGTTTAAATTTTTCTGGGTTTTTTCTTTAGAGCTCCTGCAGTTTTGAGATATTTCGTTTGTGCACGTTGTTCAGGAACACCCTATAATATTTACATTTCTATTTTACCTGTTATGTTAAAAATATCTAAAGTTATCTAAAAAAGTGAGATTAAAGTATTTTTTGAGTAATACAATGTATAATTCACTAAATTATGAGGGAATTAAGGGATTTTTCAAGAGTACATTGAAACAGCAAATTAGAAAAACAAAAATATATTCACTTTTAAAAACATTAAGATGTGGTTAGTTATATTACTTAATTTTACAAATTGTTTCTAAGTATTTTAAAATGCAAACTTTAAAGAATATTTTAGGAGAAGCTTCAAAAATTCAAAACAAAAAATTTTTGACTGAAGAAAAAAAATTTGTAACTTAATAAATAATCTTTTATTACTTAAATTTGCCCACTTTCTTAATAATTCACCAACTAAATAAAAATATTTACTAATTGTAAACTACTCCCAAAAAATATCTACTATAAAATAACAATATCGCCTAAATACCTAAGTAATTGCAAAAATTTTTTGTTTCAACATCAAATTTATAACTTGTCCTTATATAATTATTATATGGATATATTGTAGTAACTATTTCAATATCAGAACAATTCCAAATAAAATTAACAAAGAAATTCAAGTAAATTAAATTGAGTAATTGGACTTTACAAAAATATCACATTAATTTAGAATCTCATAAAAAATAACTAAAACAACAAATATAATTGTAGCAATATCTTTCAAACATCAAAAACTTAGATACATTTAAGAACAAAATACAATAAGATAATATTACATATACAGTGTTATTTATTAGGCATTTTCCATAAAAAAGGCGAAAAAATATAAATATATTTAGCTTGTATATTTAACGACTACTTAAATTACAAATTTGTGAAGTTATTGTCACGATACGAATATATTTTATTTGTGCATATTAGACTACTCTTTCAAACATAGCCTAGATACCTTCATCTTCGAAATTTTTTTAAAAATTATTGTCACATGTTTCAAAATACAAAACAGCCGTGTAAAAATATTGCTAATTTAAAATTTACTTAGTTATTTTGATGATATAGGTACTTCCTTAATTCTAAAATGGTAATAAGTAATAACATTCTAGGTTCGTTGGGAAATATTGAGTAGACCTTACTTGGAATAAATTTCAATTTTTTTCTTATTGAGTAAGTAAATTAAAATTGTTTGTCATTCTGTAATAATAATTAAATTGATATTTACAAATAGGTGCAATTGACTTTATGCCGTCTCTTTAGATTTTTGAATCTAAATATATAATGAAAACGTTTTAGCAATATTTTTACGTTCTTCAAAAATATTACTATAATAGGTACATTTCTGCCGATGTCAAACTTTTCCCTCATAGGAGCCCATTTTCAAAAAATAAAAAAAATAACATTTTGGAATTAATGGAAATAGATCAGAATGTTGTTCATTCCTTAGAGAGTAAACTACAAATAATATAAAAGACAAGAATTTGTAGAGTAAAGTAAATATAAAACAATTTAATAAGATCATATTTATGATGAATGTAAAATCAATTTATTTGTTACAGTTCTTGAAAAGCGACTCTTCCCAAATTACGTTTAATCAGTCCTTTAACTAAATTCTTACTCTATTCAACATCGACAATATATTCAAATAAAATTAGTATCCAAATTTTTTCATATATTGACATTTACATTTTAAAATTACGTAAACGTGTATAAAATATTTGTTATTATTAATACTAATTATTGTCATATGTTACAGAAGAAAGCACATTTGACTCACAATATTAAAAAAATTATTGTCTATTACCAGAACTAGATAAAAACTTCTGGTGCTTTGTAATTTCAAGCACATCGACTTTTATCGAAACTCCTGTAAGTTTCGTTTCACAATAAATTTATCCAGTTCCAGTTACTTACGTTCTCTAAGTACCATAAAAACAAAAAGAGCAAGTACTCGCTGGTAATTGTATCGTTCCTAAGCAATTAATTATTGTCTACGTAAACCACTAGTCAATAGATATAAAATAAAATTTTAAAATTTAACATTAAACGAATAAAATACACACAACAACAACCGAATGGAAATTCACCGAGCAACGAAAAACTTAACAATTCGGGTAAAAGCTTTGGTAGCATCCTAAAAGAGACTTGCTCTTTTCCAGTTCCTCTATAATTATGTATTACAATTAATGGAAATAACTAATTGATATGACGTAGGACTTATACTCAATATTGTAGCAGCTTCTATTCGTATGACGATTCTAAAGGATATGTTGGAGATTTTTTCTAATAGATTATACTCCGTTCGCCTATCAGGAGATAGTAATTAAATTTTCTAACAGCAGTAATAGGCGCGCAATAAATAAATAAAAAGTATGGCACACTATTGAATTAATAAATTGATAAATTACTAGTAATTATTTGTATATCGTTAGTATACGAAATAGTGATTCAGTTATAAATGCAGTTAATTAATTATATCCTTTTAGTATCTAGTTAATATCCCAGAAGTTATTGTTAAATACCCTGTATACAGAGTGGCACTACTAAAGTAAAAAAATATTGGTATTACACAATGGTAAAAGCCTTTTGGTAATAGTTTTGGAACTTTATTATTGTTTTCGTTGAATCGTGCTGTATTTTGTATACAAAATTAGATTTTATTACTATCTCCTGATAGCGAACGGAGTATAATCGAAGTAAATTTGATATTGAATGGCCTGAAAAATAAGTTACTTATATTCAAACAGTGCCAAATAAAATGTGAAAATTCACATCAGATATACTTTTTATAAGATAATAATTCACTTGGTCCTTCATACGAATAGCGCTAAACGTTTGTAGAAATTGCATAAATTCTCAAAAACTTTCAGTCAGTAGAAAAAGACATTTAAAATCTTCGTTACAATTGAATAAGAAGTACATTACGACAAATCGCGAAAGCGACTAGTACCCATATTACTTTTCCGTACTGGAAATGCGCAGATGTAGTACCGCTAATTTTGCTGTTGTGCAGCGATATGTAACCCGGCTCCACGATGTTGATCTTCCAACCTAAATTGTTGTGGGTATAGCACTGAAATATACAGGTTTTAGGACATCAATTTCAATTAAATGGTTCATTATTTATACCACATCAAATGTAACTTAGCAGCGGAAAATTGCAGTAGATGAGCAAACGAAGAAGAACGATTAACTAGGTTAAAGTAACCTGAGAAATGCCCTATTCAACTCAGTTTTAAAAGTGTATCGTGCGTTAAAAATGAATTTACAAAATCTGTAATATTATCTGCAACTGTCAGGCTACCTTTGATGAGGTACTTTATTTATCTTCATTCTGGAAACGCGGTAGATACCTGATAATAGAGGACATCGGGCGCGTTCATCGGCACCGTCCAATTCAAATCAGCCGGCTCTCCCTGATCGCACTCCAATCGCAACGTCTTCGTGAACTCCTCGAACGTCTCGGATTCGAGAGACTTGTCCACGCTCTTGTGCGTCCACTCGCAGTACCTTCCGGCCAACGTCGGGTACGCGTAACCGTCGCTGTCGTACTCCACGCCGGCGAATACCTTTTGCTTGAACCGTTCCTCTTCGGACTTCTGCCCGAAACCGCCCTCCTTCGAGTCCGTTATGTAGAACGGGTGGAACCTGAAAACGCAGAAATTTTAACGTCTCGGAAGGTCTTGGAGTTTCTACAACTGTGGTGGCGAATTGGGCGCCAAAATATATTTAGTAACGGGAAGCTTAAAAGGGTATTTTGATCCTATAAGTAAAGTGGGCGCAAGAATATTTCAGGTAGAAAAGGGGCAGCAGAGAGTAGAGAACAGACAGTAGGGAACAGAGAGCAGGGAGCAGAGAGCAGGGAGCATGGAGCAGAGAGCAGATAGAGCAGAGAGCAGGTAGAATAGAGCAGAGAGTACAGAGCCGAGAGTAGAGAGAAGAAAGTAAAGAGCAGAGAGAAGAGAGCATCAAAGAGCAAAGAGAAAAGAGAAGAGAGCTGATATCAAAGATCAGAGAGTATAGAACAGTGAGAGAGCAGAGAGTAGAGAGCAGGGGCAGAGAGCAGAGAGAAGAAAGTAGAGAGCAGAGAGATGAAAGTAGAGAGAAGAGGGAAGAGAGCAGAGTAGCAGAGAGTAGAGACCAGAGTTTAGAGTGTGGAGAGTAAAGAGGTGAGATGTAAAGAATAGAAAGCTGAGAGTAGAGCGTAGAGAGTAAAGAGTAGAGGGGAGATTAGAAAATACTTCGTTTTAAATAAAAAATCTAGCGCCTTTAATAGTTTTAATAATACCTTGCAGGATTGCTGCTGTCGTCGCCTCCTTCTACTTTGAACGTGTAGGTTTGTCCTCTTTCCAGCGTTAATTCGGGTATGAGCAGATCGTTTATGTACCATGCTATTCCCCACGAAGGTAGACCAGTTATGGGAGTGTAGCCTCTTTTTCCTCCAGTCGGGCCTAGTCTCGCTGTAAACGTGGTTTCGCCTAAAATCATGGAAATAGTAAAGAGGCGAGGAGACGACGAAAAATTGGATTGTTTAGATATTTTTTACAAGTACCAACTATACTCCGATTGTCATCAGGATATAGCAAAATTAATGTTGTTAGATTACCTATAATTTTAGCAGGTGGCCAAGGTTTAACACCGCCAAAATCGTCCAAGTCCTCCAAATTAATCGAGCAATCGTGATCATCGAAATTACTGAAATCAATCCGCAGATCTTCCGTGGTCTTATCCGCCGCAGCGTGGGCGTTAGCCTCTTTCAACGAATTCAACGGTCCGAACGCCGCTATAATGGACACTTCGCCGGTCTCCTACAAAAGCCCGCTTTACTACCGCAATCCCGCCTCGATCCCCCGAATCGAACTTACAGGTATCGGCTGATCGTGAATCGCCTCGTTCGTTTTCAGAGGCCTTCGAAATTTCACCGTGGTGATGCCGTTATCGCGAGAGCCGGATATCAGCGTAACGTCGTTCCTTCCGCCGATGCGTTCGTCTGGACACACTCCTTGTTTCCCATCGCATTGCGCCGTGTGCGAGATGTAATAATCCTCCGCGTGGAAGGTGCCGTCCTTGGAGTCGTAAAATGCTACTATTACGTCGCCCCCAATCTGGAAATGTTTGAATATACTTGTAGTTAGTTTCACCATCTGAAGGATTGTATTCAAAAGAATGTATTAATTCTTTTGAAGAGATTAGATCTGTAGAGGATTCTGGGGAACATTCTGAAGAGGATTCTAGAGAGGATTCTGCAGAGGATTATGGAGTGGATTCGGGAGAGGATTCTGTTTCTGTACAGGATTCTGGAGACGATTCTGGAGAGGATTCTGGAGTGAATTCTGCATAGGATTCTGAAGAGAATTCTGGAGAGGATTCTCGAGTTTCTTGGAAGAGATTCTGGGTTATTGAACAACTGTAGACAAGAATGTGGAGAAGGAGAAATTAGGAAAGTTATGACACTAGTTAGGACTAAGTTAGGACAGTACTAGGACTAAATTAGGACAAATAAAGGTAAGAGAATGTACCATAACATACCATTTGTGGTTTACCAGTTGCTCCAGAGAGTCCGAAGGCTATATACTGGTCATCGGGGAGCCTGGCTGACAGAGTTATGTCCACGTAGTCCTCTTCAATTTTCCATCGAACTTGCAACCGTTTGTCCAGGAATTCCCGGCAATTGGCGGATTCTCCGTACTTGGGAGTTGTGCTAGTCTAAAATCGCAGTGAAAAAATTCATTTACCGTACATTTTGGGACGAAGCTGGTACTTACTGGGTTGTACCACCAGGGAGGCTTGAAATTGAAGCGTTAGTAAAATTGGTATTTTCGAATAATTTAGAGGTTTGTGAGAATTATGAAGTAGGTATACCTCACCGAATGTAGCTTGGCAGTTGAAAATTGCCATTGATATTAATTATGCATTTTAGGAACTGCAGGTACACTTTTTGAAAAAAATGAAAAATTATTTAAATCATTCTATAGATGTATAATATAAATCAACTGCATCACTGGAAATATTGCCATCTTTACTCTGTTATCTTTAATCTTTACTCTTCGATCGAAAAGTGGTCAATAGAGCTATTATTACCTACTTTCTCCCTTCTTTAAATCCATCCAACTTTTTAAAAATTGCAACTATCGAGCTACATTTATTGAGGTATAGAAGCTTACCGATACTTTAGTTTGTCCAAGAGCTGGAGGAACGTCTATGTCTTTCGGTATAAGAACGTGCCCGAAATTGTGCCTGTACTGAACGCACCACACAGCCAACCAATCGATGTCATACACAGTCAGTAAACCAGGAAGTTGTATTTCAATGTCTTCTCCTTGGTAACCCCTGAAACGGCAGTTTTCAGCCCAAATTTTGCCGGTAAAGATTCGGTTACCTCAGCGGTTCCAGCGAACCCATCTCGTTGGGAACCTTGATCCCGAAGGAGGTGGGCTCCGAGCCGTTCCCCACCCAGAAGTAGGCGTCCGGGCCGGCGCCGTCGTAGTGCAAATTGGGTATGTAGAACGTCTTGGCGTCCAAAATACTGATGTTGTCTGAGCGCAGGCCGTGAGCAAGTCGCTTGAATTCTGGAAGCACCCGAGGTTTGGGCACTTCCAAATTCGGGGGTATGAACACTTCGCCGAAATCTACCTGGAAAATGAATTGGTACATTAGCAAAAGAAGAGTCTATACTCCATTCTATTCGCCATCAAGAGATGAAAACAAAACCTCCTTGAAGTGGCACTACTAAAGTAAAATAAACATTAATATTACACAATAGTTAAAGCGTGAAAGTGGAATTCAGGTGGAAATTAAGTTGGAATTATATGATTTTTCACTCGTGCTGTCTTTTGCGTACAAAATTTAGTTTTAAATCTGTTAACGAACAGAGTATAAATTTACAGGAGTTTAACAAAAGTTTATAAATGTCTCCCGTGAAATATTAACTGCTGTTTAGATTTAAAAAAAGTTAGAGAGTATGGAAAGATCTACCTAAAAATAAAATGCAGTTTAAGTCCTACAGAATTCTAAAATATAGTCATTATATTTATAAAACTCACTGTACAGTCAAGTGAAAATTTGGCAGAATTTATTGAACAATTAATATATTATTAGAAAAATGTTGGGGTAGATATAGAGATATAAAATTTATTTAAACAATTACTCAGATAAATCCTGAAATATAAATAAAAAATTTCGAAAAAAAATGTTAAAAAATTGAATTTCCATTTAAAATGTAGGAATTTACCTATGCCGGCGCATTTAGGTATACAAGTCCCATTGCCGGGAGTCGAAATTTCAGCGCAGGTCGATACACTGCTACCGTAATGTAAAACGAAAATCCCAACCTTCTAAAGGGTAATGACAGACCACTAAATTCGAAATTGTGCTTTAAAAATAATGAACAGAAGGGCCCTTTTTGGCGGCGCGGAGGACCTTTTATATGTCCGGTAATATTTTTTTATCCGGCGTTTGACATAGCCTCCCGTAAACGCTATTGTTAGGCGAAATTCAAACGAGATTCGGGGAAAAATGGGAAAATTATAAAGTTGGGAGTTTGCGCATTTTCAATAATTTTAATTAAATTACTAGTACATGTAATAAGGCAAATTATATCATTGATTTTTTTGGTATACTTAACCATAGGGATCGTACAAAATATTTCAAAAATTCAAATAGGAAACGCCAAAAACTATCTATTAAACTAACTATTAACTTTACTGTGCTATTTAGCAACAATTGTGTATATTATTAGAGCTACTTTTGGTGAAAAATGGGGCTATTTTGTTATAAAAAAGAGCCACCTGTTGTTTGCAATTTATTTACCTTTTTCCCAGCTGTAAATTCAATTTGAAGCACACCACATTAATTACATCTCATAATGTGAAAGATGAAAACATTTGTACCTACAGATTTGCTAAAATTATATTGCTCAATTAAAAATTATTCGTTTATTTAAGTTATAAATTCTAATCTAATTATTCTTCTAATAAACTTTTGCAGCAGGTAATTGAAAATCGGTTTTCGTTTATTTGGTTCGGGATTTTCTGTTTACTAATTATTTGTTTCACCGATAGTTCCGGCAAACTTTAGATTTTACGGTCGATAGATGGATTCGGATATTTCCTAGAAAATATAGGAAAACTTTCGACGGGGATTTTCATATTCCGCATTTTCTCTTCGAGAATAATTCACGATTACCATTGCATTTTTACGGGAGCTTGCAGGATTTTCTAGGAGAATATTTCAAAGAGAAATCCCTTAATATTGGGTCATTTCTCTACCCGTGAGAGTAATTTAAGTAGTCGGAAAACTCTATTGCCTATCAGAAATATTTATTCGAAGGAGTCTGCTCAAAATAAAAAATTAGGTAACACAAGATCATCAAAAGAGTCATTATTTGCCTAAAGAGTGATATCATTTCAATAAATCATCAGTGATAATCAGTATATTAATATCATCCACAATCTATCCTTCTATCCTAATATCATTCTTAAATTCCTTGGCAAAATCCTCTTCAGTATAGCCCTGTACAATTTTGCCTATTATTGCTAGACGATCTCTACAATTTAGTTCATCTGCATTTATTTTATAATAGTCCTCATAGACATCCAACAAAGATCTATACTTGATTTTCCACGCCTCTACAATCCTGTGAATCCCATCCCCAATACACTTCGTTTTATTCACCGGCCTCTTACAACACAAACCACCAGTCACTCGTACAGAAAAAAGTAAATTCCTGATGATATTCCACATGCAAATGAATCAGCAATCCAGCAACTTAATATACCCTCTTTTAAAATCCAGTTTCAGTTAGCGGACGCAATAAATATAGAGGCGATGAGGCGTGAAGCGTGCAGAGGGATGTTGTGACGCCTCCTGAAACGTTTCTATGATTTACGGGCAGGCCGTAAATGGAACCACTTTACCGGAACGCCATACGCTCTCCACACAGACAGATTTAATGGACAGAAATGGATGCGGAGTTTACGCGAACGCCGGCTCCAACCGGCGGAGAAAGTAAAACAAAGGACGTTGCATGTAAAATCAGGGAAATCAACGACGTGGCTAAAACTTTCTCGGTGGGTTTTTTTTCTGGGAAACTCGCCGGCCCTTTTGTGTCCGCTCGGAGGGGGTTATTTAATAGTAGTGGTGTTGATTAGGAGAGTAACTGTATGGTGAGGAAGTTTGTGGGTAAATTTGAGATGGAATAGGTGAAAATGGGTAGTTTGAGGGATTGTTCCAGTTGGTGAAGAAATAATGTGAAAGTGTAAAATATACCGAAGTTGGTACTAAACTTTATTAATACATGACTATTATAGTAAATTCAGGATTGCTAGAATTTATAAATTTTTGTTTGTTTTATTTTTCAAAATATTTGCAAGTAAATTTGACCATTCCTTAGGTTATTTTACTTGAATAGTCGATTTTTCAAATGATTTTACTTGTAAATTCAACGATTTGCTAGAATATTTTACTAAATTGGTCGTTTTCTTATATTATTTTGCATATAAATTTGACCATGTTATTTAGAATTCCTCAGATTAATTAATTATTTAGATGATTTAACAAGATTTTACATGTAAATTTGACAATTTTTTAGTACATTTTTCTGATTTAGTCAATTTTTCAAATGATTTTGCATACCTATAAATTTGACCATTTATTCAGAATTCCTCAGATTAATTAATTATTTAGATGATTTAACAAGATTTTACATGTAAATTTGACAATTTTTTAGAACATTTTCCTGATTTAGTCAATTTTTCAAATGATTTTGCGTACCTATAAATTTGACCATTTATTCAGAATTTCTCAGATTAAACAATTTTTCAGATGATTTAACAAGATTTTACATGTAAATTTTACAATTTTTTAGAACATTTCCTTGATTTTGTCAATTTCATTTTTCAGAATATTTTCATAGTTCAATATTTCAATTGATTTTACAAGATTTTATGTGGAAATTTGCCGATTTTTAGAATATTTTCCTACGATAGTTAATTTTTCGTATGATTTTATAAATATTTATTGCAATTTTGTCGATTTGTTAGAATATATTACCAAATTAGTCAAATTTTTAAGGGTTTATAAGATTTAACATGTAAATTTGACAATTTTTTTGAAAACTTATTTCCCCACATTATTTAATTTTCATATGATGTTATAAATATTTCTTGTAGTTTTGTCGATTTTTAAGAATATTTTACTAAATTAGTCGATTTTTATGATTTTACGAAATTTTACTTACAAATTTGACATTTTCTTTACTATTTTACTACATATTCCTTTTTGTAGATGATTTTATAAGGTTTTAGTATGTAAATTGGACGATTTTTTTAAACATTTTCCTAGATGTAAATTTTTTAAAATTTTTCAATCTCTACTAACACCTACTAAACATAACCACCAACATACAACACGCTCAGTATTTAGCAGAAGACATTCAAAAACACTTACCGTGAATCGTCTACACCATACAGAAAGCCACCGGATGTCCCTGATTCTTTTTCCCATTGGAAGCCGAAGGATTATGTCTGTGTTATTGTAAGCCCGTAATACTGGCGGATCTCTGAAACAAAGCCGAGTAATAACTCCCTACGAAGGATAAAAACGCTCAACGCGGCTCGCTCTTTCCTAGTTTACGCTGCAGTTTTCGTCCCACGCCCGGGACGAATTGATTACTTTCAATGATACACGTGAGCAGAAAAACCACGTTAAAAGAATGGGGAAAAAAGGAAGTAGCTAACAGCTAACGTTTTAGGGATAACGAGAGGATTTTATATGTCGTGGGTTGTTTGTTGCGATTAATTTGTTTTTTTTTCCAATAAATATTTTACCCTTCTAATAGTACCTATTTTTGAATTAAAAGGAATATTGTAAAATATATTAATGTTTCTTTAGTTGCTTTAGTTTCTTTAGTTTCTTTAGTTGCTTTAGTTGCTTTAGTTGCTTTAGTTGCTTTAGTTGCTTTAGTTGCTTTAGTTGCTTTAGTTGCTTTAGTTGCTTTAGTTGCTTTAGTTGCTTTAGTTGCTTTAGTTGCTTTAGTTGCTTTAGTTGCTTTAGTTTCTTTAGTTTCTATAGTTTCTATAGTTTCTTTTGTTTCTTCAGTTTAAAAACCACCTAAATTCATATAAACCCTTTATTATCGTGAAAAAATCTTTCACATTTTTCAAAAATCACACTCAAAAACATATTTCTGCCTTATATCCGAAAAAAAACTATTATCATCAAGCATCAAATTACTCTTGAAAATCTCCCTTAAAACCATCTCTTATACCACCACCAAATATCTAAATAATTTGTAACAAATGTAGATACACTCTAAATTCCTGCTCATCCTACATTTTTCAAAGAAGACACAGTTTAGGCAACGAAGATATAATAATAATAATGACGATACGATACGATTCGATAGGCAAAAGGAAAAGGAAAGTTCGAATAAGCGCGACCGGAGCACCACCCTCGATACGCGCCGGGGAGCGAAGCCGGCACGGAGAAAGGAGGAGATCACGCACGAGCACAGAGAAAACAGGAGGGCGAACGTAATTGTGATGAAGTCAGCTTAACATCTTTATTAACTGGCGGGAGCGAATCGACTCGACTCGTCGTCGGGAGATGTATTCGAGGAGGACCGTCACGAGGACGCGGCACGGGAGTCGCATATTTTCCTGGTTGGATCGATATGCGTTTATTGCCTTTTGATTTCCTCCAGTGGAAGTAAATCCGCTTATCCGTTTAACGACCTGACGACGACGGTTTGTTGTCGGGAGAATTCCGGGTTTGTGTGCGTTTTCCGCGATATTTGGGCAACGAACCGCCGCGGCCTCGTTATAAGTTTTAAAATTGTTTGGAAAATTGGTAAATTTTTTTGTTCCGTGGGATTATTAAGTTAACTTTTATTTAGAATTTTAAATAGAGTTTCCTTTAGATTTGTTTTCAAAAGACCTAATGGCATTAGATGACCTACAGGACCTAAGGGATCCTAATGATTGAAAGAACCCAAAGAACCCAGTGAACCTAAAAGAACCCTATAAACCTAAAGAAGTCTAAAAAAGCCTATTTACTCAATGATCCAATGTTTCCGATGAACTTTAAGGATTCTACACGCATAAGAAATCTTTGAACTCAATGATCCCAATAGATCCAAAAGAATCCGTGGACTAGAAGGAACTCAATGGATCCAATGATAGATATGAATGATCCAGTGAAACCAAGGGACCCAATACACCCCAAAAAAACACAAAGACCTAAATAGATCCAATTTACCTAGGAAGAACATTCCACAATAAATTTCCTGAGCACTAACTCCCAAACTATAGTCACGCGTTCCTCGCGTAGGGGTCGTACCTCAAGGATTACTTAGGGGTCTTACTCGCTTGGCTTATTGTAGTAAAACAGGATGTATGGATATATACATAAAATTTATTGGGATCTGACAGATTCTTTGACAGGCACCGATACAGAACAAAAACAAAACTATAATCTAACTACTTACCAAGAAACCCAACTTGTCATCTCGGTTGACGTAGATGGACCAACACAATGTCCGTTTACTAAGTCACTCGTTTCACTACCCCGAACACACGAAGACACTAGGGCTCACGCTTCCCGTGGGTACTCACACTTAGTACCTTCGTAGTCCGTCTATCGGACTTTACCGCGCGCGGATCAAATCGAGAGAGCCTCACGCAGAGGTCCCTTGGGCGAGAAAGCCCAAATCGAGCGAGCCCTGCTATTTTCGTGTGTCTACATTTTATAAGTTTGTCGATGACCCAATACGTGATATTTGGCGTATTACATATGTAATACGCCGACCTGCATTCGCGATTCACGGTCGACCGACCTTGCCTATTCAGCATTATTATAAATAATATAAACATATCTTGTTTCTGTTACATTCAATGAAATTAATAAATATTAGTAAAATTGGAGTTACTCCTCGATCCGTGACACTATAGATAATAATAAACTCATTGATGGACCAATCAAACATTCATAAACCATCTCTAGTGCCTCCTTTTCTTTGCTCAGAGCTCAGAGTATTCTCTACACCGTGCTTTCTATTTCCACTTATGAAACCGCCATCCATTCCCTTAATGCCATCGTTGTACAAACAGACTGTCTACTTCTGACCAGTTTTACGTTATATTGAGCGTACGTAATGCATTGCGTTTTGCCCGGCAAACTTCATTTCTAAATTACGATGCTTCCGTAATGTCCGAGGATCAATATTGGTTTGTTCTTGGGTTTCCGACATTGCTGTCTTCATAAATCAACAGTTTGATTTAGCCGGTTTTGTGTGTTTTGATGACTATCGGGCGGCGGTTTTATTTATTTTCTACGAAATTTAGTTTAATGCGGCGTGATTAATTCTGTGCAACTTCGATAAATTGAAATGAAACGAGGAGGCATATACGAGGAAAACTACATGGTATTTTCGTCGGGAGAGCCTGCAAATCCCGAAGAATCGCGGTATCAGAAGGGAGCTCGACGGGACTAAAAATACTGACAATGCGGTATTAGAGGGAATCGTTACCAAATCGACGAACAAAATATTGATTTCAACTCACCGAACTAATGCCATTGTCTGCCCTAATCCCTTCGGATACAGTTTGTTCTAACCGGAGGACTCTTCCGTTTGCGGATCCCCGAGATCAATACTAGGTAAAAAAAGGTAACTACGTAAATCTTTATTCAAATTTTCCCAGGGGTGGAGCAGGCATTTCAATTTCTTCCATTCCGTTTCCCGCGAAGTTTATTTCGAACTCTCCGACACAAAAAAAATCTCGCCGACCAGAAAATTAAAACGCGTTCGGAATTTAATTAATTTTCTTCGCGCGCTTTTTTTTACCTAAAGTTTTCTTTCGAGCTCTAAATAGAGGTTCTGTTAACCAGTTTTCTTGACCCGATTTCTTCTCAATGGCGTCCTTAATATTCCTGCGGTTTCGTAATTTTTTTTATCTATTTCTTGTTGGATGAAGTTTAAATAAAAACACTTAGTAAAAATTATGAAAATACAATTAATGTTGAGGTGGAAGTATTTAAATATTTGACGTAAAATATTTATGAATGTTTCATTTTAATGGGGCCAATGAAACTAATGGATTAAATAAATCAATGGATCAAATAGACCCATTATATTTAATAAACCCATAGATCCAGTAGGTCCAATAGATACAATAGACCCAACAAATTCAATAGAAACAACAGCTTTAATAAATCCAATAGATTCTGGAGGCTCCGTAGATCCATTAGATTTAACAGACCTAATGGAATAGTTCTAATAGTTCAAATAGACCCAACAAATTTAATAGATTAAATTCTGGAGGTTCCATAGATCCAATAGACTTGTGACAAAAGACAAAGAGAACAAAGAACAAATTCAATAGAAACAACGGATTTAATAGATCCAACAGATTCTGGAGGTTCTAGAGATCCAAAATATTCAACAGACCTAAAAGATTCAATGGATCAAATGAAATCAATAGATCTAATAGTTCAAATCAACCCGACAGATCCAATAGATCCAAGATATTGATAATATCCAGTAGATCTAATAGGTCCAATAGATGGAATAAAACTAATGGAACCTGTAGATATAATACTTCTAATATACTCAACAGACCCAATGGACCCAACAGACAGTAGACTCGACAGATTCAATAGTTCTAGTAGATTCAATATGCCCAGTAGATCCACTAGAACTAATAGTTCCAATAAACCGGACATATTTAATAGATCCAGTAGACCCAAAGGACTTCCCTCAATGACTTATTAAACCATTCCGTATGCTACACTAACAAGCTATCAATCCACTGATGATACACGACGATTAATCAACGCTTGATTAACATCAGTTTGGAACTGTTTTTTTGCATAGCGCAGCAAATCTCTTTCTGGTGTACATTTACAGCGTTTAAATCGTTCCGGTTCCGACAGTCCGACTCCGGTAATCCCCCGACCGATGTGTCGCGTACTTGCAAAACTTACAACTTCGCCAGTAAAACTAAACAGTCGGCGAAGTTTTTAGAGCCCGAAGCTCTATCGCTAATCGGCTTACGCCATTTGAAATGATAACTGTAAGCCGTTTAATGGGACGGGCAAGGCATTACGCGATAAAGAGGGAGGTTTTTTTCCGGCGAAGGTTTTTTCCGATTATTTACAAGCTGTACATTCGGACAAGGGCGGTTCTCTCCAATGCTCTGGTATCCAGGATTTTTTGTAGGCACCTTGTATAGGGCAGATCTAGGTATATACCCTCTTCCTTTGGAATCTAACTTTAGCATGTACAAACCGCGGTGAAGTAAGCAACAGAACACGACTCGTGGGGATCCCGGGATTCTCCTCCTAAACATTTAAAGGGAGATCCCTAATTATCTTAATAGTAATATCCGTATCCGTTGGCTGATTTAAATAGTGAGTGTTGAACACTCAATAAGGGAGCCCGGCCGGCGTCGAGGGTGCACGTCCACCCTCGTCTGAGGGAGGGAGGTTTTACACTATATTTAATCAACGTGAAAGGGGAAGATGAATAACCGTCGCAGACGCATTTACATTTAAATGGATACACAATGGTAAAGAGGTGAATGGATTTCTTTCTCGTTATCTTTGATATGGGCGCTAGATAGACGGGGCCGTTCGGCTCGAGGGCTGTTTGTGACGGAAAAATGTCCTATTTAAATGAGCTTATTTACTAGTCGTAATTAAAATTATTTCTTACTGGTTATTATGCAGTTATGTATACTAAGAGTTTTTGAGAGATTTCTAGTTATTAAAGGATTCTTGGTGGGTTTTAAGGAGTAAATAAGAAGTTTTTTAATTAAGGAAAAAGTTTAAAGTTTAAAGTAAAAGAAGCTTTTAGTTTTGTTATGTTATGATTGGTACAATTACTTTTTTAATTGATTTTTGCTAATCTCGTGGTTTTGGATTTTGTTTGAAGTATTTTAATAACTTTGATTTCTTCAACTTGAATCATTAAATAATTTTCTTGAAGATATTCTCAAATAAGTTTTCCTCAAAATTTCTTAAATTAATTTCAAAGGTTTTAAATACTTAAATAACATTTATTGACCTACTTTTAGGTCATATAAAAATCTCTCATTACCTCTCTCAATCTCTGCATGTATCTTCTCATTATAAATCTTCTCATATATAAATATTCTCATTGCACGCTAATTGCCCCGAATTAATTTAATTGAATTCCACCTGAAACACATCGAATTTTACCGGTAACATCAACTTTTAATATTCCCCCGCGCGCATTTACTTTGATTAGTGTTTCGCAAGACTCGCAAAAGTCCCGAGCGCACGCTGCTCGTAGAAAATTGGCATAAAAGAGGGCGAATGCAGATTATATTCTGGTCCTAATAAATGGTATTGAAAGTTTGAAACATCCCATATAATCAAGCCGCAACTGACGACATAGCAACTTGGGAATATTAAGCTCCGAGCGAGAGCTTTGAATGCGGGGCGAGCTGGGGATGCGGTGCAATAAAAGCGGATCCCCCTCGCGCCGGTTCTCTTTTTGTCTCTCTGCTAATAGCCCGGTGAAACTACCGCGAATGTCTTTATTTAGTGAAAGCTTACCTGCCGATGTAGTCTTCCGGATAGGGTATGATGATCCCTTCGGGGCTGGGCCTGGTGGACTTGCCTATCCAGAAGAAGGCGTCGGGGCCGGTACCGTCGTAGGAGAAGCCTTTGATGAAGATGGTGCTTTCGTCCACCGCATAGGCAATTCCTCTGATACCGTGAGCGAACTCCACCAGCTTGCCGATTTTCCTGCCATAGTAGGGCTCAACCGGTTTGGCACAAAGCCCTGCAATACAAAAAATAACCTCGATTTTATCCAAATTATCAGTCGAAAATCTATAACCCATTAGGACGAGCCACGCGTAGAAAGAAAACGATTTTTTAATTACGTGTTTTAGCGGAAAATGTATGTAATAGTGTGGAATTTTTCCCTAAGTAATTGTTATCGTGTTCGTGGCGTTTCCACCGAAGTTATGTGGGACACCATAGCGTGACGCGGTGCTGCAGGAGTTTCGGCGATAAAGGGAAAGAAGAGTGCATAACCGAATCAATTTACCGGTTTCGGTAATGATTGCAGCAGACACCAACTACAACTCAATAAAAGCTCGTAATATATCGAGTTAGGGACCCCTGCTACGCACTGTATTGTATCCGATTTATAGAGGGTGATTGTGAAACGCCAAGACAAAAAGTTATAACAGGAATGATGACAAAAATAGAGCATGTGTTTTATATTTATGATAAGATAAATTAATTTATATAATTTGGGTATGTAGATACTATAATAATTGAGTCTTTTGGATGCATACCTAAATGATTATCTTAGACCAAAATAAATAACTCTATAGCATAAATAAATTGGATTTTTATGTAGATAATTGACTTTTTTGAATGCATTGTATCTATCTTGGATCCTTGGTAGATAAAAGAAATTTCTAGATATTATTAAATCGAAAAAAAAACCATCATAACAGAGCGATTTGAACAGTAAACTATAGAGTACAGAAATCTGAGGGTGGATTACACCGAATAGAAACTGATACAACGTCTGAGTACTAAACTCGAGGAAAATCTCCGAATAAAATAAAGTGATCGACTTGACGGATTTGTTTTGAAGTAAGGGCTTGTAGGCTTTTAAAGGGAAAACTCACAATGAAGGGGATAAATATCGATATTCCATTTCCAGAGCCGAGTCGAGGAAATATATTCAACAAATCGAATGGAGTTTTATTCGGGTATATTTTCGCAGGCGCTTTCACGACGATCGCGCGAAATGCAGTCGAGAACATGCCCGGGATCTGGAATTGTTATCTATAAAATTAATATTTTATTTCATCATACAATAGATTGTGTAGAATTTTTGTTGGCTTTTCTTACTTTAGGAGGTTTATTGGAAATTTATACATAGAAAAATAGAAAATAGAAAATTATTTATAGTATAAATTTATTCGTTTTTAAAGTAAAAAGTGAACGTGTTATATTAGCTACAATTTATTCTTCATATTTTTCCAAGATTGTCTATTTTTTAAGTTATTATAAGGAATAAATAAATCAATTTGTGGGTATTAGATTTTGTAAAATAACTTAATAAAAATATAATATCACATCACAACACTAACGTATAGCAATAATAAAAACACATTAGCTCGTGTTTATTCTAAACCCCCATTAATCTCCCACACGTAGTAATAATCATTTTACAGCATTATGTAAATCTCCATAAAATTAATACGGGACTAAAGCGGAGTTATTACGGAGAAATTTGTCATTAGGAGATATTTTATTATCGATAACTGCCGTAAACGCGACAACAAGAAGTCATAAAAGTCTCCCCCTCAATGAATATCATCCCTCTGTGCTATACATTAATCGAGAAAGGCCGGTGCCCGTGGTGGTGTGACTTGGGGGAGTTTACTTCGCTGCTCTCCGCACATACAGAGTGAATTAGGAAGTTGGATTTTATACGCGATTTTATCGATGGTGTGCGATCGTTATGCGGACGATATATGGGATATTTTTCTCGTTTATTATCTAAGAATGTGAATTATTTGTTAGCAAATGCAATTTTTATATTTGCGGTGATTGATTTATTGATGTTTTGAGTTTATTGATTGGTTTTTTTGAAGCGTTATTTTGGATGATTTCGTTATTTTATAAAGATGGTTTTATTTTCATAGCAGTTTATTTATTTAAAACTTTATTTAAATAATTTCAGCAATTTTTTGGCCTGTTTTTTAATCACTTCAAGGATTTAAGTAATAAGTAATTTTTGAAGTCTTTTATCACCATATATTGCTTCAGAACTATATTTTATTATATAAACCATGTGTGGTATAATTGCCACATTTGGACCCTCGTTATCTGTTACTCGCATAGTTTCGAATCACTAGCATGTAAGAAAAGAAACTTGTGGAAAAATATCCAATCGCCAATAAAACAGAAACCGATACCTCTCCTGTCCAATCCCCAACTCAAAGATATAAAATTTCACACACATCCACTCATCGGCTGCATTTTTCCTTCCTCCGATTGCGCCGCGCTTTTCCCGGCGTTCGCTTAATTGGGCGCCACCTCGCAGGATATTTCGAAAATCGCGCAATTTTTCCTGGAAACACAAGCGACCCAAAAAAATGGGCCGAAATTCGGGCGCTTTTATTGGACCCGGCGACATCCGTAACGGAGTAATTCATGTGAAAATACGATAAGGTTCGGAAACGGATCAATAGTCATGGTTTGTTGCCACCGCGAGTCACGGCTCTCCGAGGCATTGCCGGGTAGTTGCGAAAAAAAAATCCCCGTAAATTGTTCCACTAAACTCCACAGATCAAATTATACAGGGTGTATTAAACATGACGAGTAAATTCTATCCATATGAGGGAAACCAGAGGTGCTAGTTTTGTAGGATTAGGTGTAGAAGATAGTGGAAGTGAAGAATTTAATAGATACTAATGTAATAAATTACAACTTTTTCGAATAGAATTGAGTAAAATATATTATCAATTTCAAATTGTTACAAGGTAAAAATTTCTAATACCTACCCCTATACTATTAAAATGCCCGTATAAGTTTGATAAACAATTTTAATATGCATAAAATAACATTCTTCACTAAACATTCTAGTTAATATTTAGGTATTTACTATATGTATATAGAGTCTTGCAAAAAGGTTGGAACATGGCTTAACTACAGACTTAACTACAGATTGAGACGAAAATAAGATGATTTAACTTTTATATTACACCCTCTTAACAAGCTCTTTATTTAAATTTGCGATGTGGGACATCCTGTATAATGTTAAACAACGTTCAAACGCCGTTGGATTGAGAATTATTTAGCGTACGTACTACCAGAAAGAGCGAAATAAAATTAATACCGACAACTTAATGCCCATTTGAAATAATTCCTTTCCCATTAGGTGATTGCATAAAGCGTTTTATCTAGATTAAATTCGGTGGAGATCAGATGGTGAGGAAAACCCGGGCAAAAATCGAAACCGACGAATTCGTTTCGCTTTAATTTTAATCGCGCAACTTGTAACATTTTATACACGACTTACATATTGCTAATGTGCCATTTACATACTGAAATAAATAGGTAGATATCGTTAAGTAATAACAGCGATTAAACATTTACAGGGAGCTTGCACGTTCAATTTCGCTTTCGTAATGCAAAACCACTAGAGTAAATTGCCATTTCGCTTCTGGTCGACGACGGTCGCATTACAAAAGAAAAATTTAATTACCTGGCTCGAGCGAAAGGCAGAGACAATGCGCGCCATTGTTAGGGCCTGAGACTTTTCTCTCGGGGTCTTTCTGTTCAATTCGAAGCGACAATGGACTACAAAAATACACTATATTCGCGTACTTATACACGTGGGTGGAATTTGATGAAATGTAAACCCATCGTTATCCGCCGCTCTTTCATGTACAAGGTGATTTATTGGGTTTTAATTTTCGCTCCGGTTACAAGGCTTTTCGTTCCCTCGCTCCAGCTTCGATGTTAAATAATGAAGAGGCATAACAATGCGAGCGCTTTAAGGAAAAAGGGAATATTTAAAAGCCCGACGAAATCGGCGTTTTGCGCGACAAGAAATTACGAACGAAAATCTCGAATACATAACAGAATTAGGAGCCGACTGTATACAGTCGAAACAAAGTTGATCGGATCGCATTTATTGCATATTTTATTGGCGCCTTATCGAGACATCTCCGACTGAGATTTGTATTCGATTCGTCTCATCATAGAGTGAAAACCGGGGGATTTTTGGCATTCAATTTATACGCGAGGCTCCGAATATAAAGAGATCTGAGGCAGTGATTGTGTTTGCACTCGAAAGATATCTGCCTATCGTTTCATGTAGATTACATCCCTGGGGTAAGGGGCTCCCTTTTTATCGAAGCAACATGACGTGACGTGACGCCGTGGAATCGCTTAAAATGTTTACGGAACGTGTCGTTCCGTCCTCAACCTTAGATCGCCGGGATCCCGTCACGTCTTAATTCTTGCCTCGATGATTTTTAATTGATAGAGCGCGAATATTGTAATTGATAGAGCTGAAACGCTCGTTAAACGACCGAGCAAATATTTCGTTTGGGTTGAGTTGTGCACTCTATAGAGCTTTGTAAAGTGTAGGGAATTTTTGGGAAAATGCGTTTCTATTTATATCCTGGCTTAACCAGTCTTGTGTGGTCCCTTTGCAACGGGCGGATGTCAATATCATCAGTCGTGGAATTTTCTGTGTAAAATTGTATGAGTCAGCTTGTATAGAGAAATTTAATATATCTGGGGTTCCTGCCACGGCGTGTGGTCAATCGATATAAGTGCGATATAAAGTTGGTAGTATAGAGGTATCCTGTTTTAGCACTGATAAGGAGTTGATCGAACTTTAACAACCGCTGGAATTGGTGTAAAATTGTGCTTAAAAATGATGAGACAATTTGTTCGGAAAATTTTGCTGTTTTGTTGCAATACCAGTTTGAGAGGAAAATAAAGTCGAATGTTCAAAAATGAATAAACTGTAAATGATAATACAATATGTTCCTGGATGGAGTTGATGAGAGGAAAAATGGTTACTTTTTATTCCACTCTACTTTTCTAAATTCAAATTCACCCAGTATTATTAGTAAATTGTTTCAGTCGATTGTCATTCATTCAAAATTTCTAAATATGTCACGTTGATCAAAATTTCAATTGCATCCGAATTTCTAAATTCCGGTTCATTATTTTCGTCAAGCCATAGTTTTCGTCCAAATTAAATCGTTTTAGAAGAATACATCAAATTCGCAAAAATGTCGTGTCCAAGTAAGTACAACATACATGCACAAGATGTCTATTTAAGATGCTTTTCGATAAAGTTTACGCGAAAATAAACCCAATTTCTGTTCCATTAGACGATCCAGCGAATGTTATGGATAACATCAAACATTTGGTCGATGTTTTAAAAGAGTCCTTTAGCTGTACGCCCGATTGTCCCGGAAAATGCGGAGCTCCTCCGGAACCAAAAAAACCAAAAGAACCGGTAAATTCTACCATTAAGTCTATTTACAATTATCTGCAAGTTATCTTGCATACATAGATTAATCTAAATTCGTTCAATTAAAAATGATATAAATTACTTTTTTCAAATTACGTTAATTTTCGCATAGAAAAAATGTCAAAAAAAGTCGCCTTTGTTTCGAAATTCATAATTAACAAAGATTCGCAAACTTCCATTCAATGAGTCGCTGCTCTTTAATTAATAGTCTTTATCGGCGATTCATTTTGCTTTAAGAAGCTTTCCTTTCGATTCTCGCTAATCCTCGGCATTTTTTTTCTTTCTCCAAACTATTTTATTCGCCAAAAAAGGGCTACCTTTAGTTATGGTAACATTCTTTGTTCTCGTTAATCTCCACCTCTTTTAATTAACACTCCTACAATAATCCCGTTTTAAAGCCACTTTTATTATCTGTATTTTTTTTTAATGAAGAGATTTAATTGTGCGAAATTCCATCCACCAAACGGGACGCTTTGATCTTCTATTTTATACAAATTTTCCGTAGTTTGGACGTGGGTATATATTATTTGTTAGGACAATTATTGCTCCGTAGAATGTACAGCGTAGGAAGGAGCAACTTTGCGTGGGCTCCGGTGAATTTGTAATTTTGAAGCTTCAAGAGTTTGCGATTTTAAGCGTGGGTCGCGCCATTTGCGTGGGCCCCATCGCTCGCTTTAACTTCCAATTTGTGAATATTGTTCAATTTCGTTACGAACAAACGCCTGCGTTAATTCCAGTCGCCTTTGATCTGGTCGCATTTCTGTTTAGTCGCCCGGAAAATAATCATCCGTTATTTTTACAAATTGATAGGCCTAACTTTTCCTTCAAATTAACACGATTGTGATACAGTTTTGATCGAAATGCGAGATGCTTTATCCATTTATCAGACGGTACGTTTGCAAATCAATGAAATTCGTTAAGAATAAACGAATTTGTTTTCAGGGCGGCATCAATATTAGCGACACGAAGAACAGCATCAAGGTCCTGTTCCACAATCAGGAGAACCAGTCGCCCAAGCATCGATTGAAGAAATTTCAAACGGTAGTTTACGAGCTGCCCAAAGGCGATCGGGAGAATGGACGGGAAAAGTCGGCGGAGCAGCTCAAAAGCGACAATCAAATACCGAACATATACCTGATTAATTACAATCAGCAAATGGAAAAGAGCCATTTGCTGAAAGACGTCTGGAAGAAGAGCAAATCGATGGTTCACAAAGAGAACGATTATCTACCGTTCACCACCCACCACCCGAAGATATACCGATTGGAGAACTGCAAATCCTCTAAGAGCGACATTTATTGCGGCGAAAAGAAGGCGGTCGACACCGAATTGAGGGCTAGCCACTTTATAAAATGCACTTGCAAAAAACGATACGGTAAAGTATTCACAATATAGAATCATTTTCAATAAGGACATGTGTACCTACTGCACCTGTGGTAAATTTCAACCCGGTATTTCAATTAGTCTGGGTTTTATTTGGATACAAGATTTTTATGTCCTTATTGAAAAACCATTACTTTCTTTATCTGGACCATTCTACCACTTTCATTTCATATATTATACCTCACCAAATATAGCTTGGCCGTTGAAAATTGCATGCTTTTAAAATATACATTTTGCTCGTAGGTACTTCTAAAACTACTACACACACTCTAAAATGTTTTGTAAATTACATATGAAGTTATTTGAAATGTCTTTTGTTACATTGTTTTTATCATATTTCTCATGATTTGAAACATATGTCTTCAAATTTTCACTTCTGTACATCCAAAATAAATATTTCTGTAAATCCAGAATAAACATTTAATACAACGAATTATTTGTAAAATTACTCATCAAATTTAGTTTCCAAAAGGCCATAAACATCATTTAAAATTAACAATAAAAACAACTTACCAAATGACATTTAAAATAATAAATGGGCAGTGGCATTTCAACTATACAGGTTGCTCCATTTTTTATCTCAACATAGGTTATATAGGCCATGGGTGCGATAAAGAAAACTTCAATTAAACACTTACAAAGGTAAAGGAAAGAGTGACATTTGTGTCATTGCAACTTTTCACTCTGACAACTGTCATTTTAATAATCTTTCTTTGTTCCACTCATAGAAATGACCATGTTGCAATCGGAAATGGAGCAAGGTGTATAATAATATACAAAACATTTTTAAGTGTGTGTACATTGTTACTGCTACTACACTACTTTACCACGGCGCATTCGAATTTTAAACAATTCCAACAGTCAAGCTACATTCGTTGAGGTATAACTCTAGAAGCTCCTGTGGCATTTAAAGGCGGTTTAACTTGCAGGGCTGCAGGACCTGTGCGACAGGACCGGCTGCCACGGCTCGGCGCAGTGCGCTTGCAATCCCCCCTGCTGCCAGCCGAGCCACCGCGCCGAAACGGTCGCCGAAAAACCGAAATCCAAGCCGCGCTACTACAAGATCATCGCCAAGAAACCCGCCGACGGCGCCCCGCACGCCAAATACCTCAAACTGGTGCGCGTGCGCAGCGACAACCGACTGCCCTCCGAACTCAAAGTCCTGCAGCCGCCGAAATTCGGCCTGCTCGGCGACCAGTTGCAGAGCGCCTTCGCGCAAACGGTGCTGACGTGCTCGCCTCGCTCGAGCAGCAGCAAAGACGACGGCTCGTCCAAAGAGATCACCAGCAGCGACGGCGAGAGCTTGTTCATGTACATGCCCGATTTAAGAACGCACGAGGCCAAAACCGAGTTCACGCAAACGGAGAAACTGAAAAATTTCCAAATATACCACGACTACCACTTCGCCTCGAAGAAGACGAGTTGCTCGGACCTCTGCAAATCGGACAGTTCCTCTTCCAAAAACGATTCGATTCCTCCCGATTGTAAGCGCGCCCAACGCGCCCCGACTTCCTCCAGCTCCACCGAAACCGACGAGGCCCTGAGCGTCCCGTACTATCGATGCGACAAAAAGTACAAGAAACTCCTCAAGACCTACAAGATCCGCATCAAATCGACGCTGGTCTGCGACAAGGAGAGCGCAACCAGCGACATACCACCGCTCAAATGCAAATCGATCAAACTGAACGAGAGCCAGGCCAAGAAACTGAAGAATACCATCAAGCAATCCGCGACCGCCAAGCGGAAGATTCTGGCTCCGTTGATATTCGATTCCAGCAACGACGAGCTCGACACGCAGACCAACATGCTGTACAAAAAACTGGACGAAACCGTTTGGATGGAGTCGATTTCCACCAGTTGCGATAACATCAGCGACGCTCGCACTCCGAGAGTCAACAGGGAAACCCAATCGGACAACGAAAACGCCCAGTTGATAAAAACCTACACCATAACGCGCCGGGGCGATTTGAACTTGGAACGGGAGGTCTCGACGCCGGCGTGCAGCCAGTACGAGTCCATTTCCAAAAGCGAAGTGACCACCGGGCAGTTCAAATTGACCGTGGACAGGCCGTTTTACGAAAGCACCGCTACCGGGTTGATGTATTGCCCGAATTGCTCGCTGGTCACCACGTCTAGGCGACACCAAAACGCCTCGAATAAAGAAGATGTAACTAGCGAAGACAGCGGTAACGCGGACAACAACAAAGGAGACGATAGGATCGTGGATTTGTTGATCAAAACGAATTACAACGGAAATGATAAAGCGAATAACAACGATGTTATTAACATGTTTTTATCGCAGAATTTGCATACTTTAAAGCCTTTATGTGGGTACAAGTTAGCGGAAATATCGAAGGAGCAGCACAAATGTTCTCTAAAACCGTGCATTAAACACTCGAACCAACCGTTGTTGCTACCACCGGAATCCGAAGGAAATAAAACGCAGAATCTAGAAGATGCGATAATTCCGGAAAACGAGGAGAAATCCGAAGACGAATTCGAAGAAGAAAACGACAGACTCACCGAGGAGAACACCAAGCAAAACGAGTATTTCGCAAAAGCCGCAGCGGAAGAACAGGTAGACGAATCGACGGGCGTTCAAACTTCCCAAACGAATTGCCAAGTGAATTATTTCGAGGTGTTGCACGATGGAAGAAGGAGTTTTTTCGATGCCAGCGTGAGCACCTCCACCGCTGTCACGGATCTTACGGTTTTAGAAGAGGACAACATGGGAATGGAGGTTTCCGCGAAGAAGAAGAAAGTCCGGTTTGCGAGTTGCCCTAATCTCAACAAAGACGCGACCTAATCGAACGCGATTTTGCGTTGTTTACGGGCTTTTGTAGTCTTAAGACTAAAAAAATTGCTAGTTTTTTTTTCAGGAATATTTAGTAAATTTTTTGCATGCGGATTATTCCTTATGGAAAAAGATATTACATTTATTTAACAAATTAAATAATAGTAATATTTATTGAGCATTGCATTGCAAATGGAGCTTTTTATTGTAGGTTTTTTAATGTTATGTGAAACGTGAAAATGTGCAGTTTATATTGAAAATATATGTTTCCTAATTTATTTAGTTTTAATGTGAAGCATTGAGCTCTGAAAAAGTTTCGCAATAGTTCGAAACGTTGATAGAATTTCGGTACCAAAGCATCTATAAACCTAAAAAGTGAGATTGTCTAAAAATCTTGTTTATTTTACAGGTATGCTGTTGCTATTTTAAAAGTAGAGATAAAATTGCTCCAATTCCTGTAAAACAAGTAAAATCATACGAACTGATCGGTAGCTTTTTATACAAAGGATGCGATTGTGAGAAGCGTTACGGTAAGAATAAGTTAACAAATTAATCAAATTAACTTTCTTTACAATTTAATACAAGTAGTTTTTGGTCGCTCGTGCCCCCAGACTATACCAAAACGCCATAAAAATCGTTAGTCAGAGAGCTTAAATTAATAGTTTAATAGTAAAGAGTTTACCTAGAAGAATACTCTTACATATCTATACTTTTTCGAACTAATACTTATGAAACTTCTTTCATTTTTGCTGACATTTTTACATAATTTTGTTTTTATAATGTTAATTAATAAATAGGTTTGCAAGATGATTGCCGAAGAACAGATTGTAAAGGTTCCCCTGATTGTATAACAGTCCCACCGACATGTCCTCCCAGTAAATATTGCGAGGGAAAGCATTTGGGAGAAAAATTCAAATTGAGGCCACGAAAAATTCAGCAGGTCTCATTAGCATGAGCTAAAGCATTTTTCTGTGGAGCGTCAGCATAAAGAGATGAGTATGTTTAGTGCAGTTTTTACACTTCACCAAGAAAACATATTTTTTATTGCTTAAAAAACTTCTTTTATGTTTTTTTACTTACCGAAATAAATTGAGGACTCGATGATAATTAGTATTGTCACACTTTTCATTTTAGGCTTTTAGATGTTCGACGATCACTACAGTAGATATGTTGCCTGAAATAAATGGAATAAAATGAACATTAAATTTGAGAAATAAACTAACGTGAAAGGTAATGAAACAATGAAACATAGAACCCAATCCATTATACTCTTGTCTATCAAACCTAAACCGGGGAGAATTATCCTACAGGCATGGCTGGAAAATGGAATGAGAATTGAGAAAATTTAATAACAATTAGCTTGAAGGACCATATGAATTTTAGTTGTCATGGAAACACGACTCTGGAATTATATTACCACCACCCCATTTTGTTCCAGGTCTTTGAACGTTTGGATACCGACTTACCATGAAGAAAATAAAAACAAGAAACAAATATTTTTTTGATTAAACCATTTAATGAAACTAATCAACAAATAAAGAACAAACATCTGTATGGTGTTTTATTGTATAATATGTAGAAAGTCTAGTTTAGAATGATTTGTTTGTCAGGTAAGGTTGTGGGAAAATGCATTAAGAAAAATGTAGTGCATGGACCAGGTCAAGGTTCATTTGTCCACAAATATTAAAGAATTTTTTTGAAAATATACCTACATTTATACAGAAGATTAGTTTATGTAGAAATAAACAGGCATTTTTCCAGAAATATTAACATGAGTAAAAAATGTATGCATACATGTTTGAAGACAAATGTTTGAAGATCTGGAATGTGCATTAACCATCTCAGATTGCGTCTCTTAACTACATTTAAAAAATAGTAGAAATTAAATGAAAAATCCTCTACATAAATGAGTATACTCAGTATGTACATATTTGCTACGTAAACGGTACAATTGCCCTAGTAAAACAGGAAATTACAAAATACCTACAAACGCACTTACTTTCACATCGGTGTACGCGCGTATATCACCAACCGCACAATAATAAATTCACAATAACTTTTACCAAATTCGACGGGAATGAACAAACATCTCCGCCGCGCCTATCCCAAAACCAAATATCGCAAGGTACCCAAGCGAACGAGCCGTCCGCGAAAAAATACCTCCTTAAATACAATCGAATATTTATGCAGGTATTTAATCGCCCGGTGCGTGTGGATGTGGATTGAAAGTGAAACCGCGCCGAAGAAAAATTTCTCTTCCACAACTATGCGGAATGCTCGCCTGCGTACCTTATTGTCTGGTGGCGGTGCCAGGACGCGTCCGCTCTGCCGATGTCGTTCTTCTATCCCGGGAGCCGATAGCTGGCAAGGGGGCGGCGAGATCGGCGGAGGCGGTTGTTCGGGAATTCCCGCCCATTTTCCCGCTTCGTTTGCAGGAATCGCGGGACATCCAGTGTAACTGGGTGTGGGTAGGCGACGCGACGCCGGCTCGGCGTCCGGGCACGAATCGTCCACTCCGGAAATGATAATTTTCTTAAGATTATTAGATATACCTACTTTGGGAACTTAAATAGTAATATTTGCCTCCGGTAAGAGGGAACGGAAGATTTGCTTAAATTGTCGGTGGGAGATGCTTGAAAGGCGAGCTTTATTGGCCGTTTTTGGTAGAAAATCGCTTGATGTGGTGTGCTTTGAAAGCGATAGCTAAAATTTTATTAACATTTCGTTTTAAGTGTTTCGAGTATTGTAATTTTAAAATGCATCTATAATAGTATAAGAAAGATGATAAAAGTCACCCCGTTTCCACTCTTTCGATAGCCCTAAACTCACTTAAATTTTCTTTCTTAAGCCCTGCAAAAACCAGTTAAATAAAAAGAATACAATCAAATAATTAAAAAAGAATAATGCAGTAATGGAAAAATTAATTAAGGATGATGTTAATAATTCAATTACAACACTAATACATTACTATGTAAATAAGCACAAAATTAACAATCTCATTATTAAATTTTACCCATCCCTTCAAAGTTAATTATAATTGAATAATTAAATTACAGCGTGTTGTTAAATTCGGCAGAAATTATCTAACCCAGAGAGCTCATTGGATGTTCTAGTTTACAGTATGTGGAAAAAACTATTCTTTGCATCCCAACTCATAAGCTCTTTTTAAAGGTTTGTGATCTTACATTGAATTGAAAAATTATTAGTACAGGGTTGGAAGCAATCTATGAAAAAAGTGATGGTTAATTAAAGGATTATTATTTTTGGTTTTGATGACTTTTGATTGAGTTTGCTTCCGAATTTTCCTTTTCAGTAAAATCTGGAATTTCTTATAGATCTTTTTTTATAATTTTCTTCTATATCATCGTTTCCTTCGACATCAACTGTCTAATTCCATCAGTTATTTTGATATCCAATTAAACAAATATTTTTCAAATTAATCCCTGAAATACCTACATTATATTGAATATAAAATAATTTCCCTACTACACGTAACATTATTAATATTCGCAATAATTGTTTATATTCAAACGACTAATGAAATGGGAACATCATCGCCAAGAAGCCATTCCTTCGTCATCCCCTTTTCCTTTTGCCCATTAACTATTTACCGAAACCGAATCAAGCCATTATCATTAGAGGACGGGATTTTTCCGTTTCGCACCCTTTAAAGACCCAGCTCGACTGTCAACGGCGCGACGCATTAGTCTATTAAAAACGGGTGCAACCCTATCTATCGTCCGGTAATCCCAGTAAATCGGACGTGCATACGATAATAGACGTACAACCCTAGTTAGTTAGTGTACGATGTTGAACAATCGATTTTGGTTTCGGTTTGTTGAACCACCCCTTGTTTTTAATGTGTACCGACATTGTCGGCTATATTTGTGTACTTATATGTACTAAGTAGAGTTCAGCAACTGATTTCTTTTTGTAATCTGTATATGTTCGATACATTTTATAATTTTTGTAATTTGTTTCTAATTTTTTATTTTGTTTTTTATTAATTAATATACAGATGCTATCCCGCATAAGAACCGACAATGAGCAGGGGCTTGTAGGGGAGCCTAAAATGTTTTGTTTAACCCAACTTAACTTCATACAAAGTTACATTCCTGAGAAGTTATAGGCCTTCAAAGTGGAGTTACAAATTAAAAAAATATAATACCTCAGTAATACTCAAACTTAAAACAATTAAATTTAAAGGGCATTAAACGATAGTTAGGAGAGATCTATTGATTTACTTTCAAGGGTTCATCAGGGATGATACTCCCTTAAAATGTTGCAGTTGTTTTTACTTGATGGTTGATTTAAAAAATTATTAGTTCATTTCATAGGTAATTTAATTTTAAAACTTTTTTTTCCTTTTTGTTTTTGAAAATTCAGTCGTTTTGATGAAAAACGCTAAAAAAAATAAGTCATGTAAACTATGAGTGTAACTTAAAATCGTCGATAATTTTAAAGTTGGCTGTATTAAGTTAAAGTTGCATTGCATTGCAAACAAATTTGCACTCATCCATATATGAAAATTTAATATGAAATACTCATAAATTTAAAAACACATTTTTGCCCATTTGGCCATTACTGTTGGGATGCTAACTAACTACAAAGTAAGAGTCCCTCGATGAATACACCACACAACCCACTCGTCCTAGTCACCAATCAAACACATTCCTCTAGTTGACAATTGACAGAAAAAGAAGAACATAACCTATTTTCCTCACCTTCGGTTTGAAAAAACGTAAACAAAAATCGTTTGGCTTTATCGTCGGTTGATAAACAAATCAAAAAATGTCCGGAGGAATGTTATACGGCGGCGACGAAATCGGCGCCTTGGTGTTCGATCCGGGGCATCATTCGCTGCGTGTAGGATACGCTCAGGAAGACACGCCGAAAGCCGAAATTCCGGCGATCGTCGGCGTCGCTCCCGAAGAACCGAAATTGGAGCCCGAGGCTAAACCCGACGAAAGCAATGTTTCTTCTAACGCTCCTTGTAAGTGTAAATTCAATTATAATAAAATAAGTATTTCCAATTGTTAATAATGTTAATAAAAATGTACAAGGTGTTAGTCATATTAACAATGGAGTTGTTTTTAGCTCACAAGTATTACATTGACACCACTTACCTGTACACTCCAAGACCAAACATGGAAATACACAGTTACATGAAAGACGGCATGATCGAGGATTGGGATTTGTTCGAAAAAATCATGGATTATTCGTACAGTAAGGTACTGTAAATTGCTAATAAATGTTTACTATATATTCTAACTACATATTTAACGCAGGTAATCCAATCAGAATCTCAATATCATCCTGTTCTTTTCTCGGAATCGCCTTGGAATCAACGTCATCGGCGTGAGAAACTTACGGAAATCATGTTCGAAAAGTACAAAGTACCCGCTTTTTTCTTAGTTAAAAATGCTGCTTTGGCTGCATTCGCTAACGGTCGAGCCACAGCATTAGTTATCGACAGCGGTAAGCCTATATTAATATTAATAAAAAGCTATATAAAGAGGGATTACACTCTCGATATACTCATATTGCAACACCAATTATACCAACTTTATTATTTAGTAATTAATTAAATTGAAATACTTGTTTTAGGTGCAACTCATACTACAGCTGTGCCGGTACTGGACGGTTACGTTATAACCAACGCGGTTGTAAAATCGCCCTTAGGCGGGGAATTGCTGGTGCACAGAGCCCGGGAAATGCTGGAAAACATGGGTATAGACTTGACGCCTACGTCGCTTATAGCCAGCAAAGAGGTCATCCGTGAGAAAGACAAGCCGAAATTCACCATGAAAAAGTTGCAATTCCAGCCGACGAATTCCTGGATGACTTACATGATAAAGAGAACTGTGCAGGATTTCCAACAGACCGTGCTGCAGGTTAATGTCTGATATTTTTTTATAGATATTGGTTCTTATTCGGCGCTTTATTTTAAATGTTAAAGTCGCTTCTTTAACTTGACAATTGTAATTTGTTGTTATAGGAGAATCTATGGACTTTGTTTAGGTTAAAGATCTTCTCTAAATACTTGTGTAAGGTTAAATAGGGTACTGAATACGAGCCGTTTACTCTTGAATATGGTAGATGTGATTAACAACAAATCGTGTAATTGTACTATTCTTTTTTTAAGGTTTCTGAGAATCCGTACGATGAAAGGGCAGCGTCTAACATTCCAGCTGTTCATTACGAGTTTCCGACTGGTTATCATCAAGATTTTGGTCCGGAAAGGTTTAAATTGGCTGAAGGATTGTTCGATCATGCCATGCTCGGAGCCGGATACATTGGTAATTTCCATATCCATTCATTTTTGCTTAATATTTACAACAAACTCTAGTTTAATGTAACGTTATATTTTTTTTTCAGCTGCAACCAGCGCAGGAATGTGTGACGTCGACATAAGACCAGCACTGTACAGTTCTGTAGTTTTAACTGGTGGGAATTCATTGTTACAGGCAAGTTGTTTAGATTCTTAATGTACAGATAACTGCAAAGTTGTATGCAATATGGTATAAGGGTGTAACAAAGACAAGTCTCATTTAAAGGAAGAAGAACGAGTGATGCAATCGTGGGATTGCAAATTTCTCATTCTAACCAATGTTATTTCAATTATCTTTCTTTGTTCAACTCATAGAATTGACTCATATATTGAGCTACTACAAGGGTAAAGTGAAAAGTTCTCGGCCAGACAATGAAAGAACGCGATGTACAGTTGAAAAATTACATTATTATCCGTACTTAGTCGAAATCTTTACAAATCTTTTTGAAATGGGACAGTTCTAATTGGTTCTAGACAGTTCTAATTGATTCTGGAGCTTTATAAATGACTATGGAGCATTCTAAATGGTTCTAGACGAGGGGCGAGAACTTTTCTAATACTTTGAAGCTCTCTAATGATCACTGAGTAGATGCATATGAGTAATCATACATGTACATTAGTAATGTTGTTAAATTTTGTATTTTTTTAGGGTTTCAGTGACAGATTAAGCAGGGATTTGTCATCGAGAACGCCAGGATCGATGAGGCTCAAAATGATAGCTGCTAATGGAACAGTCGAACGTAGATTCGGTGCTTGGGTGGGTGGATCGATTCTAGCATCGATCGGTACTTTCCAGCAAATGTGGGTGTCTATGCAGGAGTACCAAGAAGTTGGTAAAGCTCAAATTGACAGAAAGTGCCCTTAAGATATTTATAAATGTGTAATTTGCTATTTTTATACTAGTATTTAAGTATTAAAACGACTAGATTCCATTTTAGCGACTATTAAATCTTTTAAATAGTATATTCCAATAAATTTGTTTCATTTACTGTCCTGAATAATTCCCAATGACCTCTGATTTTTGTGTACGTTTGGCAACGTTGGATTGACAACAACGCATGATAATGACATTTTTGAAGTTTCATATGTCGTTTACGTTTATTGACGTATGACGTATTGTATTGACGTGCGCGCCGTAGAGAAATCGAGAGGGGTAGTTGGTAGTTGAAATGATGAAGGTGGTGAATTAAATTAAATTTGGTTCTTTCTAAATGAATATTATTGATCTAAATGTTTAGATAATAGGTCATGATATCATAAGGTAAGTGTAGATGCTCGTATGCTTTGAATGGTTTTTCTTTACGTATAATTCTTCGGTGGGCGGATCTGACAGGTATCCATCAGCAAAAGGCGAAGAAATCCGTTGAATATCGCGGCTTTTTATGGAGATAAGATCGTTATTTTACCACAATTAACGAGTTTTATCCAATATTTATAATGTTGATGCTTCTATGTTATTTCACCCCAAACATTTGTACTTGTTAACTATATTTTCCCGTTCATTTAGATATGTAATACTTCCATTTGTTACCAATCACTGCAAGTACTCAAATAAATTAAAGTTTTATTAATCAAATATATATTTCAACGCTGTAATGCTTTTAGCTTTAATTTCGAGTATGTGACCTTTTGACCTTGTTACCCCTGCGCCTGCCACTGAATTAAGGGCTAAATATACCTCAATTTGATAGAATAATGACCCTTACATATCAGATTACTGTACTCTTATCTTTGTCCCAAATTTGTTATAAACTGTATGCAAACATAGTGCATAACAGTTCATTCATTTTCATAATCACACACACACTAATAATTTTTGTATAAATAAATACATAAATTCCAATAATTAATATTTGCATTTATTTCGTAGTTTCAAAATGATAGGAGGATTATTCGTGTACAATCACAAGGGCGAAGTTCTCATCTCGAGAGTCTATCGGGATGACATCGGAAGAAATGCAGTCGATGCCTTTCGGGTAAACGTTATTCATGCTCGACAGCAAGTTCGATCGCCTGTTACTAACATAGCAAGGACATCATTTTTCCATATCAAAGTGAGTGAAAAATACATTATTTTCTTAAAACTGAATGAATATAAGCTCCAAATAAGTAATAGAATTATTAAAAACTGTATTACCAATGGGCATAAGTCATTCTTGTAAATTGGAAATTATTGAATCTACAGCATTAAACTTACATTCTAATGTTTCCATAAGTTGTTGGGATGTGAAGATATTTGTACTAAATTAATTTGTTGCAATTTTAGAGAGCAAACATCTGGATTGCTGCCGTAACCAAACAGAATGTCAACGCTGCGATGGTATTCGAATTCCTATTAAAAATCATCGAAGTGATGCAATCCTACTTCGGAAAAATATCCGAAGAGAACATCAAAAACAACTTTGTGTTGATCTACGAGTTGCTCGATGGTAAATATTTGTTTACCGATTATATCGGTTTATTTTGATGGTGTTTCTGTTTAGAAATCCTGGATTTCGGGTACCCTCAAAACACTGACACAGGTGTTTTGAAGACGTTCATCACGCAGCAGGGTATAAAATCCGCGACTAAGGAAGAACAAGCACAAATCACGTCTCAAGTCACAGGGCAAATTGGTTGGAGAAGAGAAGGTATCAAGTACCGTCGAAATGAGCTCTTTTTGGATGTACTGGAGTACGTTAATTTGCTGATGTCACCTCAAGGTACCTACTCATTAAATGGATCCACTGAAATAATTTATATTACATTTACTATTTACATTTTCAGGTCAAGTATTGTCCGCTCATGTAGCCGGTAAAGTAGTTATGAAATCGTACCTTTCCGGAATGCCCGAGTGTAAATTCGGCATCAACGACAAGATCGTTATGGAAGCCAAAGGAAAAGGAACTTTAGGTGACTATTTTATCGCAATATTTCGAACTTAATTTATGCCTGATATTTATATAGGTGCAGCCACTGATTCGGATCCAGCCAGATCTGGCAAACCCGTTGTGGTTATCGACGATTGCCAGTTTCATCAGTGCGTTAAATTGAGCAAATTCGAAACGGAACATTCCATTAGCTTTATACCTCCCGATGGTGAATTTGAACTCATGAGGTAATATTTAATCATATTAATAATTGAGGTAAATTAAATCATGAGTATATTTTAGATATCGTACAACAAAAGACATATCTCTGCCCTTCCGGGTTATCCCGTTGGTTCGAGAAGTGGGCCGCACCAAAATGGAGGTGAAAGTGGTATTGAAGAGCAACTTCAAACCGTCTTTGTTGGGCCAAAAGATCGAAGTGAAAATCCCGACGCCTCTAAACACATCGGGCGTTCAACTAATCTGTTTGAAGGGCAAAGCTAAATACAAAGCGTCCGAAAACGCCATCGTATGGAAGTGAGTAACATTTTAAGGCCGCTAAAGTACGCCCTAAAAATTCATAATTCCTGGGGTAATATATGTAAAACTATTCCTAAATGTTTACAATTTTGGTAAATTTTTTGCACAATAGATGGGACGAGAATAGTTTAACTAGTAGGTGTTCTGTGTTTGATTGTACTTGACATAAAATCAAACGTACAACAAAGTAAAATAAGAAATCCCTTTCAGAATTTTTTAAATTCAATTCTATTCCTTGCAATTTAAAAAGGTAAAAGCATCTTAATATTTTTTCTAAATATATCCGTTTTTACAGGATAAAACGTATGGCTGGCATGAAGGAGACCCAGCTCTCCGCCGAGATCGAACTGTTGGAGACAGATACCAAAAAGAAGTGGACGCGCCCGCCGATTTCCATGAACTTTGAAGTACCGTTCGCGCCGTCGGGCTTCAAAGTGCGATATCTGAAAGTATTCGAATCGAAATTGAACTATTCGGACCACGATGTCATCAAATGGGTTAGGTACATCGGTAGAAGCGGATTGTACGAGACCAGATGTTGAATCTCTTTCGGCTATGTATTTGTGGATATTTGGAATTTTCATCGCCATTGTTTGGTGCTGAGTTTGTTAAGTAAAGTAGGAATTGAAGTTTGTTGGGGAGGTAAATTTGGGTGAATTTAGTTGGTTCAAAATTGTAAAGAGTTAAAGGATTATTCCATGACAAATTCATTTTAAATAGATTAGAAACATTGCAAAATTTCAAGCAAATTAAACTACGAGTTTTAGAGATAATTCTTGTGCAGTTTATTGATTTTATGTTTTAAGATTTTTACAAATCAATTTCAACTAAAAATATCCACAAATATAACTGTTCTCAATGTTTATAGTGGTTATCGATTGATCGAGATTACGTTTTATGAAATAGTTACATTGAGAATTCCACAGAACAAAAACTAGCTTGGAAAAGGAGAATATTTTAATTTAAGCAAAATATGGAATGCCATTAATTTTGTTTGATTTTTATTTGTATATTTTGTTTTAAAGAATTTAGGATAAGAAATATGATATTAATTCGTTACTGTATGTATAAACGTTAAAAACTGCCACGGATCACATAAGATTCTTTGGCGGTTTTTAAATATTTCTAAACAAACTTATTGGCATGATTTAAATTGTTAAACATTATCGTACAATTGAAACAATATTGCTTTAATGAATATTAAATATTGATTTTTTTTAGTAATAAATAAATTCTATGTAGAAAAAGCATTATATTATTGAATTTCTTTGTCAAATAGATGTGTAATAAATATTAGATGAAATTTCTGTTTTTTTGCACAGATTTTAACAATAATTTTAATTTTCCTTAAAACCATTTTGAATCTCTTCATTGGTAATTTAAATTCAGCTTTTAGAATTCTTATTCTTCCATTTTTAACTGCCACATAATTGTCCTTATAAAATAAAAGAAATAATTTGAATAGAGACAATAGGAGCTTTTCAAATCAATATAAAACAAATTGCATTGTTTTCCTCACACCATTGTTATCCGCCACGTTCATTCTATTTTGAGCCTGAGGAAGGTTAGCACAATCGAAATGAGAGTAAAATTCCGGGATAATTTCAAAATCGAGCTGCTTGTAGTCGGCTCCTGCGGAATTTGGGTAAACCCGGGCGAAGGAAAACTCGCGATTTTCCTGAAAATGTATTTCCTAATTACCAACGTCATGTTAGTTCATTACAACGTAATGAAATTCAACGATATGCTGCAGTTCGATACTTTAGAGGAAATCGTGAAATCCGGTTTTGTTCTGCCCATTTCTGTACTAGCAAACATCAGAAACTTCTGTTTCTTTTTGTATAGGAAGGAGTTTTTTGAGTCGTTGGAGCTGTTAGAAGACGATATTTTCCAGCCGGTTAACCACAAAGAATTGATTTTTGCTAGGAATATGTTGAAGAAATATTCTTTATTTAAAAGCGTTTTGTACACGACTTCTATTATTCCATCATTCGGCTGCCCGATAAGCAGGATCCTCTTTGGTGTTGGTGAGTAAAGAATTCAAAATTCTCATTTAATGTACAGGGTGCTCCTGACATCGTGCACATCCTAAAGGGAGGTAATTCTTTGGCTCATTTCATGACTAAAAGTTCATATAAACATAGGTCCGCAAACGCTTCGTTACCAATATACAGGGTGTTGAAATTTCAAGATTTATTTATTATTGTTATTTGAACTACAGGCGATGGGCATACTCATTGCGAAGCAGTGATAACCAGCACTAAGGGCTTCGGTTTATACGCTTACCAAGCTACTGCACTAGGAATGATATCGGCTATAAATGTGATTTCTGATTATTTCATGGTTGGATTTTGCCTTTTCCTGGGATATCAATGCCAGCAATTAAGTGGACGATTGGAATCCACTGAGATAAAGGACTTGAAAACATTTACAGAATATTACAGGAAAATATCAAGGTAATTTTCGTGCCTTGTTTTGGAGTAACAAGTAACTTTCAATGCATGTTTGTTTATTAACTACCACATATCGATGTGGAATGGCAATTACCAAAAGTTAAATGAGTTTTGTGTTTATTTTAGGATCGCATCGAATATTGAAACTCTTTACGGTTTTATTTACTTTTCATTCACTGTTCTGTGTCTCGTAGCTTTTTGTACCACATTGTTTATGGTCTCGATAGTAAGTAATTTTAAATAATAATCATCCCTATCAGTTACATTCACAGATTTCACATATAATTTATAATTAATTCGTTTTGTAAATACTTTTTCCAGACAGATCGAACATCTTTCCAGTTTATACATCTTATATTCTATCAAATGAATATATTTCTGATGCTGTTCATCCCTTATTGGTTTTCTACGGATTTGGAAACGAAGGTAAGTAAAGCTTTCTACCTTTTATTTAAAATTAAGAATTCTCTTTAAGATATACAAGATTTCAATGAAAACATATTTGAAATTAAAAGATTAAAAGGTTTCCTACTAATATGTAGGTTAAGCTGTTATTTTTTATGTACTTAATAATTTAATGAAAATCTCATTTTGCCTCGTGTTTAATACTACAATGGATATTCTTCCATTTTAAATTTTCTTTACATGAGACCGTGGTAATTAAAAAATACCATAAAAAATTCAACCTTTTAATTATTTTCCTTCGTCTTTATAATTACTCTTTTCAAAAGAATCTGTAATATCAATATCTTAATTACAGGTTACGTTAAGAATATTCCATTACTTCGGTGTTTCCATACCTATTATTCTCTTTTGTTTCTTTAAACTGTATCTTCAATAGAAAATAGTGCGATTATAAACTGTTTTATTAATCATTTGGGCGTAAAAATTGAGCATATTTATTTGAGAAACCACACGAAACCGAGACATTCCTCAATCAGAAGCCGGTCAAAATGCATATGAACATTCGCCAGTATTTCCGCTGGGAAATACTGATTTGCCGAATATGCGGCGGTTGGATCCACGTGGAAAGCTCGAAATTCGACTACTTATACTACTTATACTGGGCAGTGATTAACATATCAACGGTAATATACATCCTGCAAAAAATCAAATACGTCACCGATTTCGCCGGCGATACATACGGAATCGTCGGGGCCTTCTTCATTCTGCCCATATCCATGACGGCCAACGTGCGAAGCTACTCGTTCTTCAAGTACAGGAAGGAATTCAACGAGCTGTTCACCTCTTTGGACGAAGACATATTCCAGCCGCAGGACGCCAACGAACTGGCCATCATGAGCAAAATGTTGAAGTTCTTCTCGTTCTACCAGCACGTCCTGTACGTCTGGTCCGGAGTGACGATGACTGGCTGCCAGATGGGCAAATTGGTTTTCGGCGTTAGCGGTAAATATGCTACGAAAAAGGGGACAGTGTAAATGTAAATTTTGTAGCTTTCTTTGAAGTCCTCCTCAAGGTGTTATTGCAAAGATACTCCGTGTATTTGGCAAAGTAAAAGTTTTCTCTTGTTATAGAGGGTGTAAAGCCATATTTTTCATACTAGCATTCCTAATAATTCCTCCCCTAGCATCATATTAATTTAATCTCTTGAAGATCTGAATTTGAATTCCTCTTCTAAGACTAGTTCGTTTTGATTGCATACCGACTAGGAAGTATTGCATATATTAAATGCTTGGCAATGCAAAAAGTTTCTCTTATTATAAAAAAAGCCATACTTTCCATAATAGCATCCTCTACTAATCTCTCCTCTTGTATCATATTTAATCTCTTGAAAATCTGAATATAAAGTCCTACTCCAAACTAGCTTGTTTTGAATGCATAAATGCTGGGAAGTATTGCATATATTGAATGCTTGGCAACGCAGAGTATTTATCTTATTATAACTCCATACCTTTCCTACTAGCTTCCTTCTATTAATACCTCCTCTAGCATTGTCTAGACTAGCTCGTTTTGATTGTAGACCAGCCGGACGATGGGCAAGAACATTGCGAAGCAGCAATGTCCACGAAGCACGGTTTGTTCGTTTATCTGTATCAAACGATGTGCGTTACCATGCTGTTGGTATTTAATTTAATATCGGATCTGTTTATGGTCGGATTTTGCCTGTTTCTGGGCGCCCAGTGCGATAGGTTGTCTTACATGCTGGAGAATCTCAAAGAAAGAGACGTGGTGGATATCAAAGCGCTGGCGGAATACTACAAGAGAATTTTAAGGTGCGTTTTATTGGAATTCGGATTGCGAGATTTTCGTTGTTGTTATTACAGATTCGCTTCGAACGTGGAAAAATTGTTCGGTACGATTTATTTTACGTTTTTCTTCGCTTGCTTGGCTGCTTATGGTACTACGTTGTTTATGTTTTCTATTGTAAGTTTTCCATTATTATAGGTAAATAATTTGAGTCCGGTTAAAACAAAGCGGGTGTTTTTTAGACTGAGCCACTTTCCTTTAGGTATTTCCACATGATCGAATATATTTGTGCGATATTCGGTATGCTATTTACACCCTGTTGGTTTGGAACGACTGTTAGAAAGAAGGTTAGTGCAAATTATGAACCTCTATTGTTGCTTAATTATTCAAGTTTCTTAATTGAATTCCAAATGTCTTCATTGAAATCTTGGATATAACAGAAAATCTTTTAACTACCTAATGTAGTGTTTATTTCATTTAATAGAGCGAGAAACTTCAAACAGCGGCTTATTCGGCCAATTGGGTGGATTCGGGAAAGAATTTCAAAAATGATCTACTCATTTTTATGAGCATGGTGCAATCGCCTATTCAATTTCGAGCTTGGAATTTGATTCCTTTGAATTTAGAATCTTACATGGGCGTAAGTATATTACACATTTAATAGAGCATTTAAACTGTCATGAGACTAATGAGGTCCTCAAAACAGAAATTATACAATGATGAACTTAGTGAAATATAATTAATTTCTAGTTTGTGAACAGATTGTTTATTTGTAAGTACTAATTTGAATTTGATGCATTTTGTTTTAGGTCGTGAAAACATCGTTTTCTTATTATACTGTACTCGATAATATGATAATGAAAAAAGAATGAAATGGATGAAGAAGTAGTGATTCGTAGTGTGCTTTAGACTTTTGGAATATTGAGCACAGTAGATAGAAAAATAAAACATCGCATAACAATTTTCAGAGTATAATAGAGCGGACGACATCATGTACCTATATAACTACTCCATAAATTCAATGAAAGAGAAACATGGTAGAACCGCTAAGAAGATATAGAGCAATAGAATATTATCAGAATATAATGATATACATTCATTAGGCAACTAAAACACATGTGTAGATTATACGGCATTTTTAATATAGCAAATTCAATAATAACCATTCAGGCACTGAATAATGTTGTGCATGCATAATATCAATATATCCCTTTCACCAAACGTTGCACTTCTCTTTGGGATTCATCGGCGTGCCGATCGGGCAATTGTAAGCTTTCGCGAAGTCTTTGGAATTGGACAGCGGCCCCGACACCCGTATCGGCCCCGGGGAATGCACGCTAGTTCTGATCTTCGTCAGGGCGTCCTCCTGATTCATCGTTCCGCACCAAATTTGAGCGTAATTCAGGAAAAACAACTGGTCGTGGGTTAGATTCAATCCCGGCAAATCGAATTCCTCGCCGTGCTGGGCCACCCACTTTTTGTACGCCTGAAACATAATTACACAAGGAAGGTCGAAATTGATTAGTATTATGTACAGGATATTTTAACAGCAGCTAAATCACGAAACATAAGTTGTTACCAATTGAAATTGATATGTTAAAGTCATTTACTTACCCTGAATGATTGCTTCAATCCTCCATTATCAGCCATATTTTCGCCCTGAGTCATTCTTCCGTTCACGTACATACCGACCTCGTCTAATTTGTACCTTGAATACTGGTCTATAATGCACTGGGTTCGTTCTCTAAACGCTTTAATTGTAGCATTGTTCCACCACTGCATCATATTGCCGTGCTTATCAAACTGTCGCCCTAGGAAAACAATGTAATTTGTGTTAGTTTCCTCGCTTTTCCCCGCGATCAATACTTCAGCTAAAGCATCATTTACGGCATGTTGAAAGTTCAGATTTATTTTTCTTATAGCTCATAGCTTTCGAAATGTACATGATATTCGGGAATACCTTGTGCATTTTATGGCTTGATAAGCTGTTTACCTTTATCGTCGAATCCGTGCGTGATTTCATGGCCGATAACTACGCCGATGCCACCGTAATTTAACGATTTGGGAAAGTGCTGGCTATAAAATAAGGGTTGGAATATTCCGGCCGGGAAGACTAGAAAAAAATTATCGACCTAATAAACTATTGTTTAGTATAGATTTATTTGCTTAGGTTACTGGTACTTAATGTTTAGTTTCGGGGGTATAAAGAAATACATTTGGTTATGTATCATCAAAATGGATGGTTGGTGCTTACCGATATCGTTTTTGTTAGGGTTGTAAAAGGCGTTTACCACAGCCGGTTCTGTTGACCATTTTTCCTTATCAACTTCCGTGCGGAGTTTCTCCAAGTTTTGCTTAGCCTCAAATTTCAGAACATTCAGAACGTTCAGCATGAATTCGTGCTTCGTCACGTTCAACTGGAAATAATTCTTTTACACTTTCCTTCTTATTGGTTTCTATTTTCACTAGCTGGAAGTTTAGTATTACTTACGCTTTCGTACTCTTTGCAAAGGGCCTCTTTGTTGGTTATCAATTTAGGGTAGCCAATTCTTTGGTTCATGGCGTCGGCTTTCTCCTTGGCTACTTTTCTGGTCTCGTCGTCCATCCACTGGTTTTCGGCGAGCAGCTCGTTGAACGCTTCTCTGATGGTGTGGATCATTTCCAGCGCTGTTTCCTGCACGAATCGCCCAGATTTTAATTCTAATAACTTTCGTGTAACCTCTATTTGACTCACTCTGCTATCGCGGTTGAAGTTGTTCCGTATGTATAAAGCGCCGACAGCCATGCCCATTTTCTTGTTGGTCCATTCGACGCATTGCGTCCATCGGTGTCTCTCCGACAGGACGCCCTGTAGAATTTTTCTGAATTCCACGCGTTCTTTTTGGTAATCGTCTACTAAATTGTTCGACAGGGACATGACCAGGCGCCACAGGACGTAGTTATGGATTGTTCTGTAAACAGTAGATATATTTGGTGCTAATAAGCTGGTTTTTGAAGTTTGAAAAAAGTTTGTTTTGTACCAACCTGCGATCGGTTACAGACAACAATTTGCCCAATTCGACGAAATACGATAGTCCATAGGCAACGATTTGTTCGTCATCGTTGATGGTGATATCGAATATTGCTCTGAAATATTCTAGCCAATTGATTTGAGGGACTTTTTTCGCTAATTCTTTGATTGATATCTTTTTATAAATAGCGCTGGTGTCGTGTCTATCTTGCTCTGGAAGGGAAGCCTGCGACACAAACATTTATGAATACAAATACTTCTCAAGAATCATCGAATGCAGAAGTTTTGATAGCTTACGTTTGCTAATTGCAGTTCGAAATCCACAACTTTTTGTAATTCTGCCCCTGCAACGGAGGAATTGGCGCCCAGTAATATCGCTATATTGGTCATGTACTTATGATAGGCTTGCAATTCGCCCTTAATGCTCGGCTTTAGGTAATAATCTCTACCTGGTAGAGCTAAAGCCGATTGATCTATCTGAAAACGATTTCAAATTTAGGCTCATTTTCGCTAACTACTTTAATAAACACATTCAAGCGTTGGAATTTACCTGTATGATATTCACAGAACTGTTTTTGTCGTCAGGTCCTACCCATTGTTCTATGAGAAATCCTTCATTGTAATATCCTCTTATTAAGCCTATTAGAGACTCCACTGAAAAAGTAGGCACTTGCCAGTTTTGTTTTATAACCGGCCAACCGCCTAATTGTTTTAAAACTTCCCTGATAGGCCCATCGCCTATTTTACTAATATTTGCTGCAAATCAAAATATCTACTGTTAATTTATATTAAACATTAACTCTCAGAGGTACCAAGTTAACAAAATAATAAATGGAATGTATTATTAATTACGTGAAAATAAAAAAGTAAGTTTGATCAGAAAGAATCAAATCAGAAGACCAGAAGATCATAAAATACTCACGCAGATCCATGCAGGAGTTGTAAAAATTCTTAACCTTTCTCGTGGCGTCGTTATCTCTCATATTAATCGGTTCTTGTAGCAGGCCTGTAAATTAGCAATTTATTTAGCCTTCTCAACTGCTTTAAGTGTTGTTACCTTTAAGTACGATTTGCAGTTGATCCGACATTACTTCGAACGTGCTAATGGAACTTCTATCTTCTGGTATCAAGTGGACTTTGTTCCACGTACCGCACGCGTATTGGAAAAAGTCCACGCAAGGATCGGCATTTCTATCCATTGCAGCCAGCAATGAAGATGCTGGAAACGGCGAAGAAAGTTTTCTTTTGTACAGGGCTTTTCTATTTGGTTTGGTGGTGGTAAGAGAGTATTATAAAATTTGGTGGAGCAACTATTAACTTCACCATTTTACAACATAATTCGTTCATAATGTTTAGGATAAAAGATTATGGGCAACTTACCTATTTCTAGGTTTTTTGATACTCACCAGTTCGTACACATTCTTCAGTTAAACACACCGTTTTTCTTTTAACTAAAATTTACAAAATTAATAAGATTTAAACTGTTGTAAACTTTTTATAAGTTTCTTACCGGTAGCACAAGGTTGATTTCTCCTGGTAAAAGCCATAATCATGAGCATGGCACAAAACAGCAGCAGCGCTACTATCAATATTACTAAAAACCTTTCCTTATCAGGTCTAGATTTAGGCACTACGACGGTCTTGGTTCCCGCCCCGGATATTTCTACCATAGCGTTCAGAGAATTCGGTTTTTCAGGCACTTGGTATCTCGAATTGACGATTCCATTATTGGTACTCGCTTCTTGCCATACGGTCTGTTTCATCGAGTTGGTACTCATTGTGTTCCGATAACTTTCACGGCGAGGAACCTGATTAATTTTCATTGATTATATTGATTTTTTTGTTAGTAGCTACTTTATTATAATACTTTGAGTTATACTCGTATGTCGATACTATTGTGATATTAAAAAAAACTGATTCAAAAAGGAAAAATGAATTTGTAGTATTTCATTGGTATGCAAACAATTTGGTGTTTTGAGATTGATACCGAGTGTTGTGTCAGAGATACATGCCAGATTTTACTAATTTTTCAGAATTCATATTTTCTAGTTTTTTTTATAATCTACTTTTATTCTTTTGATTGCTTGTACTGAATATCAAAGTAGGGAGAATAAATGGAGATTAGAAAATTTCAAGTAACAACATAATTAAATATAATTTAGGAAACACCTCGTATAAAAGCGTTCCAATATCAACAATTTTATTCGATGCAATTATTTAAAAATGGTTTTCGTAATATAAACTCTATTTTACACTAATTAAATAGAGTAAATAAACCATTAAAAGCATTTTAGGTGTGAAACAAATGTAAACAAACAGACGAAAAAACGAAAAAGTATTGATGTTGCCATAGGTTACCCTTTAACACGTACACTTACCTACGCGAAATTAATATTTTAGTCAAGTTTTATCTGCTCGAAACGGATGATAATTAAAAATTAAGTTCTATTTACATATTTATCTACGATCGCTCTACCCCTTTGCAGGTTATACCCGGATGGTGATATTTCAATGCACTAACTGTTTACACTTGAAGGGAAACGCAACATTATTATTAGAAACGTTCTCGTGCGACACTTTACGCGACAACGAGCAGAGCCTCATTTTCAACTAAAGTTGTGGGAAATCGGAAAATCCGCTTTTCGCACTCGAAGCGGGCTCTCGTCGTGCGCAAGGAGGATCGATCTCTCGCTCAACCTAAATAAAAGCAAACACCGGACTGAAATCCTGTAAACACTCGGCGGGTTTTCGGCTGTGGAAAAGCTGCCGAAACCACCTGTCGAGTTCGGGGAAAGTCGGGAAAAGTCGCCTTCACTCGGCCCGGAATGACCGGAATAAATTATTTTGCGTTCATTAAGCACGCGTCGTTGTTGATCAAAGGGAACTTTACGCAGGAACTCTAAACTTCATCATTAAGTTTTGAGATAATTTGGTCAGACCCTTTTATACCCTAGAAGAAATCTCTTTGCTATCTTAACTGGTTTATAAAAAATTTATCTTGTTAGAAATTTTGGGACACTTCTTGCAGGGCAAAATTACTTTAATGAACAATTCCTGTAGAATTTCACCCTGAAATCCTTAACAAAAATACTTTAATGAACTATTTATCTGTTGTTGAAGTCTGATAATTAATTCTGAAAATATCTGGATTATGCAGTTGATTGATATGATCTATGCAGTAGGTAATTAAAGCAAAGCCAATTCTTTATATATAATTTATTATTTTTTTATGGGAAAAAAATACGATAAGTTTGCAAATATGAGGTGTAGTTATTTCAGGGTTTGTGGGGTTTCACTCTATTCTTCTTAATTTTTTTACCTAAATACCAACATATTTTTTATCTATTAACCATTTTTCATTAATATAAAATAGAGGTATTTATACTTTTGCTTTAATCGCCTTTCAAATATGTTTACTAATACTTAGCTACTGTTTTATTAACTTCCTTATCCTTTAATATTCTCTTAGTTCCCCCTTTTTACTGAGTAATTTCTTGCTTTTCAATTATTCTCTTTAATAACCTCTTAAATTTATGTGTTCCCTAAATTTACCTCAATGTAGATAATTAAGTCACTAAATTACAAATGTTCCGTTGGTAATTTGAAAGGAGTTTATTAGTAACTCCAATAAATTTATTAGGAAGTATCAGAAGAAGCTAAATGGGTAAAATAACTAACACTTTAGTAGTAACTTACTTTATTATCATTGTTTTCTTTTCGTACACTCGTGTATACACTTTTTTATAGATACTATACATATTTTTAAATACAAAACTAATATAAACCTCCAATAAAATATTTCATAAAACAACGTATTTTTGATTATTATTTGTGAAGTTAATATTTACACAAACGTAGTCTTTCAATTCAATTCAATTCAATGCAATTCACTAAAAACAACGAAATTATATACCATCAAAGGTCCTATCATGTATAATCATACGGATATCTCTTGGATCTGCACACGTTTCTTCATGGTACCCGGAGTGACGGGGTTCCCTTGCGGCCTGAGTATCCCTATCTGGTTCGTACTGACCGACGGCTGGCAGTCCTGCCCGGCGGAGAAATGTCCGGCGCCGCGCCCGGCGTCCTGCCCGGCGGCGGCGGTCACGTCCGGCGGATGGAAACTCGACTGGATGTTTTCTATTCGCTTGGCAGGCGGCGGGGACGATTTGAAATTCTGTATGGGCAGCTCCGTTATTTGAATATCGCCGTGCTTCGGCTCGTACGTGTACTCGGTCATGTACTTGTGCCTGCTGCATTTCAATTCCTGCGGTTGCACCTCGAAGGACTTGTCGTAGCCTTCTCCCGACGAGCTGCTCGTGCTGCCTAAAAATCGACCACAAACACTGTTAGAATTTAACATTACATGTTAGTATTGCGAGAATTTAATGAAATTTTGGGTGGTAATGACTTAGTAAAAGAGCATATTGGATTGTATTGACTACATAATGGTCCTTACATCCTCAAATTTTGTCCTTCTGTACATGAGAGCAACTCTCAGAATGATATCCTAGATCCCTACATTCTTAGCACCACTTTATCTTCTATCTTATCCAATCTTGAATTGCCTTATTGCATCATGTACTCTATCTTATTCACCAATGCAAATCCTCTATCGTGTATTTTCGAAGGTTTTTTTACACTACAAAATCCTTTAACAAACCTGTTTCATTCTGGGCTTCCCTTCCTTTGTGTTTCCTCCTCTCTTTGTCCCTTTGGTGGTAAATACCAGCGAAAATAAGCACATTCAGCAGCAGAAGGAAGCATCCTACGGCTATGGTGATGGTAAGGGCAGTCGTGTAACTTTGATAGTGACTGGATGCCAATTTCCTTAGTAAATTATTCGAAGACTTAGTTTGGCTTGGAAGATATATTGTTTGATTTGGAGGGCATTCTGTAGTTGTAGCCTGCAAAAATTTATAACCAATTTAAATAATTTTCGAGAAGGTTTTATACAGTATAAGTACTTGTAAGGCCGTATCCGATTTCGGTGGAACCGGCGTTGAAATAGTACCCGATGTAGAAGTAGTCGTTGATGAAACCGTTGTATAGTGAAAGGATGGCTTCTCCTTTATTTGAGGCCGTACAGAACCTACAATAACATCATTCATTAGCAAGAAATTATTCACGTGTAATTAGGGTTTTTGTTACCATCGTAATATTGCTCGTCTTCCTCTTGAAACTGGTGGTGTCTCATGGAAATATCCCCGTTCTCGCCGGGTCGGTGGAGTTGCGGTATCAAGTTCAACCAAAGGGACATCTTGTGCCCTCTGTAGTGGTCCTTTTTATCCAGGCGGCTGCCTAAAATGTTGAATAATGCGACGAGTGAGTCGAGGCTAAATTGGCTCGACGAGTTACTTACCGATCTCCAGATAAAATTGATTGATTGTATCGTAAGTGTCCCAGAACGGCATGCCGGCCGTTGTTTTGTCGTTCGCGATGGCGTTTTGATTTTCTGCATGCGGCAAGTCCCCGTTAGGATTTCTGGAAGGTAAATTTATTGTTTCTGTTTTGGTTAGAACTAGTAGATTTTAACGCATTTACCCCGTTTTAATGAAGTTGCTGATGTACTGAATCATGGCCTTTGATATGGAACCATCGCTGACTGTGTAATTGTAGGGTGAATAGAAACCGGCGCCCGTTATCGGAAAACCCAAAAGGTATGGGACATCTTCACCTCGGACACTTCCTGCTCTCTGAAATACCCAATAAGATATTAACAGATGTATGAATAACCTAATTTTAAGCCTACCATTGGAACATCCCTTTCTCCATTGTGATGTTGAAAGTGGAAGAAAAATGTTGTTCCACCTCTCAGGCTGTGCAGGTATCCGATCCTGATAAGAGGAGCTGCAGTGTGTCCGTCACTTAGTACATCCAAAATTGCATCCCTGCAACAACATTGTCTTCAGTAAGATTGTATCAACGACTATTAAAATTAAGAAATTTATTTAAACTATTAAATAACCTTTAACGTTCTTGGAAAAGTTCAATATTCAATTTTTGACCGTCATTTCTGCCACGTTCTCATCAAACTTAAGACGATTTCCTGGCGAAATATAGAGCAGAAGATGAAAGAATGAACTAAAGCAACCCGCCTAGTGGAATAACGCTCCAGCATTTTGATAAGTCGCATCAAAGAGAAACAAAATTATCAAGATTTGATTACGAATTCCCGGCGAGAAGTTAATCAAAGACTAAACGTTTCGAATCCGTCTCTATCGCGCTAATTCCGGGATTAAGCCTCTAATATTTACCTAACGCTCAGCGGATTTTGAGACGTTCGCTCCCAGTCGGTGTATTCGTTTTTCAGCGTCGAAAATATCTCGTTCAAGTGGTAATAATAGGCGTTTCTGACGTACGTCCGCAGGATTCGGTCGCGCTTCGTCTCGTTGAAGCCGAATTCCAGGTCCTGGGCGTTCAGGTCCAGGTAGGATTCGGTGGATGTCAGCCCAAAGAGCAGGTCTCTGTCCGGGAAATCGGCCAGCTCGAACCCCTCGCTGGTGGAAATCGTCGGCGCTCCGATATTCATCGACGATGCCGTGGGATTCACCAAAATCGTACCGTCTACAAACGGGGCGAATCCTACAAAATACAACATAAACATAAAATTTGAAACTCATCAGATAGTGATAGAGTTATAGAGCGATAGAGTGATAGCAGATTTGGAGTACTTTCTTGGAGTAGGTTCAGAGTAGATTCAGAGTAAAGTCGATAAATCATCAGAAAAATTATTCGTGTTTGCTTTCTGGGAACACTTTGGGTCCAATCTACCAATGTTATCTATTAAAATCTAAATTTCCCTTTGCGCCCAATTTATATTCGTTCATGCAAAATGACCTAATTATCATAGCGTATCATGTTGATTTAGGAACATTTATTTCGCCATGAAAAAAGTTCCGAGAGATTTTCATTATCAGTATTAAAGGGGGAGAGATTTTTATGGGGCCATTGAAAATTTTAACGCCCAACCTAAGTGGCGTTTAATTAATTTTTTTATAAATAGATTCAACCTCATTTTTGGCGGTTGTTGCTGCGTAAAAAAGATGTTCCGATGGTCTCTGATATGAATTATGAGCGTCTTAAACTTCGACGCGACAGCGACCAAGCTCTCCTTGCTGGAATTCTCTCATTAACAGTTATATTAATCCATCCAGGGCTCTCCCACCGACTGGAAAGGGCATTAATTCGTCATAAAAGTGGAAGGTAATTAAAATTGAAAAAAATTGATGAAAAGCGCTGGAAATTTTGGAAGGCCACTAGACTTTCCAGCCGTTTAAAATGGTCTATAGTGATTTCTATGATTCAGACTCTGCATGAATTTTTTAAGTCTTTTCAAATAATTCAAAAGTTTTATTTTCTATAGATAGGTAATTGAGGTTTTCTTTGCATTTTAAGAATTTTTTATTATTGCATAATTTATGATAATTTATTCATTAGAGTTTTTGGAGCTTTTTACACGATGTTTGATGATTTTGATTCATATTTTGGGTTAATATTTATAAAAGCCTTTAATTACTATTTACATGAGCTATAAAATTACTTTGCCTTCAATTGCATCAAAATAATTAAAAAAATGTAGGTACATAACATGAAAACATGAAAATCTAAAAAATAATCCATCCTTATTAACACACATTTCTTTCAAAGTTCAGTTTGAGTTCACTTGAATTGCAACTACTATAAATACTCTACAGATTTCAGAAAATTGCCAGAGGAAAAAACTCAACTAATTATCTAATGCAGTAAACTACAAGAGAATGCGAATAAAAACAAGGAAAAACACCTTCCACCTCTATACAGCAGATATCGAAATACCAACCACATTGCTCAAGGAAACTGGAAAATTCCTCGGAATTAATCAATGAAATTGACGTCAACGAACTTTTTAACGAAATTCTACCGTACCAAACGAAACGTCCGAAATCCTGATTATTTTAAGTAATTAGGTTTCGAGTTTACTCCGACTTCCGTAGTATTTCGTTCATTAATGCAGTTATTGTAGCAAATGCGAGCGGATTTAAACTGGCTTCTCCAGTGGAAAGAGGTGCCCGACAAATTTTATTAAGCCAACCGAATGGAAAAAAATCGGATAATTAAATGTGTTACGGACTTCCCTTCGCGCTGAAAATTAAATGATTTGGGAAATATAAAGCGCGCTAAATTTTCTTTTCGTACACGTTCAGGTGGCTCCTGTAAAATAAGAGGCGTTTATGCTAAACCGGAGATTTCATTACAGCCGGCAAAAAGGGACGGAAATGTAATTTTAGTTATTCTTGTGAATAAGATGGAAAAATCTTTATCGCGGGCCGCAGAATCCGGGAGAGCATAAATAATAATTCAGCAGACGTATCAGAAGCGTTTAAAAGTATAAATTACGATGATTGTGTTTGGTAACTAAATGGCACTTTAATAAAATTACCATTCCGCTAATACATGCAGATTAATGGTATTAGTTGGGTTAATTAGATATGTTAACTTAATTAAGAAATCTGTCCGTGGAATATCATTAAATAGACGACGAATGAGAGACGAAGAAGACGAGGAAATTAAGGGAAATAAGACGCATTCCCGCACTAATATATATTTCAAGATGAACAGTAGTTCTGATATTATTATTCTGATAAAACAGAACAAACTTTCAAAAAGTTACTTCGCAGATATTAAAATGATCTACTGGATGTTTCAAATTTCTACCTAGACAAAGTTCAATATAAATAAATAGAAGATATTGATTTGGTTTTCATAGCAACCAATAATTTTATTGATTTATTAAATTTACCAAAATAAGTTATTGATGTTAAGGAATTTCCAAGAAGACTGTAATTGCCTGGACATTGATTTATTACGAAAAGAACAGGCAACATTTATCCCCAGTCGCACATGCATTCGTTTACCGAAAACCTTCCGCTTGCCCTACATTTAAACTAAAGAATATCCACTTTAAGCTTGCTGATTTATCAGCGTTCGCGAAGAAGAAAGGAAAAAAGAAGCGTCCAAGTCTATTTTAAACTTATCCATGAGCTTTCTCTCGTATTCAAATAATCACTTATCGATTTAGTACGGACTACAGAGGATCTCGTATGTACAGAAAAAAGGATGTTTCTGGCGCGAGTAATAAAACACGAACTCAATTGGTAGTTCAGTTTGTTAGAATCCGCCTATTCGCAATGAATTATCACACAACCCGAATATAACAAAACAGTTTATTCGAGGGTAAACAGCAATGATTAAATCGAAAATTGTCGGGTACATACATAGTGATATAAGAAAATTGTTTTTCAATTGGATTTACGAATACGAGTAGATATTAGATTCTTTTGGTTACATAATTGACTCTCTTGGTTACGGATAATTGGCTCTGTTGATTATGTAAAGGAATCCTCGGTAGATAACAGGATTTTAGGTACTTGGAGCTCTTGGGAAGGCAATGACTCTAAATGATACTGACACTGAATTTTAAATAGTAATGTGGCTCTCTTAGAGAAACAAATCTTTTAGGTAAATCACTCTTGTTTTCTCTAGACTTTAGCTAAGAAGAGATTAAATATCAACAAAATTAACAAGTTAGTTAATCAGTATGGTTTCTCAGCATTCATCTGGTAGTTCGCAAAAGGAGAGAAATGTTGTCGTATTATATCACTTTTTTTGTATCAAACACGTTATATTAGGGATGATTACAGTGGGTATGGGGCTGTTTTCGTAATACAGGAAAAATGCTACATAAATCGGTGCATAAAAAAGCGTTGCCAACAAAGAAGATCGTGATTTATCATATAGGAACGACAAAAAAATATGTAAAGAGAAACCAGTACGTGTAGGCTTGCTCCTGTTTCGGAATATTTACGACGAGGGATATCGTAAATCTAGATAAATTCGACCTTATTTTAGCGTGACCACTACATCTCTTTCGCAATGAAATTCACTTTTAGATAAAATACGGCGACGGCGGCGACCGTTTTTAAAGGGCGCAAAATACACGAGCCCGCATAAAACACCCGGTCGAACTTGAGATGTAAAATGTCGCACGGCGTTCGAACTAATCCGTTTTGCTATCGAAATACCGTGCTCTTTTAAAATTTCAAACGCCGATAAATTTCATTTTCAACAGTCCAAACGCTTAGGTATTTGGTTTATTATTCATAACCCGAATCGCTGCAGAGCAAAAGTTCTATCTTATTATTTATAAGAGTTACCTTGCAACATGCTGTAATAAAAATATCAAGTTGCATCGCAAAAAAACTTTAAGACTCATAAACACAACGCTTTCTTGGCAAACTCTCGCCGATAGTTTGTACCGTAATATTTCGTTTTTGTATAAATAAAGTGGATATACATAAAATTCATAGGGAAACATACTGTATACAGGTCGTACTAAAATTTTAATAAAGCTGCACAAAGTTTTGCAATTTATTTTAAATTTAATTCACTCTTTTTCAGCGTTAAAAAGAAAACTTTTCTTCCCAAATGTATAACACTTCATTATCTCACTAATTAAGCTAACGAAGATATACACTGCATCCCAGAATTAACGCAAATTTTTTAGTCGAGTATTCATCTGCATTTAAAGAGTCATCCTGGGACATGCTGCGTAGGTATTAACGAACTTGATATATACCTGGTAAAAATCGTGGAACATCCAATTTAATATCCAGCAAGCTATTCAACGGTTGAAGCCTCAAGCACGGGGCGAGATCGTCCTCGAGAAGGTCCCCGTAGCATCTTGTATGCAAAGAAACGCTTCTTTTCACCCAGAGAGGATCTTTTTGGATCGCCCAAGGGCTAAGGCTGGACCCGCTTAATAAAATCACGCGATGCAACAAATCTGTAACAGGACGAAATCACTTTATTTACTTACTACTTGAATGGATTTACAACGCGCTGTCAAATAATGTTTATATTTAAAAGGGTTTGAGGAAGTCAAATAATAAGGAAAAATAGAGACTATAAAACTAAGTATATGATGATATTCATGACTCACCCTGTGTAAGAAAATATCGCATTAATTTCCAGCCCCTTATCACGACCTACTTCAAAATAATAAGGGCGCTAATAAATACAATTACCTTTAGCTACAGGTGACACAGCAATAAAATTAACTAGAGCAGCTCCGGTACCGTGACCCATTAACGTGACTTTTTGCGGATCGCCTCCGAAAGCTGGAAGGTTTTCTCTCAACCAATGCAAACCAGCCACTAAATCCATTATACCGAAATTTCCTTGCGCGCTACCTTTGGTACCTGTTTTCAAAAAGCCTGAAAATTGAAGAGAATCCAATTGTTAATACGATATAAAGTTACTTTTAGATTTAAAATTCACTAAAGCATCTCTAAAACAAGTCGTAAAAACTTGTATAAAGGGAGTTAGTATACATGAAATAATTTCATAAAATGTAACGTTTTAAATTCCCCTTTGTACCATGCTGTGAGAGAAATAAAACGTCGTAAATGGCGGGCCCTGTATAAGATACCAATAAAAGCGAGGAAAAAAACTTTTCGATTTCGACAACTCCTCAAACAGGCAACAACCATTCGGCGCGTAGCGAGAACGGGAGATAAATGCCCGATTCCATTTTCAATTTGTTCGCGAATTTCCCTCAACATATCAAACGCGACTATCGATTAAATTTTTATCCTTTTCCAGTTAGTACCATATTAAAGCAGTATATCTATCACGGACGTCACGTCCTCGACAGAAGAAGGATGTTCCCGAATAATGGAACGTGATTTCAATAGGTTATTAGTTTAGATAACTTTGCCTCTTGTAAACGATTTATTGCGGGATAACGACGCGGTGAAAAACGACCGCGCTCTCCGCGGAAATTCCCGCCGCGCGGAAAAAATCCGTTTCGAGGGCGCCGAGCGCGGAAATACTTCTGCAGTTTATGCCACAAAACCTAATAAAATTTATCTATTGTGGGCGATGAGTGCATCCAGCATGCACGATTTCGCCGTGCTCTTACTTTGCACTTTGTTCTCTCAGGTATTGTTGTGAAGTATAATCAATTGGAACGCCGATGAAACGTAAAAAGCGAACTTAACTCCGTACGGAGCAGGAGGGAAAAATCGACTTTAAAGGGGTTTTAGATTAAAAGAATCCGGTGCCTAAAGGCGAAAGGATTTAGAGAAAATGGAAGAAGAAAATGTAATGAAACTTTCATTTATTAACCCAGTGTAGTAAAAAAATTAGACTTTATTGGGACCTCACACAGCATTTAATTAAACCGAATATTGTGTTTGATTTGTGGAACGAAATTTTGTGGATTAATTTTTAAAAGTTGGTCACAATGCTTGGTAAGTATGACGACATGAGTGACGTGCATTGATATTTGTTTTGCACCAACAATATATGCTCACTTAAAGGACAATTGAACAAAAAAAACCCATAAAAATGTATTATTCAACGTTGGTAATAGTGCTGAAAATATATTAAATCGCAAAGAAAAACTCGCGGACTTGTGAATGAATAATAATAATAACAAAAAGTGGTAGAAATTTCGCATAAAGTATGAAATTTGTAGGAATGTTGCTATACGGCGTGTAGCAAACCTACATATAAAAATGAATGCACATCTGGGCATAATTGGATTTTATGGTATTTCCAGAATGTTATGGCTCTCGGCTAAGGCCTTACATGTTAAATTTATGTTTCGGTTTACGCTGCTTTACGACCTTTTATATCTGCATATAAAAAAACTAATAAGGTGTGTTGAATAGGGATAATTATACCTACATAAATGCTTTATGTGATGCGCACATTTGATCGTTTTAGTCTAGGGAATACAGATCAAAAAATACAATATAAACTGGGATAAAATTCAAATTAAAATTACAACATCATTTCAGGTATTTGCTGTGTAAAGGACGAGCGATCCTTAATTTACGGAATATTCCATTACCCACGAATAACGTCGCATAAAAACAGGCTACCGGAAAAATTTTAAAGTCAAGAGGGTCGTTAATTTCGAAACCAATTTTAATGTTGGAATTTCTGGTAGACTATCCGCCCGACCGGAGCGTTTGCAAGAAAAATTATTCTCTATCTACACCTGCTCTACCAAATTTAATTAGCCGTTTTGGACCTACTAAAATGTAAATGTTGGAACAAGGGTCCCAAATGGCTCCGCGCTCGAACTTCCACGGACTGATTGCGGAAGCCATAGCTGCTGATAAATTGATTGATAATGCAGTCATTATTAATGGTCCCTTATGAGTAAATATCGCTGAGCGTCGGTGAAAATGAAGTTTGTTACAACAACGCTGAAGTACCTACGTGCAAATTTAAGTGATTTATAGTAACTGCATGGTTACAGCGAAATTTAAAAGCGTCCTAATGGGACAGTTAACAGGAAATTAGATTTTAATTTTAACACCCAGGAATCAATAACAACATGAAATGTAAAGATAATCCCGTAATCGTTGGTTATTTAAGAAGAACCTACACAATGAAATACGAAGTAAAATCTTGCATTCTGTTTATTTAGAAGTGCCAGAGTTAATAATATTTATTAAACAGCACTTTATACTTTACGTTTCTGTAGATACTATCGAGCTACTATTTACCACTTTTCCCGAGACAAGGATGTGCTTTAATATCGATTTAAGGGCTGAAATAACCTTGACTTGTGCATATTTAATTCGTTTAATATTCCTGCACAACAACTCGTCAAACGAGAATCTAGTTAGTTTTATTCAAACACGTTACCTTAAATTTCCTAGAGCAAATATTAAACTTCAACGGAGGTAATGGTAGGTTTTAATTGCGACATAACTCCAGACAGTTTAAATTTGTTGCATTTACTTTTAGAGCGCTCTATAGCTAATTACGTGTACGTATATTACCTACAGTTGTTTTATCGGAAAAGTTTCCTCGCATTTGGTAAATTTGAAGTAATAAAAATAACCTTTGAATACATCAGGTAGCATCAATTGCAGATCATAAAATGAATTGTTAACAACGACATGATTGCGTTATTTATATTTTATTATTTTATTATGGAATTTCAAAACTGTTGCTTGCAATAAATCATTTTGGAAAGAATACAAAATGCGCAGCATCACATAAATGTCCGAATTTGATTGATTGAATGTGGCCTTTGACCGTACATTATGTTGTGCATAAATATACATTTTTTATGATATGATTCCACCATACAAATGCTGAAATTCTGATTGAAATTAAATGATTTAGTACGGCAATACATTTTAATCTACTCGCTTGCGATTTATCGGATTGTTTTACGTGAAAATCCGACGTTTAAAATGCTCGCGACGCGACGGTTTCGTTAGAAAATTACAAATTAACATATTTGATAAATCGTCATTTCCATAATATTACCAACACCTCGCATTTTCTGTTCAGGAGAATGATTTATCGCTTTTTCTCATTGTTTGCACTCGCTTTCGACTATGAATTATTTAGTAGTTATTGCGCGTCTGTTCACTTAAGGGCCGTCTTGGTTGTTTTATTTCACGTTATGTCATCTTTTATTTATTTGCGCCCGCATATAAGCTCACTAGATTAAAGCCCAAGTCATCATATGGCTTATATGTAAGTACAGGGTGTACCGATTTCCCCGGAGATTCTATATAAACTGGAAAATGTTAAGTTCGATTTCCATCATCTCAGGATCTACTGGAAGTGTACTTGACCGGCTGTACTTATGAAGGATGGGTTGTAGGATGCTCTGTTCATGGGTGATTAGTTTCGGGACATCTGCTTTTGTATGAGGACCCAACTCAAGTGACTTATTTCTCGTGTCGAAGATTTATACAGGAATCAAAGGAAGTGTGTCCTTTATCAGAAATTTGCCCATAAATTGGAAACTACTTATTTGAAACGGTCCTTTTTTTATCTGGTATTGCGGGGAAAAGTTCAGTTTTCAACTATCTATACTTAGCATAGTTTTCCTAACTATTCCACTTTGGGAAATATTTAAATGTGCATAACCTGTATCAAAAAATAATCTAAAATAGTAGCTTATGTCTACAGTCTTTAATCTTTCCAACATTATTTTATTTATAATTAATACCTACTATAAATAATAGTTCTGCTCTTTTTTAAACTCGAAACCATGGTTTTCCTTGCTACGGAGTTTAATTATTTTTACCGATAAAAACAGGTGCACCCTGTATTCCTTTGCACCCGTCTATTCCTTTACAATGTTTTCATAACTGGCTCTATTTCCTGAAGGATTATAGTTGTAATTATCAAGACATAACATAAGTTTCCGAAAGCGATGGAAGTTTTTTAGTTGTTTCATCGCTGGCGCATTTTCGCGTTCGATTCATTTCTGTTGTTACACACACACGTTTCGGTTGATACATTTTTTTATTAGTTCGAACAAAATCCGATTGGAATAAATTCGAAAATGTCGCCAAACAAGGATTCATTTGAATAAAAATCCCATTACAATGGCCAAAACAAGTACCACTTGGAGTATTATTAAAAAAAATCCGAACGTTTCATATGAATTATAGTTCGTCTCTTTATCCGCGACTTAGCATAAATTCAAATGAGCACGTTAAATTATCCAAATTATTCGGCTAACTGCATTGTCTAAATTCAAAACGGACGATTTTATTCGCCGAGGGGACTCGCTCTTCCTCCTGCTCCTTTTGTAGCTCCTTCATGGCGCTGTAAAAATAAGCACAATACGTCAAGTTTGTTTCTGCCGTTCGTCTCAAAATTCCCAAGTTTTCCGGCAAACAAACCAGAGATACGGTGGAAGTAAAAAGCGAATTCGGCTTTATTGCACACTCTCGTTGTTTGAAATTAAATTTATTCCTTCCTTTTGTTGCGTTGTTTTGTTAAAGTTCATAAAACGCTCGGACATGCAATAATAATTCGCGCGGAGCGATAGCATAAAGGCATATTACAAGAACAAAGGAAGGATCCGCAAAAGCCTAAAAGTCCGTACGAAACACGCGATATTTTCTTGTTTCTGAATTCTTTGATGTATGTACGTTAATAAATTGATATAAATTGATATAAATATCCCTATTTAATTGACAAAATATTATCTAAAGGATAACATCATTGCATATTGACGAATCCACCTTTGGAAGGTATTTCTCGCACGTATTAATTCACTAACTTTTTGATAATATTACCCTCGTTTAGGCGAAATTACAGCTCCTCCTTTTTCGTCGGCGCCGCAAAATTCAATTTGTCAAAGTTTAAAATTTAAAATTGAAGTCAAGTGGCACAATATTGCATTGTTGAAATGCTCCAGTTCCATTACAAATAAGCACCAGCGGGAATTATTAATCCGAGCAGGAGTATTTTATAATTCCGGCTGTGTCCTCGTAAATTTATTCAAAATTAAATGTAGATTTTCTAAATGAACGGCTCTTTTGTGAAGGCGGTAGTGAGTCGATGGTTTCTTTTTTGCGACTGAACGCCGGGAGCGTGGCTAAAATTGTAAACATCTTAATTTCCGATGGAAATTCAAATTTTATTGTTTCAATGGCGATTAATTCGAAGGTGCTTACGAAACGGATTTAATTTAATCGCAACGGAATAATACAAGGATAATTCTGTTATAATAACAAAACTAAACAGTATCTTAATGGAACCGTTATTTCATTAATAAAGTATATCAATGACCAGCAGATATATCAATAAAAACAAGGAATTATTTTACATTATAATAATCTCAAAACAAGATTTGCTTCGTTTTCCCCAATTTAATATTCTTTCTTGAAGACTTTTAATACAAAATTTGATCACTTTTTTCAGTAATAAAGTATCTCAATGTCAGCAGAAATATCAATAAAATAATAGATTATTTTAAACTAATAATTCCAAGAAAACTTTTGCTTCATTTTTCCCCATATAATGCCTTTTCCTAATTGAAGATTTTTAATGCAAAATTTGATCACTTTTGATCAATGAACATCGTACTGAAACCGTTTTTTATCCCTTATATGTCTATTGTCAGCAATAATACTTCTAGTAGAAATCAATAAAATAATAGATTGATTTATATTAATAATCCAAAAACACTTTGTACTTCATTTTCCCCATTTTTAATACCGTTTCTTTAAAACTTTTAATGAAAAATTTGATCGCTTTTCGACCAATAAAAATCATATTTTGCATTGAACTTTACAAAATTACAACGTAGTACGTGTCGATGATGTAAAACCCGTTCTTAGAAAATAATTACGTCTTACGCCGCAAAACGAATTAAAAAAACCGCCTCAGGACGGTCCCAGCTCCGCGAAGCCAGAAAGACTTGTGTACAGGAGTATCAGAAAAAAAACCTCGTCTTAATGAAGGAAAACGCGGCTCGTGCAAACAAAGAAACTCAATTAAAAACTCAAAATCGTCGTAACGAAGCAATCTCATGTTGTGGAGAGCCTCAATTGTGTTTTACACTCGGAAGTAGACGGGAAACATAAACTTGGAAAACATCAATTAAATGCACACTGAATATTTGTCCACAATGGCGCGTTTAGAGAAAAAAATGTTTATGAAAAATATTTAATCGTGTCTTTTTAGTGGGGTAATTTTTTACTTCTATTAAATAATAAATAAGTGGAAATTAGATACTCTATTTTAACCATTTTTTACTTATTCTACTAACTTTACAATGGGCACCGTTATAATATTTATGGTAAATAATATTCATTTCTTGTAATAAACCTTGAGTATTTATATTCTCTATTTCTAATTTAGCCATTATTAACAAAGCCATCCACAAAAATGTAACTCTCTCTATAATGTCATCGCAATTTACCCCTTTTGTACAAACAATTTATCCCTTTGTAGTCGCCTTAAGTTCTTATACTCTCTCCGGGTAATGAAAAAATGACTAGCAAATACATCAAAGACAATATTACAAAGCAAGTTAAGCGACTTAAAGGACGACATTATGCAGTTTTTTTAATTTATTTTAACTCTGAGCTTTCCGTTGGAAAAGCTCCATATTTATATCGATTTTGGTTTGTTTCAAAGTAAACTGTAACGCAATGTTTCGGAAAATTTAATAAGATTCGAACCGATATGAATCCGCAAAGGACTCTTTAATATACAGAGCAGTTCAAAATTGCTTATTCGTGAAATAGTTGAGAAATTTCAATTTAAATAAATGTTAAAGTTCACAGAGTTCAATGAGCTTAATTTTTATCGATTTCAAATTTACACAGACTTTATGTGCGCGAGTAGAATAAATAGCCAATATTATGCTTCGATCGAAATCGTAAAGTTTAAACGCCAATACTTAGTTAGAGTAGTTATCTTAAAGTTGTTCGAAACATCGAACTTCAGGCATCCCCTAACGTGCAAATAATCGCGAAGAGTAATTAAAATGGAATCAACATACGCTTGAATCCGCGTCAAATTTATTTCCTTTGCCTTAATGCATGTAATTCCGTCTAATGGAATAGCGATAATATCCGCGTATATTCAGAAGCACCTACCAAGACAAGATTGCAGCGTAACTTGTGTATTTACTCACCTAAAACGCCGAGTCTAAAATTGATTGTGACTACAATAACTTGCCCCGTAGACGCCAACAATGTCCCATCGTACAAGTTTCCACTGCTCCATTCGTAGCTATCTCCGTGTACGTAAACTAAACAAGGCAATAGACTGGATTCTTCCCCGCCAGTCGCTGGAAAAGACAAAACATCCAAATGTACTGAAATCGGATAATAAATTCGCGGCGTTTTTACAGCTAAATTCCTCTCGTTCCGTTTCAAGGAAACTTTCGCAGTAATTTCGTAAATTATCGATGCGGGGTTCAGGCGTTGTTTGCGATTCTTGGCTTCCCTGGCAAAAGCGGTCAAAAACGTGAAAAATTGCTCAAAAAGTAAAAGCAAAGGAGTCTTCGACTCGAGGAAAGTTTACGAGTTATTGCGTTATCGCTTTCCCTCCTGCCTGTTAAACGTTTTTTGATTGAAACATTTAAGTAGGTACTAAATTGTTTTTAAATTTGTACCTACACGTGGTGAAACAACGTATACTCTGTTAGAACACACTTCGTATAAAAGTGCATCTATACAAACAGCTTTTATGCTTCAGTGATTCACTACTTTTATTTACATACACATGTAAATCCCCTTTGCTCGAAAACCACCGCGAGTTTCGCGTTCCATTTCGAAGGGTTACAAGCCGAAGCCTCACTTCCGCACTGCTTGCAGATTGATACTACAAACACTGCAATGCACTACGGAATTGAAGACACGGACTCGTCGTTTCTAGCGAGATTCCTGACAACCTGATCAGATGATCCCCTCAACGAAGGAAACGCCTGCTCGCGAAAAACCCCTTAAATCTTCTTCGAAAAGACACTAGGCGCAGTAGTAAACGCAATAAGAAATCGGAAGCGGGTTTCGATATCTGCTTTACAAGCACTATTTCGGTCTTGTATCGTTCAAAAACTCGATTTTTTTGTTAAAAAGGGACAAAATTTGCGGTAGAACATCCAATCATAAAGCGGTTGAGCATTATCAAAACGAGATTATCCACAGTTATGCCATAATTGAATGAATATATCGCCTATCTAATATTTATTTAATTAATCCAATCAGAAATCGCATGCGACGGGCGACTCATTCGTATGCCTGAGAGGAATATGCAAATATGCCAATGTTCAACGGAAATACGAAAATTAATAGAACGATGCGGGGTACATGGGAGGCTTCGCCGTTTTGAAATAGTTACCTGCTGATTAATATTAACTAAGCATTAAACGTATTACGCAATTTCAATTATTGCGCAGTTTGATTAACAAGCACGTGCGCCCCAATTGTTCCGAACTCCATCAAACTAGGGAGAATACAGATGTACAGAGCCAAGGTAAAAAATATACTGGATGTTGAAAAGGAGCAATTTTATGAGTACAAGAAAATATATTGCTGGGTCTCCTAGATATTCCAAAAAAATACCCTCTTCCATCTCCAAACTACAATGACTTTAATAGTAGATACATTCATATGGAGATTACTGCTCAAGATAGCTCCGAGAATTACTCCCTTGAATATTAGCGTGTGATTAAAAGGCCTCTCGTGGTATATCGATCGCGAAACTCACCGGTTCTGGGCACGTAGAGGTTGAGGTAAAGGCAGTCTTCGCTTTGATTGGCTAATAGTGGCAACACTTTTTCTAAGTAGAGCAACCGATTCTTCGGGTATTCGAGAAGAGCTTCCGTCCGATTGCCGATATCCGGCAGCCGCTGCGGACATACGGCGCTGAATCTGTCCGCTAAGCGAGTCGATTTCCAGATAGACGGTGTCACCGGTGGCATGTACCTGGAACAATCAAACATATGTTAAAAACACATCTGTTTCCTTTTTAGTGTGACACTCTGTGTGTCTGTGGGGAGGTGTCAGTTGATTTTTTTATCAAAATTGAGTATTCAGTTATTATCAGGTTATCTTGTTGGGATCTACCAGATGGTTGAATGTAGGAGTAAAAGTTGCAAGCAACAACTACTGCATTTAACAACTATATTAGGTACTTTCTGAAGAAAGGACCAATTTTAATATTTTAACAGTAACACAAACTTACAAGCACCGCTGTAAAATTTAATAAACTCAATAAAACAATTTATGGCACCTATCCTTGTCCTTTTAAAAAAACAACGGTGATAAGCTCCAATTTTCGGGACAATCACAGAATCTTGTATATTCAAACAGCAATCTGCATACTCTCAAAATTGTTATTTACCAACTTAATAAAAACGGTGAGTGATATTTTTCCGAACTAGACTGCATTTAAACGACTGAAGCGGAGCGTTTGTTTACTGCTTTAAAGTTAACAGTTACCGAGAGAAACGGCGTTTTGTCCGTGCTTGTGCATTTTCATCGCGGAAGAATTGAAATAAAAAAAAACGAAATTGATGATGCGCTTCGAGCAATAATAAAGCTCCATAGACAAATTGTTTTCTACTAAAAACAGTTTTTTTTAGGCTGGAATTATAACGAAGATCCGGAAGATGCAAGATATTTTAATAAGTTTGCTTTATTTTTAATAGTTTCTGAAATTTATTAAATGCACAAAAATGTTATTTGAGGATTTCTTATTTCAAGGAATTCAAATTGCTAACGATTTGATAGTAAAGTTGGATGCGCTCTCGAACGCTCTATTCAAATCGTCTACTCAGAAAATAAAGAAATAAAAACATGCCTTATGGAACAGGCGAGATCAGAAAAATACTAGCATTCCGTTTTCCTCAAGAATTCCGTGAGAAACTTGTTAGTACTTGAAAGCATGTTTAAATTGACTACAAACATGCACATCAATTGCTCGAGATACTGAATAATTCCTAAAATATAACTACTTTGAAAAGGACGCGATACAAACTTAATAGGAAAATTATATGAAATTCCCCGGTTGATCAACAGAAGCGCTTAACTGACGACAAAACGGTCAGAAATAATAGTGATTGATCGGTTTTTATCGCCTCTTCGTCTTACTCCAAGTTTCCCCCATTATCCGTTTCGTTGTGCGATATTTTACCGCTCAATTAAGTTTTCGCTCAATCTGCTCGGGATTCCCTCTAAATAAATACGAAAAAATATCGCTCCTAAATCTCGGTAATCGAGTGTTAAGGTTTTTACTTCGACTTGACCCGTAATGAAGATGTAAAACCGGCGTTGCTTCTCCTGATAAAGTGATTGATAGGCCTCGCCTCGGACATTTTCCTGATCAAAAACTTTTTCGATTTTGAATCGAGTTACATAATTAATTATTTATAGCACCGTTTTTTTGCAGCGTCGCTGGTTTGTTTTGTTGCAGGTCTGGCTTATCATTCGCTGCAGTAATTAATTTTTCGTGTTTTGTTAAATACACATTAAAAGTTTTGTGTGTTAGTTGAACCGGCGAGATATAGTTTAAACGATACATGTTACGTGCAGATATCGGTTAGTTAGATAATTTCAATTTAACTTTATTTACAAAGTTTGTAATGTTGGTTAAATTGTATCAATTGCCAATGAGCAGGGTCCAGCTTAATTACTTATTTCTCTCTACAGATGAGAAGATAAAACTTTGTGTATTTTTGAAATCTCCTATCATGCCTGCCTCATTTTAGAATCACCTTTGTAAATATTCCTGTATAAAATTTCCGCTCAGGAAGTTCTCAGTTATCTTTTGTAAACCTCTCTTAATATGTTACAAACAATATTAGTACAAGATAAGCACGAGAATATAATATATATTTAAACAATTAATACACACCCCAATAATTTCAAGCGAGCGATTATTCAACAAGACCCGCTCGTAGGCGGATATTAGTTCGCAATTATTCCGCATCTATTACACAAACCGGCATCAACGAGCTCGACGAGCCGTTGCGGTATATTATAATTTATTCGCTTTAATAAATTTTCGGGAAATATAATTTTCGAGTACCGTTACGCTTCCTTTTCCAATCTCCGCGTCTTTCTCTAATTGGCCCATAAATCTGTGACGTCCTCGCTTTGTTCAACGTCCTGCGGAGGCGCATCCTCGAATTCGAAATTTCGCGTCAACGTTATATCATTTTTCATGACGTGCAGTAATCTGATCGCTGCACATAAATACATTAACGGATCCGCCGCCGCCGCAGCGGAGAACAACGGACAGAGAGGAAAATCTGAAAACTGCGAACGGAAATCTGGATTTGTCATTGATACGTCCGGGTGGACGTAAATGGGAAAACCTCTGCTACTGACGATTAATATATTACTGTTGTCTAGTAACAGTAGCATAATCTCAAATAAAAATCTTGTGAGAATGCTATAAATTGTAAGAAATGAAGATATTATGGGAAATGAAGGAGTTGTGGGAAATGAGGTCATTAGTGCAAATGAAGGAATTGTAAGAAGTGAAGAAATTATGGGAAATGCAGGAATTGTAGGAAATGCACGAATTGTGGCAAATATAGGAACTATAGGAAAGGAGCTGTAAAAAATAAAATTGTTGAAAATAAAGGAATTGTGCATGTGAAATGAATATGAATAATTTAATTGTTGAACTAGAAGGTAGTACGAAGTAGAGAATAATTAAGAAAAAGAGAAAAAACAATAAATAATAATATATAATATATAAGAATAAATAATAAATAGGAAATGATCAGTTGTTCTAAGTTATAAAATATATTATATAGTATATAAAAGGAGAAGAAAAGTATAAAAAATATTTTCTTCGTTGAAGTAGATTTATTATAATATGGAAAATTACGTTTCGTTGGATAATGAAATAGGTTACCAAAGAATTCCATTTATTTGATGTTCCTTGAAGTAAATATTTGGATTCACTGTGCAGAAGATATGTCAAAACAACAACAGAAAATTTTAGTTATTCATTGAACTAAATAAAGAAGCTAATAAAACAGTTTTTACAAACATACATAGGTACAAATATTATAAAATATTACATTTATTTTATCTACCTCAAATATTAGAGAGATCTGAAGAGTTTTTGGAGAAAATTCTTATCATTTTGAAAATCCCGCCTTTTCTTAGCACTTAGCGCAAATAACACTTTTAACATAAATATATAGAACTATCTCGAAACTAATTCTAATTAATGCTTCCATTCGAGAGTTTCGCTTCTTGTGGAAAACCGCGCTAAAACCGTTCTTTTTAGTACTTGAAAATCGTTCATCATAAACAGTGTGAACTCGGGTCTTATCACTCAACACAGTTTATACGCTCTGAGCGGTTTTTTTACTTCCTTCCTACAGATCTAACTCCAGCTTCCAGGCGAAGTTAAAAACTCCCTAAGAAGTTTTAGATAGAGTTTCACCGTTCTATTTAGTTCGTTGTATTCTTATTTTCCGAGTAAAAATCCATCCGGATGTGATCAAAAGATTAAACAATAAGCAACGTAATTGAAACTTCGCTTCGAATCTTTTTAATCAACTTCGATCGAAAAATTTGTAATTTCCTTAAACTAATTTTAAATAGTAATTACAAGGACGCATTAGGTTGATTATTTATTAGCCATAAGCATTAGGTTTATTGATCACGTATTTCATTTCATGCAAATACATAATTTATAGCCACCAGATCCAATATCGTTAATTGCTCCTTCGGTATTTATAACAGAAACTTCCCTCGGATAATTAGAAATTGTGAATCGTGATAAATGTCTTACTTTCAATTAACCCTCCGAAATTACCCACGAAACGCTCGGGAGATTTGTTTGATTCTTTATAATATTCATTAATCATCGAGTTGGAATCGAAAAGGAGACAACATCCCGAGTGTTTCTCGCTAACAGAAAATGTATCCCGGGCCTGACTAAGTGCTCTACGCCCGAAGAAATTGCTCCAGGTCCCGACTGAAGCATTTGAAATTGTCAATTTTTTTTAATTGATTCGCTTTTACAAATTTTTCTTTCAACGAACGCGCAAAATAAAAAGGCGTGCTAATAGAAAGTAATGAGTGTAATTATTCCAATTCCTCTTCGCGCTTTATTTCTGATACGTGGAGAGGATCCGCTTCCTCCGAGCCTCGAAAGCCTAATTCCGAAACGCAGTAAACATCATTTGCGTTCGAATAACAAAGAACAAAACACCCATTTGGAAAAACACGGGACCGTAAACGGGAGTTTCGCGGCGGAAAAATGATAATTGATAATGATAAAAAATACACCGCCTGTCAAAATGAACCGTGTAGCGACAGTTAAATATTAAACTTTGCGAATTATGTTTGCTGTCAGCAACATTTTGTCGTGATTTCTTCAACATGGCCAAAATAAATGGGGTTTTGTTGTTTATAAAAAATATATTCTAGCGTTTTCGGTGGTAAAATCGCAAGAAAAAAACAGGCCTGTTTTGGGTAAATAATTACGAAATTCGTATTATTTTATCATGCTACAAGTACAACACGCATTTTTGTATATCTTAGCTGTGTTTATCACAAGTCGACAAGTTAGTTATGTTGATGGAAGTTATAAACCAAGCCGAAATTGAATCAAAGTTTCGGGGAAAATAAATAGAAGGGAGTACATTATGCATGCAATTAAAACTTCTCACCATAAGTTGTCCACTATGTGGCTTAATTAAGAAACTTGGCGTTGTTTGAAAACTTGTTTTTATCCTCGTTAATAGTTTCATTCATTCCAATTAAAACAGGTAGCTGTCTAAATGCATCATGACAACTGGAATTTCTGTTGACCAGTTAATTATACTAGGCACCTAAATTCGGATTAATATTTAAGACTTGAAGTTTGCAAATAAAAAAAAAACGCTAATTATATACTCTTATGTTGATATTGGCAGCCTTTAGGCTCTTTCGCTAGTGTTATATTATAAATGGCAACATTGCAAATTCGATACATTTCAAAATTCAATTAATTAAATCCCTGTGTCGTTGTCTAAGCGTTGCGTTAACAATCTGTACAATCCAGTATGCGAACATTAAATGTTTCTACGTGATCATTAATGATGAATTCATTACTGTTATGTTTAGTCTTCAAATATGTATACATATACCAACTTAATAACAACATATTTAATTTACATTTATCTACCTCAGTTCGAATAAATTACAATTAAAGTACACATTGCAATTCAATGTGTATTTTACTACGCGATTTTGTTGACATTCGACTGTTTAAATTAGCGAAATTTCTGCTATTTAATTAAACCAGTACATTTATATGTATTTATGTAGTGCAATAAATCAAAGAGGAATTTATTTGAAATAGAATTTCCCACCGATTCTTATCGGATACAAGCCCCGCCGTTAATTATTCGCCGGGGCCCGAGGTCCTGGCTTTGTTATTCCAACAATTCAAAGACAGTGATTTAAAATTAAACAAGCAACTGAGTTAAGAAAGTTGTTTCCCTAAAGAATAACGGCGAAAGTTCGCAAAACACTTTCGAGTCAGAAACATCTTGTAGGAGATTCGTTTTCGTTACGTTGACTCGAATTGAATGTAAAATTCCGCTTTTTAATTCGCCTTTTTCCGCAGTCGTTTTCGATTAACTCGCATTAGTCGCGGTTAGATAAGAGCTTCTAATTAAGAGAAAGACAATTCCAAATTACCTGATAATTCGAGTAAAGTTTTTGCGAGATGCGAATCGCGATTGTCGCCCGCTTGGACGGCGGTATTTAAAAGTAGCATCTAACGCTTCCGTTATTAAATTAAATTCGAATTTAATCGCATTAAAGTGATTAATTTAGCATTAAACTCGAAGCTGCGACTGGCGTTTTCGAGCTTTGATTGAATCAAAAGCGTTGGAAAGTTGACAAAAAGCAATTTCATTTTCTGTTTTGTATTGGTTTTGTTTTGGCAGCGATTTGTTTTATTGTGTAGGTATTTAGCTCATCAGTTATCGCTTTCCTGTGATGCTCCATTATCTCCGAATTCGAGCAAATTTCTTCAAAAACATTTAATAATTCTCCTTAATTAACATGCTCCAAGAATTGATATGATCAGAACATTTCTAATTAATATTAAAGGGCAGCCTCTCTTATTTATTGCGAACTTTTTTAAGCTCAAAAAATTGTGTTAATTTACCTATTATTTATGACATTTTACTAATTTTTAATAAACTGTTTTCAAGATTTCAATAATAATTAAAGCCGTCTTTTATTATTTTAGTGATAGGTACATCAAGCTTTTTATTTTGTCTTTTTTTAAATGTATTTTAGATATTTCAAAGATTTCTTTGATCTTAGAGCTTGATTTTAAAAATATACCAAGATTATTAAAACTTAAAAAGTCAAAAAAACTAAAAACTTTATCAAATTAGTGTAAGAATTCTAAACTAAAAACCAAAGATTTTCCAATATGTAATTAACCTTCTCATATTATACTTTTATTTTTCCTTACATTGAGCTGATACAATTAATTTCCGTTCTAAAATCTAAATCTAAATACGAGTAGGTATCTCAAAAACTACTTATAGAAAAATCGCAAAGTTGAAGCTCAAAGTACTTCCTACAAAAAGTAAATATAACGAGGTTCCAATGTAATATTACTTATTTTATAGAGTTCCAAAAGAATTTCCTAAACGTTTACATTTTTATGCAAGCTCGCAGGCAAATTCGAACTACCCGAAAACTACGAAACTTATTAAAAATTTCCCAACGACCATCTTAAAGACAAAGGTTTCCTCCGCAACATTAACTTTTTGTTGTAACTCTTGAACATTCGAATTTTAAAAGAAAATTATTAACCGAATTCTTCAATAACTAACACACGTTTTTAAACTTAATTCTCCCTTTACTAACTTTAAAGTAATGTAAAACTGTATGGGGATCTTACCTCAAACTCCCAACGGGCGGTGTCGCATAAGGAACTCCCAGGAAGGCCTCCACCGATGGGTGCATGTGAATAATGATGCCCCTCAATGGTCCGTACTTGGTTTTGACAATCCTCGTGCTGTACTTGTGCACCAGGAACGAAACGCTCTCGGATTCTTCGACGAAAATGACAACGATGATTATCCACATTGCGTAAATTGCGTAAAATATCTCGGTAACTGATTTTAATCTTCTCAACGAAAGTGTATCTATTATGACCATGACTTGAGAACCGACATTTGAGTTATATTTTTTTATCTACCGCATTTTAACCTGCAACAAATAATCCAGAATTTCAGATTTATTTGAAAAATTTTATGTTCTATTATATTTGATCCTTAAGAAGTAAGAATCTTTCGTGCATTTAGAAATAGTGCATTACGATTCATGTCTAGTGTAAAATAACGCTGTCTGTCAGAGCCTTATGAATAAATTCCGAGCGCATTTAAAAGTATAAAATATTTTATACTTATTCGAAAACGTCTTCAGTCGAAAAAGCGTTATTAAGAGTGAGTAACAGCTTGTGGGAAAGCGCGCGATGTCCCATAAATTTCTCGAACGAACTGTCAAGCTCGCATAACAAACGGTTCTCTTACAGGTATTTCCGACCAGGACTTCCATACTCTTTTTCCGAACAATCCGACTGGATGTCACGTCGGCTCGGAAAAGATGGAATTTGCAACACGTTTTTTTAACGTCTCTTTGCCCGAAATTATCTGTAAATTTACCATTGTTTGCGAGAACGGTCCCGAGGACATTTTTACGTCCGGATTTTATGCCAGACATTACTCTGCGGGGTGTCTTCGGATAATAAACTTAGAGGGTTGAATATTTTCTTTTCGAGCGAATCGGGATCGATGCTTAGAGGTATTTTTAGTCGCTGGATATTTTAAGCGAATTTAACGCTGCATTTAATCGATTTTTTTTATAAATTTGCTACATCGAAACAATTTGTAAGGTGAAAAAATGTTTAGCAAGTTCCTGCCAATTTTATGTAGGTAATATTTAATGTTATAGGTACAGAAAAAACTTGATAAAACTATCCTTAAACTAAAAGTATCTATAATACCTTAATTTTACACATTTTGCTACTGCTATTCCTTTTAACGGATTCAGCTAATATCCAACTGAAACAGTTAATAATATTTTTAGTCTGCCTCCATTCATTAAAATGTATATTACATGAGAACTGAATTATCACATCGTAGGTATTATCCCACAGCTTAATATCGCTTCCATTTTCAGGAAATTATGCGATGTACTTACTACCTAATGTTTACAGAATATCCTCTTTCGCTCTATTATGGGCTGATTCCTCCCGAGCTTCCGCAGCTGAATGTGACGTGAAACGTCGAATTCGAAACTACGGAATTCGAGGGGTGTGTTTTACTTAAATTTTTATCAAATATATTTTCGCGAAAATTACCCGGAATTCGCCGGCCCGCCGAGAAATTCCCACGTCAAGTTTCTATGCCAGATGTTGCCGGCCGGCGCTTTTTCGTGCAATACACTTTGCATTTCCTCTGCTTGCATAAATTGTCTACGGAGCCGGTCAAATTTGAAGTTGATGGAAACGCGAGTCGGCGGAGTGCAACTGCGCCATTTATCGTTTAATACACTCGAGTTTTTATCGCGGTAGATTGGTTTCAATAAAGTACTTAGTGCCTATAAACTTCAATGAAGTGGAAAGTTGCATATTTCACTTTATCGGACGACTATAAATTATTGAGGCTTTTCTTCAATTCGTTATAACTATCAAGTAGTTGTACCTACCTAATAATTTAATTGCCTTTCAAAACCGCCTCATTCATTTGCAGACAGCCCCGGTAGTAAAAGCCTTAATGAAGGATAATGGCAAGTGGCACATTGTATGGGTATTTGTGTATTCGTAATTTATAGATACGGAAACCACCGAACTATTGAGGATAGAGAGTGTCATAGAGCTATTGAATCTTGGAAATTCAAACTCCCAAAGGACTGAACCGCATTATAACAATCAGAGTATGTGCCATGCCTTCGCAAACGGTTTGCTCTCATGTGAATTTGGACCCTTTAATTTGGGTAAATAATAAACGCTGATAGTCGAGGATTATTTCTATTAAAAAAATTGTAGCAAGTACCAAATGGGTTGTATAACTTTTTTCCATTCTCGTTTTCCATTGTCGTTCCCAGATAGCTTCAATATAATAAAGAAACAAGGCAAATGTAATAATATCTATATTAGTTCCGCAGTCATCCTCTCCGCTTTTACACGAGACTCCAGTTCGTTATTACTGAAAACCAGCTAATGAATGCAAGCGAAGGAGGAGACCTTTGGTTATTGTCTCAATTGTTGCACCTCGGATCTTTAATGAACATTTTCATTTCACTGTCATATGCAAGCAGTTTGGAACAAAGCTCTCAGTGGAGCTTTAATTTTCTCACGGGTATTTTTCTACTCTCCGCTGTTCAAAGTTTCTAATTGTCACGAGAAATTTTGCGTGAAGCTCCTTTGAATAGAAGTTTTCTAAGCCAAAACTAACTCACGTCGTAGCCTATTTATCTCCCGGTCATACTGTTTGATACATAAACATGTTCGCATTTGCATTTTTGTTAATCTCATGCAAGCGGATTTGCTTATAAAGATGCAAGTGCACAAAACAGTCTCGAGGATAAATCGAGCGGGGTTTCTACCCGTCGTAAAACGTCAAGATTACGGATACTGAAAGGGTATTTTCCGAGTTCTGGCGGATAACACGGGTCGCGGATCGAACATTAATATATCGTATTCCATGCACGAATAGGCATCGCTGATAATCCGACGCGCGATAAGCGCTCTTTTCTCTATTATTTTATGAAGAAAACACCGTATGCTCCGTATTTTCCGCGAGAAATCCCGGCGACAGACAAGATTAACAGCAAGCTAATATATTATCTGTTCGCGATCTCGAGAAAGCGCCCTAAATAAATCTAAAGAGGTTGTTTCATTGCTCGAAAAGTGCAGCAGTTATTACCTAAGGCTTTTAGCTGAAATATCACGGTGAAGAGGTGGAATTCATTCGACGGATTCATCTTGTTTTTAATTAAACGAACGGATTTCATCATGATGAAGGGCCTCATTTTTACTTTAATGTTCTATTAAGTGCATCTTAGTGGCGTTTGAATGTGAATTTCAATAATGGTGATTTATAAGAGTAGAGTGTAGAGTGTAGAGTGTAGAGTGTAGAGTGTAGAGTGTAGAGTGTAGAGTGTAGAGTGTAGAGTGTAGAGTGTAGAGTGTAGAGTGTAGAGTGTAGAGTGTAGAGTGTAGAGTGTAGAGTGTAGAGTGTAGAGTGTAGAGTGTAGAGTGTAGAGTGTAGAGTGTAGAGTGTAGAGTGTAGAGTGTAGAGTGTAGAGTGTAGAGTGTAGAGTGTAGAGTGTAGAGTGTAGAGTGTAGAGTGTAGAGTGTAGAGTGTAGAGTGTAGAGTGTAGAGTGTAGAGTGTAGAGTGTAGAGTGTAGAGTGTAGAGTGTAGAGTATATAGTGTAGAGTGTATAGTGTAGAGTGTAGAGTGTAGAGTGTAGAGTGTAGAGTGTAGAGTGTAGAGTGTAGAGTGTAGAGTGTAGAGTGTAGAGTGTAGAGTGTAGAGTGTAGAGTGTAGAGTGTAGAGTGTAGAGTGTAGAGTGTAGAGTGTAGAGTGTAGAGTGTAGAGTGTAGAGTGTAGAGTGTAGAGTGTAGAGTGTAGAGTGTAGAGTGTAGAGTGTAGAGTGTAGAGTGTAGAGTGTAGAGTGTAGAGTGTAGAGTGTAGAGTGTAGAGTGTAGAGTGTAGAGTGTAGAGTGTAGAGTGTAGAGTGTAGAGTGTAGAGTGTAGAGTGTAGAGTGTAGAGTGTAGAGTGTAGAGTGTAGAGTGTAGAGTGTAGAGTGTAGAGTGTAGAGTGTAGAGTGTAGAGTGTAGAGTGTAGAGTGTAGAGTGTAGAGTGTAGAGTGTAGAGTGTAGAGTGTAGAGTGTAGAGTGTAGAGTGTAGAGTGTAGAGTGTAGAGTGTAGAGTGTAGAGTGTAGAGTGTAGAGTGTAGAGTGTAGAGTGTAGAGTGTAGAGTGTAGAGTGTAGAGTGTAGAGTGTAGAGTGTAAAGAGTGAAAATGTAATTAAATCATTTACATTGATATTTCAAGTATTTTTCATGTATATTGTAGATTATTTAAAGTTTTTAATGTATTCGTAAGACAATTTATTTTTCCACTCTTTTTCCGTGCCAGAAGATGTATTTTCCAATGTCTTTTCCAAACTTTTTTTATGATACTCCAAGAATATCTCTACATTATACACCTATTTAACTACAAATTTACACCCTTAATAAATTCGTTTCATTTGCCACAAGCTCGATTTGCTGCAATAACTCTATTATATCGTAATAATATTCTTCATATATTTTTGATATTTTCGTAGGTATATCCCTCCAGCTCGAGAGACGTCTCTTTATTGGTATCCAACAATAGTCAACAAGCGTATTTGGATTCCATTTTGCTTTATATCGTGTTTCTATTGTTGATAGAAACTTTTATCGTGTTCTTCGCTTATGCTGCGAGGATTTTCTGGGAATGAGAGTGCAAATTCAGGTTGCATATTCACTCCGCAATTTGCGAGGAACGGCTGCAGCGAATTTTTAAATCGATCAATTTGAGAACTTCGTCGCGTTCCATTCGGAATCAATCATTTTTAGATTTCTCTTTGAGACGTATTTTTGATGTGTAATAATTTTGATTCGATGTTTGTTGATTTCATTAAATTTTAGGTTCAGTGAAAAATAAACATGTTCTAAAAATCCCTTAAAAAAGTCCTTCAACAAAATATTAAAACGCTCCAAAAAATTTAGTAAAGAAAATTTGCGAATATTAGTATACAATTTATATCCTCAAAGATAAAGAATGTTTTTGAAGTAAAACTTTGAGAATATATTTACCTCAGTTCTAATTTCCTCTGCTTTCTTAGGGGCCGAAACAAAGAGTTCCTCACCGGGAAAATTCTCACCTACAGGCAAGCGATATCGCAAAGTTATACCTCTCCCGTTTATATTTTTTTAAAAAAGATCAGCGTTTATATGGAGTCGCGTATCCGAAAAGCATTTATATTCAAATACGAGAGGTTTTTTCTATCCAAACTGTGAATTTTTTATCCCACCTGGGAGCACAAACATCTAAAGTAAATCCGAACGGTATCCAAAATTTATTTGTTTCATATTTCACTCTATTCGCGAAATATGCTAAAAACTAACATTTTAATGCTACTACAATTATAATCGTGCTGAAAGAACAACTTCTAAAAAATCCACGACATATTGGTTAATTAACTTGGTTTTTTCGCCTGCAACAAGAACCATCATCAATATCGCATTAATGGCCCAACCCTTTTTGCAGTTTTTAAAATAAATGACGCTTAATAACCTTTGACTTGAAAGGAAAGATTTATAATCCTTCCGTTTCTTCTGACGGAAGGGTCGCAGTGCACTCGCGTTCCGCTCTAATCTCGCCCGGAATCCTCCGAGTGCTGAATTATTTCCGAAACTTTCCGCTGTTTAATCGCCATGTAGCAGTTCGTTTTAATTGTCCAAAAATTCGTTTTTACTTCTTGCCTCCGTGATTAATCGCCATTCGTCACCGGGATATTCATCAGGCCCTCGGAAACCGCCGGCATCTTCTCTCGACACTTAACAGAAGCGAGAGTGAAGCGTGAACTTTCCCCCAGAACACGACAATTTTCTACAAGACAGCAACACGTTTTTATAGACAGGAAGAAGTTTTTTTTTAAATACTCAGTAACTCAGTAACTCAGTTAATATGGTGTGCCCTGTATACATCCCATTAAGAGGAGCGCTGGTGGACGCAGCTGAGACGGAGATAATGGCACGGCAGTTTCGGGCCCTGACACCTCAAGTATCATTTATTCGGGGTAATTCTACATCAGCGAAATTTACACCGAGGGAGTCACCGAACCTCTGCGTTAAGACGCCGGCTTTCGCCCAAATATTACGTCTTGGGAAACAACAGTTGGCATTGTTGTAGCTCGGGTTATCGACGACGAGGGAGATAATTTGGTCAACAGATTGTAAATTATTTATGATCGTTTTATCGCCGCAAGTTCCAGGTGGTTGTTTATGAAACTGTTGCTGGCGGAATGCGAAATTAATTCGGATGGGTATCGAGAGACAGGTAATTGGCCTAATGCGATTTAATAAGCCGTTTCCGAAGGGCAGCGATTCGGAACGAAATAATTTTAATAGTGAAGGTTTCAGTTGATCCGGGCATTATACGCCGGGGACTAATAATCCTTCACAAGGACCGCTTCAAACGAATCATTTTTTGTTGTTTAATCCCTCTGTTTCGAACCAGTCGAAATCAAAAGGTGTCGATGCAAAAAATGTTGCGAGTTTCATTGTTAAATCGCGAATTTAATTCCGTTTGAATGCTCAATGTTGGAGATAAAGCTTCTTTGTTTTGATGCTGCACTAGAAATTACATAACAATAAGCCTGTCAAATTGCATAATTGATTTTGCGAATAAATGAACATTCGTAAACAAATTTATCTAGAAAATAAATTGCTGTTTGAAATATTCTCTATAGCCTGTTTCATATTAAAATATTGCTTTTAATTGCATTCTGAACCCTAATTCTAATTAGTATGGAATTGCAAATTTTAATATTCCTGAATTTTTAATCAATCAGTGCTTTAATCTCTTTTCACCCTTTCCACATCACCATCTGCATTTTTATCGAAACCCATACATTTGAGCGTCCTTTTTAAAGTATGAATATAAAAGTTGCCCGCTTAGATCCGCGGTAACAGCAACCGTGTCAATTATTATTTCCATTTTCCTTTCCTTCAATTTTCCTTTCAATTTCTTTTATTGCAACCGCTAGACAATCCCCGAACACCGGGCTTTCTTCCCAATTAAAATTTATGCACAATTATAAGCAAAATAAAATTCCCAATTGCGACTGTTAAACCGGGTCAATTAGACAATGAAATGCAATATCGGAACAAATACTCAACGGATTCAAACGCGAATTAATTAATAGCCGCTTGTTATTGATGTAATAATGTAGGTAAATGCGGGACACATATAACACCATTAAGTTGTAAATAAGCGTTATAATAGTGAGCAGAATAATGGAATAATCAATGACGAATGCGTTAGAATGTTGATGCAAACAGAGAAGAAGCGGGTTTGAAAAACGGCACGGGAAACAGGATTGTCAACAAGCGTGTTTCCTGAACTTGATAGAGTTATGATAGTAATGATTACAAATGGTAATGTCGATATTTTAGTTTCGATTTTGAATTACAAATTCCTCATAGTGAGATAAGAAATTAATAATTTATGTAACCCAGATGATGATATGAAAATTAACAAGTGTAAAAACCCTGCATGATAGATCTCATCCCTTATTTTCACCGAAGGCGTAATAAATAAGCAATCTGAAAGTTCTAACTTAATAATAAGCGAGCGATAACACGATTGTGTTAGTTGTGACGGGAATTTACATTAAATCTCGTTTATATGAACGAAACTTCGACTATAATTTAATTAGTTTCACTCACAATGTCCTCCGACACAATATTTCCCACGGTTATTATCACATTGTTACGGATAAATACAGAGGATTTGCTTCAGCACGGAGGACTTTATTACGAATTTACTCGAAATTTATCTTAATTAGAACGACTTTCATTGAATCGTTACCGTATCGCATGCAATCCTTTTCTAGGATATTGGCATTATTATTTATAAATTAGGTAGTTCATGCTCCGGCGTGTTTCTTTACTTACTCGCTATTGTGGATCGAGAACTAAAAGTTTCGCCAGTTTGAGAGTTTGCTGGCATTAATAATTTGCTTTAATTGAGTTGTTTTCGATTGTTTAAATGTTTGATTAATGGAGTTTCATTCATCTCTTAATGAAAAAGTGAGCGAGAAATGTTTGCTGTCTTAGTAAAATATCTAATTTTTAGTTATTACTATATTGAAACATATCACTAGAAGCAGAATTAATATTTTCAGGTAATTAGAACAAGATATTGATTGGTTTATCAACATATTATTAATGTTTCAATCGCATTGGGAATAAAAGCATGGGAACGAATCGAGTAATTTGCCACTGATCGCCAATTTTTCAATTGATTTTCAACGGATTCCATCGTTAATCGAATGATATTAGGGTGTGATTACCTTCTATCTAATGAATCCCAATCAAAACGGATGGAAAATATTGTATCCTATTAGTTATCGAAAATTAGTCGATTAGTTATGATTTAGATATTATGATTAAATTCATTCATTCGAAGTTGTTTGGGTATTTATAGGTACACAAATTTCGTAGTAATTTCATTTTTACATATGTATGTTATTGATATTTTATATCATGTAATTTTATTACATGATATTAATAAATTTTTATTAAGTACCTACATATTACATAAATTTAGGTAACTACTTTCAGTTTGTTATAATCAATTCAAACCATTTGGTTAATTTTAAATTAATCGCTTTAATAAAATTAACTATCCTTTACATCGGCAATAACAAAATTGAACCCGCATAAAATTGTCACATTAATTTTTTTATTAGTTAAGGCACTAGTGCACAAATTTTTTCCAAAAAAATACAATTTCCATTTTTTCTTTATGAAGTATGAAGTATTCATTCTAGCAAACTCATGCATACAACTGGTGCCAACATAAATAACCAAGAGTTTTGCGAATATACGCTATGCAGATGTAAATATTGCTCCAATTGAGCATACAGCCAATGCAGTTATTTTTTCTTAGTAGCATCAAGTAAAAATGTTATGGTAATTACTAAATAAAGCCACGTTTTAACCAATATTTCTCATAATTTGCCTTTTATGTAAAATTATCTTTGGGAATTTTCATTATAATATTATCATTTGAAATGTTCTAAATTAATTCGAGTTTATCTTTCCAGATGTCTAAAACAAAACATTTCTAAATCTTTGGCTAGAGATTTTCAAGGATTATTTATTTCAAATAAATACTTATTCTATTAATTTTCAATACTTGCCACATGCTCAAAATTAGACAACATTCGAGCATGGGAAAAGTTTTGTTTGCAAAATTGTAAATTAAATTGCCATCTCCTTTTCAAATCAACTCAAATTCCACTACAACATCCTCGAATTAAATTAGCACTAATAATTTTCCCAAAACTTAACGACTCACATTTTTCAAAAAAAGCAAAAATTTTTAATTAAATAATAAAAAAAAACGTACCTCGAAGCGAGCCGATAAACCGTGCGATTAAATTTCATTTTATCCGCAAACGTCCGCGAGCTGATGTCGCCCCATATCGGGAACCCGGGCTCAGAAAAACTCCGTCGACCGTCTGTCAGTTTACGAAACTTGGTGAGCGAGAGCAGAGCGCCGAGTATCAGGAACGTTCGACCGTCAGATCATTTTCGACTACCGCATCGCGTCTCCCGGGCTGGTCCAGGATGCCAGGATGCTGTGGACGTGAACCAACGTCCTGTCTGATCCTCGGGCTTGCGCAGCCACGCAATCGATAATATTTAGAGCTTTAGATCCAGTGAATATATTCATTTTTTTCGAGATTCCTTCAAGAGTGGGTATTCACTTTTGTATGGGGATTCTCTCTTGATTACGACGCTGTGCACTGCACAAGTGGGGTAGTGCAGGGCGAGGTGTTCGACAGCAGTCGCTTCTGTAAAGGAGGTTTTAAAATTTGTTGGGGATTATCAGCCGGTTCGAATGGAACTTCGGTTTTGTTTGCACCGAATTTAAATTATTGTACAAGTACTTGAACTGTACTCCAATGTTTTGTTATAGCAGACATTTTGGCTGTATCTCCTAGAAAACTTTTTTCTTTGTAAAAATATTGTATAATAAAGTTATCATGTATTATTTTAGACAAATTTTATAGCCAAAAAAATAATACCTTGCCTTAGAATGATAAATACGTATAGAGCTCCTTTTTTTTATTTTTAGGGTAAAAATATTTCTTGCCTGGAGCCAGTGGTGCCTCCAGAGTTATTATAAATTCGTCCGATAAGATAATTTAAAAAAAAAAGTGTTTCCTTATAGCATAGGAGACAAATGGCAAGATATCCTCAACCCTGCAAAAAATCGCCCTTAAAACCCTTTAGAATAATTCACAAAAATATATCCTCCCGGAATAAGCTCATCTCCACCAATGAATCGGGATAAGTTAAACTATTATTTCAAGAGATTAGTAAGGACACACCCTTAATCCCCTATTACCCCAACATTTCCGGTCTAAGTATCGCCTCTAAAATTGAAGAAAAATGATACATGTTTTTCCAACGAAATTTAAACACTTCCCCGCCAATTTAAATTCGAGCCAAACTTTTGGAGTTCAAACGGAATATTTTTCTTATTTATTGCTAGATTTAACTACTATTAGTACACGCAATTACCTAAAGTAGCTCTGTAGGTATTTTGTAACGGGAAATTCCGATGGGAAATTAGCAGCGTTCAAATTTGGCCTCCTGCAAATTATCCCGTTTCTTTTTGGCGTCGGGTTTACATAACTAATTCGGATAAGCCCGGTGCTTACCGGGTCGGAGCGCGGCGAAAGCTGTACCCTTATGGAAATTATTTTTCACTTTATACATTCGGCCATCCCTGCCGGGTGTATCGAAAAAGGCCGATGTTTACTTTGGAATTCTCCCTCGAATAATGTCCCTAATTGTATTTGCGTTGTACTTTTCCCGTCGATTTCGAATATTTATGTATCGCGAGCGCGAGTATTAATTAGGAAGGATGCGAAACGCCCATGTTGACTATCCTATTACACCGGAAAGTTTCATTTTTCCCCCGATCGGCTTCCTGCTCAGAAGGACGAAAGGATTTGTTGTTCAGTTTTTATATACGTTTTTATCTTCCGAACTCGCCGTATAAAATGATATTTATAGAAGCTCTTATACAGTTATAAATGCTTTAATTTTGTAACTTTTTGTACAGGGCATATCATGAAGACGGTACTTAAATTACCTAAATCAATATACCAACTGTAAATACATAAAAGTATTTAATGACTCGAACTCATAAGTGACTCTCTATAGAAGTACCTAATTGCGCGTCGTAAAAAATAATTACTGTGGATTTGTTACATTACAGCTCAAGTGATATTACTTGTAGCATTACCGGGATTAATATTTTTTTAACGGAGCTGGGGAGTATCATCTAATACCGATTATGTTTCCCAGATCGAATTTGTGGCGAGAAAGATTGGTTTCAATTTGTTTGGTTTCTCATCCAGAAGCTTAATGACATTAATAAGTATTGGATAACTAAGCAAACAGCTTATTTTCTATTGTGTTCGTTGGGATTTTGAAAAATTACTATTTTTCCAGTGCAGTTAATTTATTTTATTGTGAAATACGTAAACTTAATTGCAATTAACCCGGAATATACACTTCTTAAATAGTCTATTTAAATAATTTATTTAAAGCGAATGCCTCAATTAAAAATCGTGACAAATCAGTATGACCAAAAAAATTTGATATTCAAATAGTGGCCGCTGTAAGTGAAGTTATTCAGTTAAAAAAAAACTTTTGTCACACTGTGGAAAAATCGTATGTGTATTCAAATGAATAATAAAATATGTGGAAAACAAATAAAACTTAATTAAACGGAGCCGATCCGGAGGACGAATAGTTTCAAAACAAACGTCGAATAATAAAAGAGAATATGTTGATATGTGCGAAGTTTGCTAAAAGGGATTCTGGGTCGGGAATAATTAAATGCCTTCCAGATTAAATAATGTATTATTTGTCGAACGAAATTGCGGGAAGAAAAGGCCCTCGATCTATCGGCTATTTCGGTATATTTTTGCGGCGGATCGGTTACCGCAAGTTCATGAATGGAAATATCTCGCATTCGTTTTCGGCATAGTAATTGTTCGATTTTCTCGACAATTATGCGGGCGAAGAAATAAGCGAAAGATAATCCTCGAAAATCCCTATGACAAGCAGTATTAAATAGCTAAAAAAGGTCTTAAAGGACTACGTAATTCTTCAAATGTTTACTTTTGTACAACGAGTTAATTTTTTTAGCATCCTGTTAAATAATATTAATAGATAATTCCCAATTTTTCAACGAGTAAAAACGTAAACCAACAGCGCACTGAATTTTTGCAGAAATCCATTCAGTAATCAAATCGAGATAAAACTGTTTTAACCGCTCAATTAAAAAGTTAAATTCGTCCACCGCACTTTTTCCGGTGCATTTTATGGATTCATAAATTCCCGTTCGACCGAAATCGGATTCGTCCATAAACTGGAAATCGAACGTTTCCATCGGCCGGGCCCGCAAAATGTTTGTCATTAGAAAAAGAGCGGTAGCAACATGTCGAACAAGCCGGAATGTTCATTTAAAACCGATACGCCGAGATTTACGGGTGCGCCCCGAAAACTCCAAAGCCCATTAGAATAATATGGCGCTGCTTCTAAGGATCGCTTTCGAAAACATTCTAATTTCGCCCGTCCTGGCTCAGACAACTCTAAACTTGGTGCAAAAGTTACCGAAATTTATTATGTAAATAGGAGTTCAATTGATAAGGATGGATGTTCATTTTGCAATTATCCTCCCAATCCTTCTGATAATCCTTTTAATCCATCTGATAATCCTTCCAATCCTTCCAATTTTCATTCGAATTTTCCACCAATCGTTTCAATATTTCTTCAAATCCTTCTATACTCCTTTCAGTCCTTAAATCCTTTCAATTCTTAATATCATTTCAATTCTTAATATCATTTCAAGCCTTCCAAAACCTTCCTTTCAAATCTTCCTTCCAATTTTCATTTAAATCGTTTCAGTAATCCTTCAAATCATTCTAATACTCCTTTCAATCCTTAGAATAATCCTTGCAATTCTTAAAATATTTCCAAACCTTCCAAACTTTCCAAATCTTCCTTCCAAACCATCCTTCCAATCTTCCAAATAATCCTTACAATCCTTATAACACTCCTTTTAATTCTCAGAATATCCTCGGAATAATTCTTACGATCAATCCAAACCATCCAAACCTTCCAAGTCATAGCCTCTAAAGCTTCTTCTATTATTCTTATTATTCTACTTCGATTTTTTGGTTTCTTTTTTCAGGCTGTAGGTATATCTTGTTCTTTAAATGATTTTGTTACAAATGAACCGCAACATGATCTGCAAGATAGGTTGCTTAGGCGATGATGGACCAATCCGGTGGATCCAGCCAGGGTAGCGCGGGCGAAGGTAGCTTAAGGCGAACAAGTGCATGTAGCAACGGGATAACAAGATATAGAAGTAATGACGGCGGGGTGTCACGCGGCGTATCGGCGAACCGGCGATATTCGAGGCGATTATTCTGTGTTATAAAGTGAACTAAATAAAATCATTCTTGGCGAAGAAAGTGTCCTTTCATATCAGAAGTGGGATAGGACCGGCGCACCAAAAGGCGGAAGGTTTTCTGGCGGGGAAACCCCGACGGTGAGAAGGCGAGGCGAGGGCGCTCTCCTTTATAGTTACAACTTCACCACTCTACTTAGTGATTAGGCGTTCAAACAGTAAGTACCCGTTTGATTATTATGGCGATATAATATACCGGAGCAAAGTAAAAGTGGCGCCTCGGCGAAGTTCGATCGACGGCGTATTGAAGGTTCACCGACGGCGCGGAGGCATGGCTGTGCGATTGCGCGGCGATGGAAGTTACTTTGACTGGTACGGTCGACAGTGAGCGAGTTTGACAAGTGAAGAGGACTGTCCGACGGCAACCATGGGCGTGCGACTTGAATAAATTTTAATTTCATTTACCAACGGCGTAGTCTTATTTTACTTTAACAAATTGGCGATTTATGTTGAATAGCAAAATGGGGATTTCTTCAGGAGCGGATTGACTATAGGCGTTTGATTGATTATAAATGGTGTGACTTTCTTCTAATTATGGCGATTGACAGGTGGCGGGTGGTGCTTGGCGGAAGGCGATTGATAGTTGGCGAATAGCGATTGGCGAAAGTCGCTAAAACAGTAAATCAGGCGGAAGGTGATCGGTGTTCGGCGAAGAGCGGCGAAATTGGGGAAAGGCGCCTAACGGTTGGCGGGCCACCGCTGATGGTTTAGTTCAATCCCTGGCCAAGATTGAATTGACGAATATCAGCAATCGGTTAAGCCACAGGTGCATTAGCGGCGGACGATGTTTCAGGATGCATTGCAATCGCAACATGCGCCTTTATTGGGCGAGTTCAATTGACAATGTCTTCTCTGTTCGTGCGATTCGTGCGTTAGCCCTGACGTTGGTGCAGGCAGAGGATATTTCAATGGCGTTGGGGATAACAAATTATTAAACTGGCGGAAATTATTAATTTACTAAAACCGAGTCGAATCTTTTTAGTTAATATGTGGTGCTGGCGATGAATACTCGATTTAGAGGCGAAACTGGATTGTGAGGTAGAGGAAGGACGGCGCCTG